CAAAAGTTTTTTTATCCCTTAAACTAACGGGAAACGTGAGATGGGAAACGTCTAAGTATTCAGAACGTTTACAAAGCGAAGGGTATGACGATGTTCGGTGTGCATTATTCTTAGCTGGAAATAATGCTGACATTATGCACTGTAAGGAACAAAATATGTCATTGCTCTGTATATTTATACATGCGCGCTTTAATTTCTCGGCAATTCTATAAAACGGGCGGCTCTCAGTGGATTAAACTTATTAATATTTACTTCTATAAATTGATAAAAAATAAATTTCTTAGAAAAACCCAACCACTGTCTTTTTCTTGAAATTCACCAATGTTTGTTTTAATGAAGTTAATCGTTTTTAAAAAATAAAATAAAACCATAATAAAATTATGATGTAATACAACATTCTGAGCAAAAACTAATGATTTTATTTCACTTATCTCCAACATTCGACAAACAAAATTCAGCGAAAAACTCAAAGTTCACTTTAGTAGAACTGTAATTAGCTTGTCTTGCTGCCAAAAATGACACACGAGAGCTGTGTTGCCAACTTTTGGCTTTTGACGTAGATCTACGTATTTTGGGACTTTTCTGCAAACCTACTAACTTCAGTCCCAGAATCTACGTATTTTCTTTTAATTTGTACAAATTTGCAAAATAACTTAATTCACTAGGTTAAAGAAGAATATTTTCCGTTACTTTACTTAAAAAGTAGACAAATGTTTATTTCTTATAATTTTTGGTATGAGCATGGTGTGAGCATGAGCATGGTCCTTGACTCTACGCACAATTCTGAATGTGCTGTAAGTAATATAGCAGGCACGGACCGCGAAGAAAGGAGACGACTATATTACTGACTGTGCATTTGAATATAACAAATATTTTCTATTAAATAAGTTTTTAGTAAGTATTAAAACAGGTTAAAATGAGTTAAATTAACAAACGTTGATTAGATACCTTTCGAAAAACGACAGTTTAGGTACTATAAGTATTTCTTTCGCATTTTTTCATGGAGCTCTGCGGCATCTTGATTTTACAACGGTCCGCGCATGACTATGAACCAAGAAGTGCTTGAGTGGTGTTCAAGCACTTCTTATTTGGGGCACATTTTGAGCACACATGGTGTATCTAGGGTATTTAATATCGTTAACCATAGCATGCTTAATGCTGGCAATGCAGCGACTTCTCCAAGAACTCTATGTTCTATCTCCCTTTTCTTAAGAAACTGTATAACAAAATACTGGTTTTATTCGGTTTCACCTAACTTCTTCATTTCACTCAGAAAAAAGTACGTCAAATACTAATTCTACGTAATTATCTCATTGGGCTTACGCCTTTTTCTAAATCTGAGTTGGCAACATTGCACGCGAGAGCGAAGTCTATGTAGGAATTCAGCGGGCGGGCAAGCGCTAAAGCGCTTATTCCACCTGACTAAATTCAGACGTCCTAGTCAGGATCCCAAAAAGAAAGCTAATTAGAAGCTTCTGATTACACTTGACTAATTTAGTTACTGATTCAGTCAATTGGAAGCGCGCGGCGAATTTAGTCGGACTTTTTCGTAATGCCTCCAGTCCTGTAAAAGCAACAAAAAATCGGTCTTTTCGTAGGCCTGGCCGTTGGCTCAATAAAAATAAAATAAAGTAAAAAACGGAAAACGTGGGTGAAAGAATATTAAAATTATTAATGTTATTTTTATCATTTTTGTTCCAAACATACAGCATATGTTTATATAATTCGATTTCGACTCATAACTTTTTTCTTTTACCGCCGACATCGCGCATTTGCGTAATTCGTAATCGTAAACAAAATAACGTCCTCACGCAGTGACACTTGCGGTGCATGCGACTAAAGCATCGAAACGCTATTACACCTTCCTAATCGCGTTCTAATTAGGATACTAAATGATTTAGTCAGTCAGAAGCCACACTTCTTCCGATTTAGGATGCTAATTAGGATCCTAACTTCCTAAGTGCTATTTGACTTGACTGAATTAGTTACTGAATGATTTAGAACGTCTGAATTTAGTCAGGTGGAATAAGTATTTAACTTAAGCGCTTTCGTTCTCTGACGGGCGTACTCTATACGACGCAATCCGACTTCGGGACGCACTGCAAATTTTTTCAACTCTGTCACTTACTTAGATTAAACTGTTATTTTTATGTACAGTACTACGCAAATAGCCTGAGCCTGAAAAAATTAGCCCTCATTTGTAAAATTCTTTTTGCAAAGCTTGAAAACCTCCTTAGGTGGAGTCAGCTCTGGAGCGTTGGAATCTGTTTGGTATTTCAGGGACACAACCGCTCGCTCCCACCGATTTTTCGGCTCCACCGTCAAAATATCCTTAAAGGACATAGTTCTGCTTCCATACATTGTTAGCCTAAGAACCAACAATCATGAAATATTATTTTCTAGATTCGAAATTGCAAGTAAATGACTGTAAAAACAAAGAATATTGACGGACACTTCTGAGAACTTAAATTATCAGGAATACTAAATATTTTTTGAGGTTATGTTTAATATTAAATGAAACATATGGTCAACCTATGAACTTAGTATGAACTCAGAATGAAGTGAATTAAAATTACAAATATTCATTTTTATTCGGAGCGATTTTAAAGAATAACTATTAGGAAAAACTTGGTTAGGTAGGAATCATGAATAAAATAAAAACTGTACTTTTGCTTCCGAATAAAATAAAAACTGTACTTGCCGAAAAAGTTAAATTAAAGGAAAAACAACCGAAAATAAACACAAACAACAGGTAATCCGAAAATTCACGAATGCCACAGATTACTACGAATGCAAACTGCCTGCACCACAACCACAGAGTACCGAGTTTTATGCCGGCCCTTCACTTGGCAACAGTCTGTCCTTGTCATGCTTGATAAGGAATAAAAAGGACACACTGATGTCAAGTTTTCAAATAGCAAACACGAATAGCCATGTGAAGTGCCGGCATTAGGAAGAAAGAGTGTATTTTTTGCAGCGCTGTCATAGACTATACACATACAAGTTATTGTCTCAGATTATTTTTTAACTTATGTAGCTTACTTAACTGGAAGTGTCCGTCACAATCTAAATACTGATAATTATCGCAAAAAATATACTAAGAATTATCATAAATACCAAATTGGTGTTGGTTCTTAGGCCTAATTTAACATTGTCCTTTCAAGTTCTTGAAACGCGTCATCTCTATGGGTACTGCGACGCTGGTAACCGTCAGCAACAAGCCGCGATAGCGACGACTGCAAGGGTTTGCTGTGTTGTCGTCAAATCGAGGTGATTCGACGTCCTGATCGCTGTCGGACTCGAGTTGCCACCCGGTTGTCTTTGCTGCAGGCGACAGTGGCGGCGCGGAATCTTTTTTGTTACTGGTGTTTTTCTTTTCAAACTTTTTGGTGGTTTCAGTTACTTCTTCGCACTATAAAACACAATAAATACAGTTATAACAATTTATAAAATGACACAGCTTTTAAGATGAGTTAGAAAATATAAGTAAAAACGACTGTATTCAAAATATCTTTATATCGCAAAGTTGAGGAGTAACTGCATTGCTTCTTAAAATTACTAAGGAGCTGGCCTGAACAGCTATATTTACATACTAGCGGTCGCCCGCGACGTCGTCGTACGCGTGGAGTTAGTTATTTGCACATACTTTTTGACCCAAAATTATTTATATCCAAAAAGTGCTTACACATGTAATTCGACTTGATGTTTTTGAAATCTCATAGATGGCGCTGCTTTAAAACTGTCTATTATTTTTATCGGCCTAAGTTACTTAAAGTATGAAGCTAGCTTATAGCATGGTTAACACAATAACAACATTCAAATATGCGTCGTTAGATTACACGTTCTTACAGAATGCGTTGAAGAAATAAAGGTGCACTGCTCGTTCCCCGTAGGTGATAGCGTGATAATATATAACCTGTATGTTAACCCGAATTCTTAATAAAATTCGTGCCAAATTTGAATTAAATCCATGCAGTACTTTGTGAGTTTATCCCGGACATAACTACATACAGACAAACAGACAAAAATTCGAAAAACTATATTTTTGGTTCGGTAGATCACACACCAAGTATTCTTTAAAAACAAAACCATGTACAGTTTTGACTTTCCTACCATTTTATTATATGTATAGACTAGCTGACCCAGCGAACTTCCTACCGCCATAAAAATAGGGGCTGGTGGTAGAAGGGTGAAAATTTAGATTTTTTATTGCCACGTTATAAAAAATATAATTTTCCCAAAAAAATGTTAGGCACTGCGTAGATTCCATAGAAATTTTGACGTTGACGAAACGAATAAGGATCCGTAAAAGTTCGTGCTTTGGGTACTGATTATAACATAGATCTGATGTGCTATTATGTAAGAACTTATTCACTTTTAACCGCGGAATTCACCAGTGTGACCACCCTTAGCACGAACCAATATCGAATTCGAATAGTATGCGAGTCTGAAATGTCACTGTCAAATTTGTACTGATTTTTAGTTTTCGTTACGTACTTTGTGGCGCTGTTGTTCTAGTTTCCATACAAATTTTGACAATGACATTTCGTACTTGCAAACGATACGAATTCGATATTGGTTCGTGCCAAGGGTACTCAAGTTTATTTCAGATTCATGTTCGAATTATTATAAATCACCCCGAGAATTGCAAGGTGAAATGCTCTTACGGAATAACACTGTTGCTTATAGTTATCGGGTACGAACAGTGGGTTTTAAAATATGTCGTATTTTACATTGAAGTCATATTACCAATTTTTACCAATATTTACAAATTATTTTTGTATGGTTATGGTTTTCGTGGTAGTGGGGCAGGTCAGAGTTCAGTTGGAGTTCTCGTATAGGTTTTTAGGGGAAGCTCTGAGCCACTTTGCTTTACCGACCTCCTCAGACAGGTGGGGGTAAACAAAAGTACCTACTTACTAAAATAACCATTATAGCATAAACACATAAATTAAATTATTTTGTTATCAGAACATAGCAGACATGACTCAGCAGTAGATAAAAAAGTGTTAATAAAGTAATAACAGAACGGATTTCATGTCATATCTTCAATGTTTTGTGTAGCTTCAAAATAATGAAGCAATAATTATATGCGAAATTAAAGTTAAAATTGTAACTGTGATAATTGTGTATTCGTGATTAGAATATAAGTAAAACATCGTAAGTTGTTCCAACTTATCTTTAATTATAAACTTAAAAATAGAAAATTAAAAGTGACTACATATTAATAAGTTGATATTCAATAATTATAAGTTATAAAGCAAAGTAGAAACTCATTAGACTAGAATATTAAATACAAAGTGTATACCTAAAATAAATACACAGTTTACATGTTATTAAGCTGAACTCATCAATACTCTCTCTCATAATGAATTCGTTATATTATCTTTTAGTATTTTCAATTTACAATGATTGTGTTATTGTTCTTTGTCTTCTGAATGTAAAAAAAAAACAAATTGTGATTTGGATATTTCATTGCGTTTCGTTATTCCTATTTATTGGGATAAACCGGGAGACTTGTCCAGGTGGGAGAATCGAACCATCTTAAAAGTTTTTAAATTTAGTGCAAATAAAACGATAAATCGTTTTTTGGTCACATGCGAGACTATTTTGTTGTGATTGGCGTCTTGCAAAGATGCGGACCACATATTTGCTTATTTTTAGGGTCTCGTACTTCAAAAGAGAAAAAAGGAAACCCTATAGGATCACTTTGTCATCTGTCTGTCCATCGGTCCAACTGTCAAATCCTTTATCTCGGGAACACCAGGAGATATCGAGTTGAAATTTGAACCATAAACTCAGATCTACAGTCCCTTTAGGCTGTCAAAAAATGAAATTTTAAGTTTATGTGAATAGCGTATAAATATACGTCAAATGTGTAATTATTTTTAGTTCTCGTTACGTCCGTTGTGGCGCTGCCTTTCGATTTTCCATACAAAATTTGACATTGATATTTCGCACTCGCAAACTATTCGAATTTGATATTGGTTCATGCTAAGGGTATTGTACCCTTAGCACGAACTTCGACAGCTCCATTCGCCAATGCCATAGTTTCTATGGAAACTAACCAGCGAACCGGACATAAGAAAAAGCAGGCTTTTACCATAGAAACGTTGACTATAGGCGATACGAGTACTTTCTCGATAGTTGTTAGTACTTGGAGAACTGTTGTACTTTTCTGATAATCCCACAGGAACCTAAAATCTTTCTAGGATAATATGTGAATATATACTATATGTTTGAATTCAGATTATAAGCTTCATGTCAAATTTTATCCAAACGAGTAGGGCACATCCAAAACTTTTGAATTTACCTATAGGATTTCATATTTTTTTACACTAATAGTTAATTAGCATCGAGTCGTAATATAACAGTCAAATACTCTAAAGACACACACACACACTTAGACACAACACTTTGCCATCTTGCAGAATTACTTAACAACTAATTTTTTTATCTTTTCAGGTCATGTTGTTTCTCATCTGGTCTGCGGTACTGATTGTAGCCCTGATCTTATACCTCAAGAAGACCTACTCAGTTTTCTCGAAATATGGCGTGAAGAACATGACTCCAATCCCATTGGTGGGAAACGGTTTAAGCGTATTTATAGGGAGAGAGCATATAGTCGACTACTCGATGCGTATATACCAACAATATCCAGAGGAAAGGTTAAAAAAAATCCTATGCTGACATTTTATCTATACACCATGCCACGGTAATATTATCTATACAGTATTGTGACTGGGCCCTGTCCTTGAAATAACTGCCTACGGCCGTGCGGGGCGTTAACACGCGGTAGGGCTGCAATATTTACAATACAAATCGCACTTTTAAGCACGGCTAACTGCATAAAAATCAATTCACACCGTTCGGTCGTCGCTGCGGCGCATTCGCGACTGGGTGCCCACCGAGAGTCGCGCGAACTCGAGTGGCGTAGGTATGTATGACACGCTTTCCGTGACCATGCTGTTATTTCCAACTATAAATTAAAAATCCGGTCAAGTGCGTGTCGTGCCACGCGCACTGTAAGGTTCCGTAGTTGCCTGTCGTTACCACAATATATTTGAGTAGGAGTCTTTATTTTCTGTATCAGAAATTAAATAAAAACATTTAATATCAAACTATGTATCTCAACTAAAATATCTATGTCAAAGTCAAACTGCGTCTCAAACTCGCAATCAATTAAATATTTCTTTTTTTAAATACGAATGATAACTTTTCTTTCAAGTGCTTAAAAATTTCACCAGAATATAATATACTAGCGGCCCGCCCTCGCTTCGCTGCGGTGTAGAGCTGAAGTGTAGACTACAGTTTTTGTTCTCAGGCTTGTATTATACACAATGACATTCATCTATGATTCTTCTTATACCTGCATGCAAAGTCTCAGCCCGATCGGTTTAAAATTGACAAAGTTTCATACAAACTTTCATTCCCTATTTTATCCCCTTGGGAGTAGAATTCATCAAAATCCTTTCTTAGCGGATGCCTATGTCATAACATCTACCTGCATGCCAAATTTCAGCCCGATCCATCCAGTGGTTTGGGCTGTGCGTTGATAGATCACTATGTCAGTCAGTCACCTTTGAGTTTTATATATAAATATATTACGTAAAGATAGCGCGATTCAGACGCCGTTGTTGTAGGTACTCGCGTCGCAGTAGCTTTGTGGAACTAATGATATTTTAGTGTGGTTTCTAATTTTTTTTTAGATTTTGTTTTTCAAAGCAAGGTTTTACGCTACAATGATTTCCTCTATGTCACTATTAATGTTTCCTTCTGAGGAATTCTCACTAGGTAAGAAAAGGTCTTAAACTAACAAATATATCTTACCCGTTATAATTTTCCTTAAAAGTACATGAAAAGCACTTTTATATATCATGAAAATTTCCAGGTCTTTTAAGCAAATAATTTAGCTTTTAGAGGGGGGGGGGGGTGGACCTACTTGAACAATAGTTAACACTTTTTAAAGTTCAATATTTCGCGAACGGATCCCTCAATCGAAAAATAGTCTTAGGAACCCCTAAGTAATTTTAAAGGACCTATTTAACGATACTGCATACGGTAGGGTACACGATGAAAAAAACATCCCCAGGTTATATATAGAGGAGCTCAAAATTTTTTTGTTCCATTTTGTCGGCGTGATTGATATACATATCTCCACGAAATTACAGTTCTCTAGTGCTAACAATCTTCAAGCAAAACCGGTGACGAACAGATATGACAAAACTATAAAGGTTCCTTGTCAGGACTACGGAACCCTAAAATCGCTTTGTCCCTTTCCCGGGATTCGGTGCGAAGAAGAAGATAAATGGAAGTTGATTTCATGAATCGCCTTATCTTTAAGTAATTTTCAACATGACGACTCTGTATATAATAACACAGGGAGAAAAAAACAACCGTTGCTGAGTTTCTTACCGGTTCTTCTCAGTACAATGTCTACCGCTATAGATTTGCGAAATCATGGTTTAGCTTTTAGACATTCATAAGTGCTTGCAACAGCCTAATGTGAATTAATTTAAATTTTTGATTTTGATACTCGTAGATAAAAAAGTTACCATTACCAAACTATCACATACAACAACAACCTATTAACAACAACCGATAGTATTCGCGACGGAAAAACTTTTACGGTTTGCAAAAAAGAAATTAGCATCGGAAACTAAAATTGATACTTTTAATTTTCCCAGGTTCTTCGGTTCATACGAATTCTTGCGGCCGTTGGTGATAGTCAAAGACATAGAACTCATTAAGCAGATTACTATAAAAGACTTCGAGTACTTTTTGGATCATAAAACTATGGTGGACGACAGAATAGATCCTCTATTCGGGAGAAATTTGTTTTCGTTGAAAGGCAAGTAGTTCCTGCTTGCAATAAGGACGAAGATTAATTAATACAAACAAATTCAATGCAGTTTTAATGGATTCTATAGACATTTACACATTGTTTAATTCAGTCTTTTAAATTTTAGGCGAAGAATGGAAAGATATGCGCGCTACTCTAAGCCCTGCTTTCACCAGCTCCAAAATGAAATTGATGCTTCCATTTATTGTGGAAGTAGGCAACAGGATGACTGATGAACTTAAGAAACAAATCAAAGAGTCAGATGGTTAGTTAATAAGTACTGTTATATCATAGCGTAGTTTTGGAACAACAGTGAGATTATTTAACACTTTTTTAACATAATATTTGGTTGTTGAGAAATTATAAAATTCCTAATACTACAATGCCGTGGCCTAATAATAAGCAATTTGCTTCAATAATCATGGTCATGGAGATAATCTTGGTATTGGAACAATGTTCAACCTGAAATGGCGTTAAAATAACCAACACTAATCCAGGCTTCATCGATTTTTGTGAGACGCTACGAGCTATAAAATGTTTTTGCAATAGGTTTTTGAGCCTAGAACCAATGTGGTTAAAATTGGAGCCGAGCTTGGACCCAAACAGAAAAATAAACATAGACATACGATTACCGCGATTTTAGATATTCTGTAATAAAATCCGTGAATTTTTTATGATTATAGAAAAGTACTTGGATATCGAAGCTAAAGATTTGACTACTAGATACGCAAACGACGTCATCGCTTCCTGTGCCTTTGGTCTCAAAGTAGACTCTATTGCCGAAGAAAACAACGAATTCTTTAGAATGGGCAAAGTTATCACAAACTTTGGTATTTCTACTATCATAAAAATGTTCATGTTTATTTACCTGCCATTTCTTACGAAGGTACGTATTAAATACTTATGTACTTTTTCTTTTGATACAAATTGAATTAAATATTATAATATTTTCTGTTTATTACAGATGCTGAATATCAAAGTATTTTCGGAAGCCGCAGCAAATTTCTTTAAAAATCTTTTCATGAATACTATGAATCACAGAAAAGCAAATAACATAGTACGACCAGACATGATCCATTTACTGATGCAAGCAAAAAAAGGTAAGTTAGAGTTACTTTTCTGTATATCTCATCACTTAGGTACACCTATTAAATTAAAAGGCAACGTCGTTTAAAATAATCCTATACTATAAAAATATTCGCAGGTAAATTAGTACATGAAGAAAAACCATCCAAAGAAGCAGATGCAGGTTTTGCTACTGTAGATGAATCTGAAGTTGGTACGAACAATGTTAACAAAGGTAAATATATTAAATTACGCAAAGTAATAGAAGTAAATCTTTAGCATAGCAAGAAGCAACTATCGATAATAAGTTTATTAAAAAAACAATCATTTTTCAGATTGGTCTGATTTAGATTTAATCGCACAAGCATTGTTATTTTTCTTTGCTGGTTTCGAGACAGTATCTACTGCAATGACATTTGCTTTATATCAAATGGCCGTCACTCCTGAAATCCAAGAGAAACTCATCAAAGAAATCAAGGAAAATGAGATCAAGAATGGTGGAAAGTTTGACTATAACTCAATACAGAATATGGCTTACATGGATATGGTAATTTCAGGTATATTTTGCAATTTTATGTACCTACACTGAAATATTTTAAAGAACTATGAACGCCTCATTCTATCGTTGACAGAAAATATATTGTTAAGTATATAGGCATTGAAATCTTTGAATTTGAAGATTATTAAAAATATTTTAACTCTTTTCTATTTTGCATTAGATGCCTAACATGACCTAGCCTAATGGCTTTTTTATTTAGTGTTGATAACGTCATTTTTATCATTTTTATCATTTGCAGAGGTACTGAGATTGTGGCCTCCAGCTATAGCTCTGGACAGAATTTGCACAAAAGATTATAACCTGGGAAGAGCAAACGACAAAGCGCCAAAAGATTATATCGTAAGACAAAATCCATTATATATTATATTACTTCGTGAGCACTGGTTCAGCTTTCGTATTTGCCCATTATCTATTATTAATCTACTGATATTGTTTTGCTAACAACTATACTTCGTTTAAGTTTATCTTATAAAATTAGAAATTTTATAAGTGACTAACCTAAACGAAGTGTTAAACAATACTTTACTTTATTAAATCGGTGTTGAACAGTTGGCAGCTCAGTCAGTTTTTATTATTAAGATTAAGTAAGTTTTTATAATCAAAATATAATAAAGTCTAATTGATTTTCATAATCACTTTTTTAAGATGCGCAAAGGTGACTGTCTCCAGATTGCGAACTGGGCTATCCACCGGGATCCCAAATACTTTCCGAACCCCACAAAGTTCGATCCAGAAAGGTTTTCCGAAGAGAATAAGCACAACATTCAACCCTTCTCATATATGCCTTTTGGATTAGGCCCTAGAAACTGCATTGGTAATAAACTTTATTATTTTTAAATACAGCCGGAAGAAAATTACCGTGGTAATACATTTTATTATAAAAAGATAATTCTTTTACAAAGCCTCCTCTGTCGGCAGACTGTACTGAATATGGAGTAAATTCTGAGGTGTACGGTCAAGAACGGTAGACAAGAATACAGATGAAATTTTCACAGCGTTTATGTATTATTGCCGCAATAACAACAATATAATAGTATGCAATTGTAAGGATAATTTGAAAGGGTCTCCATAAATAGAACTTTATTTTACGCCGTTTTAACAAATCTTGATAATCTCTGTAAATTAAATGTTAAAGTTTGTACGATTGATTTTATGCAAGACTTTTTTTTAATAATATATTTTTTTTAATTCGTTATTTAGGTTTCCGTTATTTTTTTGCTTAATTTCATCCTTTCCGTTTAGCCGTTTTTGGGTGTTTGTACTCAATCAACAAACTTTCAAATTTAAAATATTAATACAAAAAAAAGGCTACGCGATCATCCCACATTCCCAAAATTCCGATAGAAATTAAAAGAGAAAGCAACATAAATACATTTAAAATGAAACTCAAACAACATCTTATCAAGAAAGCATACTATTCTGTAAATGAATTTATGAATGATAAGTGAAACCGACACGGAAAGCTCACTAACTTGTTTGAAACTGAAAATGTTTAGTAGTTGTGTTGATATACTCGTAGATATTGTACTTGCAACACCCTGACAGGGTCATGTACCATGCTAAAATAATTTTAAGATCCTATACTGTACATGTACAATTAATTAAATAAATAAAATGTTTCGAAATATCAACAATCTTGATGTAAATTTTCATTATTTCTCAATCGAACTAATCGGTGTTATACAACAAATACAAAAAAAGGCCAAGTGCGAGTCGGACTCGCGCAAGATGGGTTTCGTAACGTTATCTATACAAAATTAGACACTTTATTATCAAATAGAGAAAAAACCGGCAAAAAATATGACTGTTGTATGGAATTATTTTAATTTTATATTTACTTTTAAATTCAATATACAACTAAATATTCTGTAAATATTTCAAGCGTCTACCAGTTGCCGTTATTATTACAGACCAAAAAGCGGCAAAAAATACGTTTGTTGTATGGAAGTCCCACTTAATATATTTATTTTATTCTGTCTTTAGTATTAATTGTTAAAGCGGCAACAGAGGGTGTATTCTGTAATATATACCAGTATACTGGCCAGTGCTAATGACATGAATCGACGCTATACTGGTGAATTGTTCCGAAATATATTAGCAAGTGCACTGACGTCATAAATCGACAATATATTAAAAAGAGTGCGAATACAGAAGATTTTTTATTCACCTCATCAATTAAAAGAAATTCTTTTTGTTCGGATACCATTATTATTCGTTAAATAAATAAAAAATAAAATTCGAATGCATCTCACGCACGCTCGGTCATACGTCATATTCGTTTTCCCGGTAAAAATATGGTAACATACCAGTACAAGATGGCGTCGGATTCGTGACGTCATTACCACTGGCCAGTACATATCGATGATGACTGATGTATATATCGCAATACACCCAGAAATACGTCATCTATGAAAATTTCAACTGTCAAGCTATCACGGTTTTTGAGATACGTTCTGGAGACAGACAGTCAGTGGAGTCTTAGTATAGACCCCGGGAAACATCTTGAACAACGACCATAGACAAGAAACGCTGCGCGCGCAGTAGCTATTTTTCACACAAAAACGTCTACTGTGGAAGTATTTTTGTCTATGATTTCGTTCAAGAAGTTTGCCGCTACCTATAAGTACCTGTTTTTAACCCTTGGGGTATTGAACCCTTATTATAACGATGATAATCTTTACAGGTTCCAGGTTCGCTCTGTGCGAAGTGAAAGTGATGCTGTACCAAATCCTGCAGCATTTCGAGGTGGAAGCTTGTGAGAGGACCTGCATCCCACCAGAATTTATTCCTGGCCAATTCAACCTCAACCTCAAAGGTGGCAATTGGTTACGCTTGAAGATAAGACAATGACATGCTATTCCAAAATACTTTGTTATCTAATCTAAGCCTATAGATTACTACCAAACGTGATTATTTATAAGGCGATAAGAAGAGAAAAACATTTATAACGGAACTAACACCTTTTATCAATAAGATACGGATAATATTATAAGTTTGTTTAGATAATAATAAGTGTTATTCGTTTTCCATCTATGTTTAAAATTAGATACCTGATAAATCTTTTATACCTATCACAAACAATACTTTCCTCAGAGTTTACTTGTGTTATTAGAACTATTACTAATTTTTTTTTCTTCGTTTATCAGATAGATTATCAAAAAGTATTGGACACGTATTTTTTCTTTGTTCACATAATATAAACATTGCAGAGATATTGTTTTGAAAAGTCGCATGACGTAACGTTTTGGTACAATGTTCACATAAAAGTGACGTCACGAGCCCCCACTCCCAAACTTTGACGCGCTATAACTTTGTCATTTTTTGGTTGATTCCCCAAAGAAAAAATACGTGTAAATTATTTTTTCAACGAAATTCTATTTAGTCAATTCTATTTACTAAATAGAATTTCGTTTACTGTACCCCGTCATTACCCCTCTTATGAAAATTATATAATGTCTTTTCTTTTATCAATGTTTGACGTTTTAATAGAAATTTCACATGATTTATACAATTTTGGTTTTATTTTTCTCAACAACAAAGAAACAATGTGTTATACGGATAAGCAGACGTTAATGTATAAACCGGTCAAGTGCGCGTCGTTCAGTGTAGTTGGGTTCCGTAGTTGCTCGTCTATTTAATATCAGGAATCTTTGTTAGTACGTTTCATGTGCTCCAACATTCTATTGAAAAACGTAACGATAGCGCAATACAGAAACCGGTAGTACAGCGCGATTCAGAAACAATTGGTACTACGCTATATAGCGGAAGCTTTATGGAAGTAATGATGAAATTCTTATTAAGTAAGAATTCTTCTAATACGTTAGTTGAACGACTATTACTCTTAAAATAATTACTCTATCTTAACCGTTATAATTTTCCTTAAAAGTTAATGAAAAGCAGCTATTATCATGAAAATCCCAGATATTTCAAGCTAATAGTTTAGTTTTTTTTTTGCACAAAAAATCATCAATTATCATCCACAGCCTATCATAGTCCACTGGACATAGGCCTCTCCAAATGCAAGCCACTCAGATTGATCTTGGGCTACCCTACTCCTTCGCGCCTGAGGACGTCCTACACTACGTTTGCCTAGACGCGGTCTCCACTCAAGAACTCCTCTACCCCAATGGTTATCGGTTCTTCGAAATACATATACAAAAACTAAATACACAAAAAATAGAACTTTCAAAAAAATATTAATATTTCTTAATCGGATCCCGTAATCGAAAAATGGTCTTATCAACCCTGAAATTATTTTAAGGAGACCTATTTTACGATACTCCATACGACGGGGTAGACGATGAAAAAAAATTCCCCACGTTAAATGCATTAATAAAAAATCTACAACTTTGTCGGCATGATTAAAATACATACCTCTACAAAATAACAGCTCTCCAGTGCTAACAGCCTTCAAGCAAAACCTCGGACTTGCAGACAGCCAGGCGGACCTGACGAAACTGTAAGGGTTTCTTGTCAAGTCTGCGGCACCCTAAAAATTAAAACTGTAAATTTGTAGGCAAAATATCACCACCATGTTTCTATGTATAACAAGAATGCTAGTCAACTTTGTAGTAATGAACTTAAACATCACTTTACTCGCTAAGTCAGGACAAGTCTTGTGGTCAAGTTTAACTAGTTGTCTCAAACTGAACGACTTACTTAGAGTTATCTAAGTCAATGCATATCTAAAGACCGAAGTCACTTCAGACAATTTGGTGAGTTACTAACTTACTACTAACCTACTCTTAGGATACTTACACACAGGGCCGTCTTTAACCTATTGGAGGCCCTGGGCATATTATGCCTTGAACTGGGCATATTATGGTTCCTATGACTATGATGCGGATTATGCCTTGAAATGGAGCGAGTCGCACTGACTGATGTAGTACTGATGATTTTTCTTTAAAATAGCTTAGTATACCATTATACCTATATTTAAATTTATCTAAGCATGCTGAAGTCGGAAATCCTAATTTTTGGGCGAGAGTAGAATAGCTTCGCGCATGTAAAATCTAGTAAGTTGGTATTGTAGTCAGTAATTTAGGTTCGATTTCTTCGAATTTTATAAGTTTTTTGGTAATAAATATTGGTTATCGTTTGGTGATCTGACAGGTACTAGGGACTTTGTATTTGATCTGAGGGGGGCCCCTATCGATCGCGGGGCCCTGGGCACTTGCCCAAAGTGCCCACTGGGAAAGAGGGGTCTGCTTACATAGCAGATTTTCCGCTGAAATTGTGCCAACCGTCTGCAAAAGTAACCTTCCACCTTTTCGAATTTACCACTAGGGTTAGGGACAAAGTAAACAATCTAGCGATCGTGTATTTTATCGTAAAGCTAATTTTATGGTGGCCGGGATGTATATCATCATATGGACTTTTGGACAGGTCAGGTATAATAGTTTAAACTCCTACGTACTATTAGTATCTACTGTTTTTTTACATAAAATAAATAAACAGAGGAAAAAATATGTTGGTGCTTGCGATATCATATCATCGCCTCTTTCACTCCCTTCCACTTTTATTTTCGCGGTAAAAGGCGACGAAAGTCATAATTGCTTCGGTACCGGTCTGTTAGTGTCGCCGCACACGGACCACACGCCACAGCCACAAACGCCGCCACGAGAAGCTAGAAGCGGCTACTAAAGTGGCTGAAGCGCGCGTCAGCGGCCGACTAAGGTAAGGGAGAGAGGGGTGGGGAATCGCGCGAGTGACGTGTGGCGGCGTTTTGTATCGGCGCATCAAGTGGCCGGTGCCGGCCACAAGAAGCGAGCAACGACGATTTGTAGAGTGTGGCGGCCACCGGCGTATCGTGTGTGGCGAGTCCATATAAAATGTATGAAAACTACAAGGCGGCGTTTTGTGGCTGTGGTCGGTGGCCCGTGTGCAGCAACACTTAGGCTTGCAGCTTTACCGCGAATAGTGAATTGGTATTCTGCTACTCTCTGAAAGTGAAGATCGTAATCTAAGTGGTAAGTAGGTAAGGCATAGAAGACATGTCCTAGAGATTTAATGGGTACGTTCACATCAAAAGCGTCAACCGAGTCAGGACGAAGAAGGCGTACGCGAGAATGACCCAAATAACTAACGTCTAACCAAGCAGCGTATTTTAATTTGAAGTACCACAAGCACACTTCGAACACCACATTAACACAATATGAGGAATCATTGAAAATATTGCATTTTATACAAAGTTCAAGAAACAACGATGAAAAGGTGTAGATGCTGGTCCATCGCGTGGTAGAGAGAAGAACACAGACAGTGCCTAGAACTTAGAGCGAGGCCACAACATTGCGTTGTGACGTTGCATCGCAAAAACGACGTCGGCATTGCAATATACGATGCGATGCAATGATGCACGCAAAAAAAAAATATTGCGACAGCCATCAACACATCGGTAATTCCGCAATGAGTTGTGCGACGCGCCGCAGCGCAGTGTTGTGGCCTCGCCCTTACGAGCCAAGTGTAGTTATAAGGGACATTTTGAACATATGCAATAACGATCACCTCTCGCACATATTCCTCTCCCTACCGAGTTACTAACTGCTAACATGATTAAAATGTTTGTTCTATACAATCAAACTTAAAAGTTCGTGTCCTCAATTTAAATTTTCATAAGGCCTAAATTTTCAAGAACTATATTATAGAAAGATTTTGCTAGAATTCCGGTTCATATGGTGAAACGGAAAATTCCTTCTATCCACTTCGTAGTTAATCCATACTTCCATTCTAATCCATATTTCCATCTATACTAATATTATAAATGCAAAAGTGTGTCTGTCTGTTTGTCTGTTACGTCTTCAGGCTTAAACCGCTGAACCAATTTAGATGACATTTGGGAGAAGGATAGTTTGAGTCTCGTAAGGTGACAAATCATCATTTAAATGGATGAAAACTTGGAAGTTTGTATAGGCAAATTGTGTATTTCCCGAGACGAGTTGATTTTTTTCTAGTAAAAGTTGCTGTAGCTAACAATCTTCATAATTATTTATAACAAAATAAGCAATTTTCCTTGCAACCTGACATTTCTCTCTGAAATTTTAGCATTTCGCGAACGAGGCTGGAACAACGTGACATAATATAATTTACCTCATTTAATGAACTCAGTGTTCTAAATAACAGGCCCGCCTTTAGACTTTATAGGCTTAATATACTTACTACAGTAATAATTGCGTCTACCAAATAACTTGATTAATAACTTTTTTTTTAATAAACGGGTGGCAAACAAGCTTTTGGCCCGCCTGATGATAAGCGGACACCTAAAATTTTCCGGGATAAAAGGTATCCTATGTCACAATTTGGGACTTATATATATACTTATATAACTATATAAGTCCCAATTTTTTTATGAGAGAGAGAGAGAGAACCATTTTATTGACCTATAAAACGCATGCAAATGCATTATGCAAATGGACTGGGAGAATGTGCGATGGACCGGGAGCGTCCGCACTGGGCTCATTCTCTACTTGGCCCTTTCCGCACTGAGACCATTCCGCCTTGGGCCCATTTCGCACTGGGCAAAGTGCGTCTGCGTGGGTAGGATACTATTTTTATGGAATAGGAATATTGGGACATACAGACAGACAGAGAGACAGACATCACATCTATTCGAAAATAGCTAGTATATTCTCTGTTTACAGGGACCAAAATAGCGTTTTAATCCCTAGGGTCTTAAAGTGATTTTAGTCCCTAGAGAGTAAAATCAGTAAGTAATTAGGAATGTGGATATTGTTAGTTTAAATTCCAATGTCCGAAAAAAGATCAATCGCTAACATTTTATATACTACAATGTTACGTAATGTTACATTTAATAAATATAACAACGAAACCGCGCGCTCACCAAATAAAAAAAAATTGTGAAAAAAATCAAACGCGTTAAATACATTCCCCTGCGTTCATAATTTGTTTACTCGAATTCGGATTTATTTAGTTTTACAAATAATGAGTGTCTGCCTAGTGCAGTGAGAATGAAAGTATGATTAAAATATGATACAAAGTCTTATGCCATACCTATGAAATCCTGCGACGAAATAATACAAAAGCATTAGAAAATTTTATCCTTTGGAAAAATGCAAGAAAAACATGAACGATAAACGATAAATATTTGCTTCACTCATGTAGACCGTACAAGTCGTCTTGATCGTCTCAGGGACGCATTATTTAATTAATACATACTCAATGAAAATAGTATACTCTGTGCCGACTGTAGGTACAAAAACCTCATACCAAAAAAGGCATGACTAATTCAAGAGGTAATAGCATCATTAAAAAGCCAACCTTATCTAATGGTACTTTTAATTTTTTTATTATTTTTGAAATGTTGAATAAATCTCTTCACTGAATTATAAGTCCCTATAAGAGCCTATTAAAGCAGAACGTGACGAAATTTAAATGTGAATGTAAAATTACAATAGGTAAGTATGCATTAAATACACTAATAGGAAAATAAATTATATTATTGAAGTATTTCATTGAACAGAATCTTAAACACTTACCTTATTACCACAAAAAAGTTAGACGCGTTTAACAGGAGTTAGTGTTGCCGCACACGGGCCACACGCCACAGCCACAAAGGCCGCCACGAGAAGCTAGAAGCGGCAGCTAAATTGGCTGAAACGCGCGACAGCGGCCGACTAAGTGTCGCCGCACACGGGCCACACGCCACAGCCATAGACGCCGCCACGAGAAGCTAGAAGCGGCTACTAAAGTGGCTGAAGCGCGCGACAGCGGCCGACTAAGGTAAGGGAGAGAGGGGTGGAGAATCGCGTGAGTGACGTGTGGCGGCGTGGCCGGTGCGGGCCACAAGACGTGTGCAACGACGATTTGTAGCGTGTGGCGACCACCGGCGTACCGTGTGTGGCGAATCCATATAAAATGTATGAAAACTACAAGAAATATGCCGGTGGCGGCATTTTGTGGTTGTGGTCGGTGGCCCGTGTTCGGCGACACTTATGCAAGGGATCTCTCCCTTGTGGGGAATCGCGAGAGTGACGTATGGCGGCGTTTTGTATCAGCGCATTAAGTGGCCGGTGCGGGCCACAAGAAGCGAGCAGCGACGATTTGTAGCGTGTGGCGTCCACCAGCGCGGTGTACCGTGTGTGGCGAGTCCATGTAAAATGTATGAAAACTACAAGAAATATGCCGGTGGCGGCGTTTTGTGGTTGTGGTCGGTGGCCCGTGTGCGGCGACACATAAAGAAAAAGTATCATACCAAATTTACCTAAACAAGGTTTGTAACCGTGCCTGACTTTATTGTACTTGGTAAGACCGTAGCTGCTTTTCCAATTCTTTAAAATATTTTAATTTAAGAATAGGTCTACATTGGCACTCCCAACACTATTGTAATAATGAGACATTGCAAATAATTTTCCTTGTGCCGTTAATTTATAAATATTACCTCGCCTTTATGAAGGGTGCGTCGCAGGTAAATTACAGCGATTGATGAGTCGAATTGATGGGACTTCAATTAAAAAAGTTGCCGACGTTAATTGAAAATAATTATTTTCAATTAATGCTTAGTTAATTAGAATTGTGACGTATAATTATTTTTTATAACAAACTTCGAATTTATTTGCAACTGAAGATGTATCTACATCAGGGGCTCTAAAATATGGAATGAAATGATTCCAGGGCTCCACGGGTTAGGGGATTGGATCCGGGAAGGCAACGGGGCGAGTAATATCCGCTACCGTCAAGGCTGTGGTGGCTGCTTAGGACGGATTCAGACTAGCGTTTTATAAGCGCAAATAAGCTCGTTTTTGAAAGCGCATGTAATCGCGTATTGTCGCACCTTTTGCCGCACGCGCGGCTCGTACGAGCGTTGACGCGCTCGTATGCTCGTAAATGCGCGAGCCGCGAGAGACACCACTAACTACCAGTTGGAACGAAAATGCTGAAATATGCCCGTTAATGTGAGTACGATTTTCTAAGTGCATAATGTAGCACGTGTTAAAGTGCGTATGCCGAAACGACCGTATACGCGCAGAAAAAAACTCTAGTCTGAAACCGCCCTTATCATCGGGCCTATGGCCTATGACCCGGCTTTTTCGCAACCGTTTTAACATATAAAATTGCAAATTTCATCATTTCCTAACTTGTACATTAATATAGATAAAGGTAAGTATAAGTAATAAGAAGCATGCCAATGGGGCGACCATTGGCATGCTTACCGCGTGTGCGTGATTTGAGGGTTGTCGGGTAAATCATCAATTTCGCTACTTTTTAAATCTCGCAAATTAAAACATTATTAACATTATGTAATCAAATATATATTATAATTACGGGATATTTATAACGAAGGATATTTATAACTCGTTGTGAGCCCTCAATATTTCAGAAATTTAAACGGTTGCGTTAGTTCTTCGTCGTCGTTGCACGTCTTTTTTTCAGGTTCGTGTTAAAGAAGTGAAAAAACTATGGTTCTAAGATAAATAAGAATGCAGAAATTTTATACCGCACGTAATTATATAAAATACCGTCATATTTATATTTTAGCATGGTTTAATTTCTCATTTACTGATATTAATAAACAAATCTCGAACTATAAAATTTACGGTTTAAAAAGACACTTGTTCGGAAAAGCATCGATGGATAGTATAATTTTCTCTTTAGTTATACACTGTAATGTCAAAAAAGTTAGAGAATATATTGCAAAAAACGGGTCACTCCTTAAATATTTATTTAGTTCATGAGATACAACCTGGTGGCCTACGGTCAGACAGATCGACAATGGAGTCTTAATAATAGGGTCCACCTTTTACAACCCTAAAAATTATTTCCAAAGTAGATAGTAGAACTGATGTACCAGAAAAACGTAACCCCAAAGCATATACTTATTTCCATGATTTCCCCATCATCACACTGGTGTTTCGGTTTGGTGTGACGGTCGGGAACACATGGCGCTTTTGCCTTTTCACTGTTGTTATATTGTACACGAAAAATGGTATAGAACAGTTTCTTCTATCGTTTAGAAAGTTCAAATTTTTTTCGCACCCTTGTGAAGAAATTTAGAGTTAATCGTAGACAAATAAAACGAAAAGATTAATATAAATGAGTATATTATTAAAAAAACATCTTGTATAATTATAAAAATACACAATAGATATCTTATTAATAAAACTGTTTGCTAGTGAAGACTTGAAGAAGACAGTTTCAACCATTGTACATAAAATTATATAAAAAAATCATTGAACTTTTTTTTTGGACTATTTTTGTCGTACAAGATCTTAATCGCACTGTAATTGTTAAATTTTGGTTATAATAATAATAATTTATTGCATAAAAATATGGTATAAATGGTGTTTGATTATTATCAGGTCACACATATTTTAACGGTAGACAGCATGCAACAGTGTTACGCACTTTAAGCGACAAACTTTATTATATTTACGTTTCCATGTGGCTGAGCATGCTTTCAGTACAATCTTTGGGTATGATTGGAGTTCAGATTTGGAATGAAACTTCCTAATCAGAGCCTGTGGATACTTAGAAAGTTCGTTTATGATATATAGTAATTTTCACCATCGTCCATCCTACTCTAATTACAGAATATCTTATTTCTTAAAGCAGGACACGACACGATGAAGTTAACGTTACATCCTTGATCAATTTTAGGAATACAACTTCAGCTCTATGAACACTTATTTGTTTACAAAGGACATCGACGAAATCGGCCCCAGCATACACAAACGAATGTCCTACACTATTATTTATCTATTGTTATTTTACTTTATTAGCAATTAATCATAGTAAACGGACATTCTGTTGTAAAAAAATAAAAATTAAAAGTTATGTAACTAGGTACTAGACAATTTGCTGTCAGGTCATCTGTAGAGCCTTTTTGAGGTTCAAAAAATGATTTAACATAAAAATTATTTTATTTTAATTCAATTCTATTCCATTTTGAATAGATAGCTTTAATACTCGTAAATGCAATATACGCGACCATAGGTATTTATCAACATAAGAATAGAACTACGTACCTACCCTCCTTAATTAATAATACTAATAATATTTATCACTAGTATTTATATTACCAATAATAAAATATAAAAACAGGTAAATGGAAAGCCTTTGAACATTTCATTTGAAAATAAATCTATTATTTAACAGGTAGGTATAGGTATCAATGGTGCCAACTGCCAACAGTCATAAATCAATATTGAATATAAGCATTTATTATTTTTATTATTAATTGCATTTTATGTTTATTTAATTCATTTTATTTCAGTGCTTACATAGAGGTAAACTATAAATCAATTCAGATCATCAATTCATCAACTCATCGGCTTAGATTAAAATACTTTTTGCTTTAATCTAAGGTAGTAGGCCACGGTTCCTCAAGTTGTACGTATTTTAACAAATGCCTAATGAGAGTTTATGAATGATTCCGAACACAACTAGCATTTTGTCATTGCTGTGCCTTCTGGGGTATTCAATGTATAGGGAACGAACAATGTCCTTATTGTTTTGATCACCTATTCCTCCTGTATATTGTTTTAAACTTTCATTACATGGTCACGAACATTATAGCTATTAACGGGATTATTACTTCAGTTACTCCATGATCATAGCGCTTACAACAGTGCCGAAATATTGGAGACTCATAAAAATCAAAGTACATTTTAACAATTTCGTTAATAGCTATAATATTGACAGCATGTTTCTTTACCCAGGTGCTGAAAGTGCGTTTCAAACAATTTAAAAACGAATGTAAACTAAACCGCTCTTACTTTCCTCTAAATTATCATTGCCTTAGAATTTAATCAAATCTATATGAATTTGATAGTTCAATTGAACAATTAGAGGCTCTACGAATCCCGCTCACTAAGTTGTATATGGTCAGTAGGGCTACTTGCTTACGGTTTTTGACAGATCAAAGTGATAATCACCGAACTATTTACTGATCCGCGACTGCTTTAAACGCCTTTTAAAATGCCACTCAGATACTTGTAATGAAAAGCATAGATGGATATACAATTTTCTGAAAATGTCAAACATTTACAGTGTGTAATTCCTTGTTTTCTTTCGTTCCCAAAACTTTTGACACGGTCTAAAAAGAGTCCTACTCCCTAATCTTAATGCGGATCCAGTGTCCTCCTTTAAGGGAGAGGTTAAATTTTCCAGCCTCCAATTGGCTCGGGATGCAAGTCTTCTCGCAGGGGGATATCTCGAAATGTTGCAGTAATTGGTACAGCATCACTTTCAGCTCACACAACGCGAACCTGGAAGCTGTTGGAGATAGGTGTTGTTAAACGATTGTTTAAGATTTCTGAGATGTCTGCTGTTATAATGATGTATGAGTCATCGCTTTTCCGCGTCTTTTTACAAAGGTCATTTTAATAAAAAACTTCAACAATGTTATTCTATAGTACAGGACTTCAACACAAGGTATGATCTTTAAAAAATATGAATTAGATAGAGACACTTAGATTACGTGTAGTAGAACTACTTTCAAAATTAAACTATTTTAGACTGAGCTAATCGTAGACCTTGTGAAATATAAAAAACATCCTCACCGATACAATTCCTCGGACCAAGGCCGAATGGCATGTACGAAAACGGTCGAATGTTATGTTTATTTTCTTCTGAGAACCGTTCAGGATCGAATTTCAATGGATTTGGGAAGAAATTGGCATCTCTGTGGATAGCCCAAACAGCCAACGACACCGATTCGCCTTTACGCACCTATAAAATCATTAAGAAAAAGTTTCGGTAATTCATAATTAGGTATATAATATACAATAGATATGTATTCACTTACAATGTAGTCTTGTGTTGCTTCGTCATTCGCTTTTCCAATATTATAATCTTTTGTGCATATTCTGTCCAGAACAGGGGCAGGAGGCCATAACCTCAGAACCTCTGGAAGTTAAAATTTAATGTGTTCAACCAACGATATTAAATACCATCATCATCATCATCAAGAAGTGCTTGAACTCCACTCAAGCACTACTTGGTTCACAGTCACGCGTGGACCGTTACAAAGTCAAGATGCCACAGAGCTCCGCGAAAAAATGCGAAAATAATACTTAGAATACGTAAAGTGTCGTTTTTTCGACAGGTATCTGGTCAATGTTTGTTAATTTAACGCATTTGAAGTAAATTTTGATCTAATACTTACTATAAACTGATTTAATATAAAATATTTGTGATATTCAAATGCATGGTCGGTTATACGTCGCCATATAGCCGTCTCTTTTCCTCGCGGTCCGTGCCTGCTATATTGCTAACTGCGCGTTCAGAATTGCGCGTACAGTCAAAAAACTAAGGTCTCAATTCTTCCGCATATAGCAATAAGTCGTAAAATTTTACGAGCTTGCATTTCAAACTGTCAGAAGTCCTTGACGCATGCGTTTTATTTAAGACCTTATACAGTATGTATTTAAGGTTACTTTCATTATTTAAATAATGCCTTATATTGATTTTGACTACGCGATCATCTTACGGAGCTCCGTGGATCATTCAATGTACCTTTTGGACTGGTTTCGGGCACGATTTTGTTCGTGTATCTAGGGTATTTAATATCGTTGTGTTCAACATATAATTTCATCCTAAGATTTCATCGTAAGTAAAAGAAACAAAAATAACCAAAACTTCAAGTTCATTTATTGATAATTCTACCAATACTACACTAAACGCTTTGTCTTTCAGTGTTACAGTAATTTCCTAATTACCATTTTTATAATGAGTTTGTAATTCTATTAGAATGAAATAGCACATTTTAAAAGATCTGAATGTAAAGAAATAAAAAAGGAAATAAATACCGCAAAACAAATGCCGAGAATGTGTAGAGGTCCCACACTACTCTACACCCTCTACTAGAGGGTGACGTTGCGATGGCAGCCGAAAGCAATACGAATAAAGAACTGGCATTAAGGAAAAGAAACCGACGAGCCTTACTGTAGTCGCGTATGATGTGTAACATTTGAAACCTCACCTTATAATAGTAAAAAAAGAAATATAACCTACTACAAAAGGAATAAGCCATTTGAACATTATGTTCTAAAATCAAATCAAATAGCGCGCGCTTTCGCGACTTCCTGTTACACACATCCGTCCCATTTCACGAAATCACTCCCACAAATTGCAGGAAAGCGAGAGGAAAGATGTTACACGTCAAAAATAATTTTTATTGTTTCAGATATACATATAACAGAAATATACCATTGTCTTCGTCTTACCCGACACAACCATATCCATGTATACCATCTTCTGTATAGAGTTGAAGTCGAATTTGCCGTTATTCTTTTGTTCGTTCTCCCTGATCTCAGCCAGCAACTTGTCCTGAACTTCGGGGCTGAGAGCCAGCTCGTGCAATGAGAACGTCATCGCCGTGGACACGGTGTCGAATCCGCCGAGGAAGAAAAGAAGTGCTTGTGCCACCAAATCGTCATCCGACCAATCTAAAATAACAATTTTAAGTTTACCACTAATTTATTTATTTATTAAAACTTTAGTGCCACAATTACAAAATAGACAAAAGGCGAACTTAACGCTAAAAGGATTCTCTGCCAGTCAACTTTCAGGAGTACAGAAAGACACGAATGCGGCTTTAGTAAAAAAGTAATTAACTAATGTAAACATACCATAATACAAAGTACTTATCTACATAATAGTTAAATATACATGAGCACAAGACATATAAATATACATACACATACATATAATATATATACACACATCTTAATATATATAAATCTCGTGTCACAATGTTTGTCCTCAATGGACTCCTAAACCACTGAACCGATTATAATAAAATTCGCACACCATGTGCAGTTCGATCCAACTTGAGAGATAGGATAGTTTAAATCTCAAATTATAGTCGCAATTTTAGTTTATTGCAAATTATTACTTTTGGGCGGTACGAAGTTCGCCGAGTCAGCTAGTATTCATATATATATATATATAAAATATATCGACTAATAGCTTAAAGTTCCTCGGAATAGAGTATCTGTAACATCCCCTTCAACTGTAATATTAGGGTCACGCAAGGGGCAGTGTTACAAGGGGCACAGTGTAACATAAGGAATACCTCTGCCCTTTTCTTATTTTCTATTATCTGTCTTGACGTTTTTTATTAGTTTAATAATGCCGCCATCTTAAGCAGCTGTCATCAGACATCAAATGGCCGGGTATAATACCTCTGTATTATTCCTTTTGTTACACTGTACCCCTTGTTACACTATCTCCCACTTGGCCCTTTGTAAATACTTCAACAATAGACGGGCCCATGGTAGCGTCAGCGCATTTGGTCTGAGTTGGTTGAATTTCATATTTGTTGGTCATATGATGGATTAGTGGATGTATTATTTTGACCTGCTCCGTGATTCGGAAGCAAATTCGGAAGACACATTTAAACATGGGTGATATTGTTAGTACCCGCTTATCTGCTAGTTGCTGTTTCATTAGTTTGAGTTTACATTTAAAGGCTGATGACAATGATGATGACGAACAATCGGCATCATTTTATATTTCATTAGCAAAATGTTAATACAGGAACAACTTAATAGCCAAAATTCGACAATTAACTAATAAACTATTACCTTTTTGATCCATCTTCATTCCAACATTACATTCTTCGACAGTAGCAAATCCTGTATCCTTGTCTGTACATGCATTTTCCTCGTGTGCTAATTTTCCTGTAGAGATATTATTATTACATTAGATTTTTTTTTACTTTTATTAAAAACCTACATGTCTACTTAAAACTTGAGTTTAATTAATATTACAAAAACGTGTACCAGCTATTTGAACAAAAACTTGATTGAACTAATGGTGCAATAGGTTAAGTTTGCATTTTTGGAAGTACAAAGGTGATTGCTCAGCTTCCATACATGTTTGGCCTAAAGACCAATAATCATGAAAAATTTATTTCCTAGATTCAAAATTATATATAAATTACTGTAGAAACGAATATTATTGACGGACACCCCTGAGAACTTCTACAAACCATATACACTGAATGATTTTGAGGTTATGTTTGCAAATTGGTACAAATAAGTTATATAGTAAACTAGAGAAATCAAGCCAAGTACCAAAATTATGTATTAGATTCAGATTTTAGATAGAGCATTTAGATTAACAGATAGTTGCCTGTTTTAAAAGTTAATGCATAATAGTAACTTTTAAAATCAGGTGTCCGTTGAAATCTAATGACTGTAAAATAAAATATAAATTACGCCAAGATTTACCGTATATGTCAATATTTTTTGTACATTTGGGCCAATTTGAGCAATCTCCTTTCCACAATGTTAATTAGCGACAAAATGATTTAGATGGCTGACTAAAAATATATTATCTGGGATTCCTTCGTAATTCGGAAGGTATTTAAGTAATTGGATCCGGCTACGTTCCTACATTCATTATCTGTTCCAATCTGCTTTAAGACTCAGGCCCGTATTATAGAAAGATTCTCAGTGATTAATCTAGTCTTGAACATAGTCAGAAAGGGATGTCGCTATATATAGCACATAGCGACATCTCTTCCTAACTGTACCCAAGTAAAGATCAACACATAGTTGTCATTCTGTAATAAGGGCCTCAATATTTACAACGAAATTCTTATATCAGCAGCTAACCTTTCTGATTATTTTTGCTCCTAGATTCGATAACAATAATACATCGTTAGAAATATTCTTCAAAACATACGGACCTTTCTTAGATTGCATCAACAAGTGGATCATGTCCGGTCTGATTATATTATTCTTTTCTCTATCCTTCATTGTCTTTAGAATGAGACCTTTGAAGAAATTCGACGTATTTTCCGGTAAGAATTTAATTTTTAGAATCTGAAATCAACGTGTAACGTGTAATACCTATATTAAAATAATGATTTTTAAGAGATCGAGTGCGTTTTAAAATATTAATTATTCTTATCAATTTAGAAGGCAGGCAATCACCAACCTATATACTAGACTAAATCTATATATATATATATATATATAACTTAAAGGTGACTGACTGACATAGAGATCTATCAACGCACAGCCCAAACCACTGGACGGATCGGACTGAAATTTGACATGCAGGTAGATGTTATCCACTACACGTAGGCATCCGCTAAGAAAGGATTTTGATCAATTCTACCCCCTAGAGGATAAAATAGGGAATGAAAGTTTGTATGAAACTTTGTCAATTTTAAACCGATCGGGCTGAGACTTTGCATGCAGGTATAAGAATAATCATAGATGAATGCCATTGTGTATAATACAAGCCTGAGAACAAAAACTGTAGTCTACACTTCAGTTCTACACCGAAGCGAAGCGAGGGCGGGCCGCTAGTAACCTATCTAACCTATATACTAGACGAGTATATGAAAAATTAAAAAGTAAAAATGAATTAAAATTTCCGTTTTCATTTTACACTAGAATATTTTTTTTCTAGGTTTCGTCAACTAGGTACACGTTAAGTGTGGTGAAAATAAAAACGTGGGGTGCTGTTCAGACGTACCACAAATTTCTCTGGGTAAGCAAAAAGTACGAGAGTGTCGTAGAAATCTCGGTTGAAACGAAGTTAAAAATATTTATATTCCACCCACCAATCCGCACTATCCGAGTCATGGTCCAATCTCCCCCTAACATAAAAAACAAGTATCCTGCCCATTATTTAATGAGCACAGTCCATCCCGTTCCATCGCAAACGCTCCCGGTCCATAACTCACCAAACAAAACTATAAACTAATTGCCCATCTAGCTACTCGCCCTGCAGCTTTCTAGGTTATGCGGTAAACATTTGCCTAACCCTAATCCACCATACCGTCCGAAAGGAACTTTGTTCCAAAAGGTACTAGAAAGTCAAAGTCTCTTACCCTCATAATTGCTGGTGTGTAAATGAAAAATAACACCTTGACCAGCATCAGAGTGGTGAAGTTAGTGACGAACTTTCCCATTTTGTAGAACTCGTTGTCTTCGTCCATCATCGAGTCGACCTTCAAGCCGAATGCGCAGGAGGCGATGACGTCATTAGCGTACCGGGTAGTCAGATCCTTACTGTCCACGTCTATGTAGTTTACTGGGAATGAAAAAACGTCAGTAAAACGTTTAACCTCCAAATGAACATTGAACATATATATAACTAGCTGTGCCCCGCGGTGTTACCCGCGGTTTATTAGGAATATTTTCCCGCAGTAAAACGTAGCCTATGTGTTAATCCAGGGTGTCAGCTAACTACATACCAAATTTTATTAAAATCGCTTCAGCCGTTTAGACGTAGAGAGGTAACAAACATACACTCACAAACTTTTGCTTTTATAATATTAGTGTGGTATACTTATATTTTTCTTTATTTTTATTTTTTAAGCATTTAACTGGTAGTATCTTTAAATCTAATTCTTATCTCACTTTTTTGTACTTAAATTATATTTCCCAAAACTTTTCGATTAATGGAATGGAAGAAATAATAGTTTTAGTTTTTTAATAACTGAATGACATTTGTATTGAAATAATGATGATCAGACTTCATTATTATTTTTAAAGACTTACTCAGAGCCGTCAATTAACTATTTTATTAAAGTTGATGCTGTCACTATCTTTGCGATAGAAGTAGAATAAGAAATACAACACGCCACTTGGGCAAGCAATAAATTTGATTGAAGTCAAAAATATAATAACAGTCACGGTGAAATCATAACGGTCATAATCATAATCTCAGGCCAGAATGCCTGTGATTATGACCGACACAGACGGGCGTGACGCGTGAGTAAGAACTAGTAACAGAAAAAATCATGAAATAAATAAAAAAAAAACGATTTATACTTGCATTAGAGCGCCCGTCTGGGGAAGTTACCTCCAGACTTTGATTTACACGCATAGTTATAACAATCCTAATAAACCAAGCAAAGAAAACGGCTCATGTTACGCGTAATGTGTGCGTTGCTCTAATGTCAGATTCTTTGAAAGCAGTCAATGTGTGAGTGTGTAGCGACGAGCCTAACTACCATATGTAGTAGATATTTTTTTCGGTGCTTCCGTGCAGGTTATACTGTGTCTGGGCGTGTACTTATATAATAAAAGTCTCCAGTACAGTCAATTAAGAGATAACGTACAGTTTGATTCTTTTATCTTTTTTTTCAGTGACTCGGTCATCTGGTTTCCCACTTCCATCATGAATGGCACCATCAATTTTATCTTAGAACTGGTGAAAGCTGGGCTCAGTGTTGACCGCATATCCTTCCACTCTTGACCTATGTTAAAATTTATAAATGTTGTAACTATTTTTCTTTTCATAAGCATAGTTAGTATGTAACCTTAGTTAAATAATCATAGAATCAGCAAGCTTCAAACAATATATTAATGCATTTGTAACAGAGATTGAGGCGCCTTCTCCACCGCTTCGGCGCGTTCTTGTTTCCGAATCTGTACAAATTCTCTAAGCAATGCACTCGTGAATTGCTAAAAAGACAGCTTTCGCACAGAGCCTTTCCTGTACAGATTTTCTACCGAGCGCATACACACTCTGTAACTGTGTCTGTACCGAGTGCTGCGGAACCGTTCGACTCGCCCGCCCGACGTGACAGCACTATAACATTTGACAAATACCGACCGTAGGAAACAAAAGGAAACGTACCGAAACCGTGCCGTCAAGAAGTGGTCCTTGTTAAAGAATCTGTACCGTTTCGGTACAGAAACGAAAACGAAACGATCCGGTGGGGAAGGTGCCTTAATATAAAATGATGTTGTTAATAAATATTTATATTACCTAATAGTAGGGGAGCGGGGATTTTTGGATTTAATCGAGCGCAGCAGAATAACATATGGGCAGCAACCTTGCACGTAGTTAAGTACTCCCACTATACCTGAGCCATTTATGTAGGGCCGAACGTCTAGGGCAGCAAAAACAAATTTCAACATACGGCCATGACTTTTGGTAGGGTCCAAATCGTCAGTCTTTTGAATAGGAGCTACTGGAGGGTTCACGTAACATCCCTTCTCAATGTCTGACGCACTCGGTTATTTTTTCCTATATTCTACCCCTTCATACGGCCCATATCATGCAAACCGCGGCAGATCAATATTTTTTCCGTTCTTAGAAACGTTACATGAACCCTCTAGTAGCTTATATTCAAAAGACTGACGATTTGGGCGCGATCAAAAGTCATGACCGTTCGTTGAAATTTTGTTTTTGCTGCCGTAGACGTTCGGCCCTTCATAGAGGGCTCAGGTATGGTGGGAGTACTTTGCTAGGTGCAAGGTTGCTCCCCATATGTTATTCTGCCGCGCTCGAGTAAATCCAAAAATCCCCGCTTGGGCTCCCCTACTATAAGTACTTTTTTTTATTAGGTATTAGTTTGCTCTTGACCACTATAGCGCCTGATGGAAAACATCGAACCCGTTGGCGCATTTTTTTATTAAATGCTAACTACCTACTCTTAGTTACCCTGAAATTTAAAGACGATCTTATCCGATTCTTTGAAATCTTTAATCATATCCTTCATTCAATCATAGTCATAACGAAGTAAAAGATCACAGATTGTATTGAGAACTTAGTTAGCATAACATCACTGTCTTTCTCAGATTGATAGATATTAATTACTAAACAGAAATCTTGAGCTCAAGCACCCACGCAGAATGTTTCCAAAGATGCTGAGCCGTCATTTCAAACTTTGAATCTTTTAAGACACCAGAGCTACCCTTGCGTAGTTGTATCTATATTTGGATCAAATGCAAAGTAAGTTTGTTGCTTGCCTTGATTATATCGGTGAGAAGTTTACTTAGTAAAATCCAAAGAGAATAAATGTTTATTATCTTGTTTTATATCAAAAGATAATTTTGATAGAAACAATTAAACTCGGCTTAGGTACTTTTTTTACAAATCGGTCCGACAAATGACTCTACTCAACCTGATGTTAAGTAACGGTGGAGTCCAGACGTGAAGATAGCTGGTACAGAAGTATTGCCACACCAGGTGTAGTATAATGGTATTTTCTATTATTATTTTCAAAGCAATTCTTATATTTTGCTCTCCTTAAAAATCTTTCGTGTGCCATAAGCAACATATGAAAAAAAAGCCAAGTTGGCCCAGCCGTTCAGGTGAAGTACCTACCCTTCAATGTAATAAGATTTCTTCCAAACAGAGGATCGATATCTGCCTCCACCATAGATCTATGGTCGAGGAAGTACTCGAAGTCTTTAGTGGTGACTTGCTTGATCAAATCGATATCTCTGACCACGACTACCGGTCTCGTCAGTTCGAATTGCCCGAAAAATCTGTAAAATTTAGCAAAATGGATTTAAAGCACATCACATACAGTCTAAAATACTTAATACATAAACAGAGTGGAAGTAACAGTCGTTTGGACAGGAAAACGTGACGGGTGATTTTAACCAATCATCATCATCAGAAAAGGTCATCTAGATGACCCGGCGAATTTCGTGTCGTCTAATAGCCGATGAATGTGGTTAATTTGAGGAAATGGGATTTAATGAGTCAAACTTAAAACATGGACATTTATGCTATCGCGGACTTGTCTGTAGAACTTTTAAAGGAGAACAATTCCGTCATTACATGATTTAGCGCGTTCGGCTGCGATCGTTGAAGTTAAGCAACTTTCGCAGTGGTCGGTCATTGGATGGGTGACGAAAAATTTATTATCTCCTGCTCCTCCGTGCTTCGGAAGGCATATTTAGTCGTTGGGTCCCGGCTGCATCTGCAGTCGTTAGCACCCACCAATCCGCACTGAGCCCGCTTGATGGTACATAGCCCAATCTCCCTATTCCATCCATAGGGAAGGCCTATGCCCCAGCAGTGGGGACATTAAATACTGTGATGATAAAACTTAACTTTACAATTAAAAACTCCCAAGGTAACTGGGGATACAAAAATCCAAGAATCCTATCCGATATGGACCAGTCAATTTTGTGGTTCGTTATTTGACAGTAACATACTATGTCATCTTGTTTGGTGACAAAAAGCTTCCCATGTCGCATCGTTATAGCCTTATCTGCTTAAACTATTCGTTTAGCCTTTTAAACGTCATTGATAAAGAAGCATACAAACACTTATTATATTATTCTTAGTAAGTTTTTATGAATATTACCTTTCATTCGGATATGTCTGGTACATTCGAACCATATAATCAGTCATGTGCTCCTTGCCAAAGAATACACCTATTCCGGTTCCCAATAGAGGAATCGGTTTGGGGCCCTTAACGCCCTTTCTTTTGAACTTCGAATAGTTCTCCTTTAAGTACAGGGCAAATGCTACCACTAGCACTATCAACCAGATTAGGATCAGCATCATCTGGAAGAAATTCATCATCATCATTAAGCCATACGACGACCACTGCTGAGCATAAGCGTTGGTTAAACATCTTTCACGAGCAAGGACGAATCCAGGGAGGGGGGTCATGGGGGCCCCCCCCCCTGGGCTGGGTCCATCTGTACCCACTTCACAATCTGTACCCACTGTGACTTGACCACGACTATATGACCCCCTCCCCCCTGACGCCAAAGCTGGATCCGAGGGCTTCTTCTTTTTTTTTGGAGCACGTCGTGTGTGGGACTCACCCGGCGCGGGACACAGCGCCGGTCCTGCCCACTAAAACTCACAGATACCCTTCCTACGCCCATGTGGGAGCGTCATAGTGGCACACCTCTATGTGCTTACTTACTCACGGCCCAACGAGTGGACCGGGCGACTTTCAAGAAGGCCTAGGAAAACAAACGGGGATCGAGTCTGACCACTTTATGTGTACAGATGATGTATGGTGACATAAATCCTGGTCTAAATACCAAACCTAATTAAATTGATTTATTTTAGTAAAACATTATTTTGTAATTTGGGCTTAATCGCGTTACTTACTGCTATTTTGTTATGTTAAACAAAAATAGATGTCACCAGCATAGAACTCCCCCAAAGATCTCCACGCTGATCGTTTCGCTCACAGAACAAAAAAAGAGGTTAGAAAATCCTTGTGGGCGGGGCAGTCCCGCCTAGCCTTGCCAGGCGTCCGGATAAAGTCGGAAATAGTTAAGCTTTTTCATTGAGTGTCCGGCTTGTCCGACTTTTGTTAGGCTGTTTACTGTTCGTAAACGAGCGAGCGCCGAGCGTGACCAAGCGCAATCGAGTTGACTGTGGGTCGCTTTTACATTTTTTTTTTGTCATACTCATCTATACTTATAATAAATCTGTAGAGAGGTCAATTCTGTACATGAAATATTTTTTCAAAATAACTATCAGGGGGTGATTAGTGATCGATACTGATGCCAAAAATGCAATCAGTAAATATTTTGTCTGTCTGTCTGTCTGTGTGTATGTTCCTTATAGAAACAAAAACTACTAGACGGATTTTAACGAAACTTGGTACAATTATTCTTCATACTCCTGGGCAGGTTATAGTATACTTTTCATCACGCTACAATCAATAGGAGCAGAGTAGTGAAGGGAAATGTTGGGAAAACGGGAGAAGTTACTCCATTTTTTCAGCTTCCGCCGCGTGTGCAGCCTTAATGGTTAAAGTTACATAGAAATTATGTATAACGGAAATATTCTACATAAAATTGTCTAAAAAATATCCCGGAACAGCATATGTCTATCTTTTATGGTTGACTCACAATAACACGTGTAACTCCTGATAGCTTAGCAGTTCGGAGCATTCCGATTATATAACGTAAATATGAGAATTTTAGTTTGATTATAAATACAGGTAATAAAAATGACCGTTTTTATCTATATATATATATAAAAGTCAAAGGGGACTGACAGACATAGTGATCTATCAACGCACAGCCCAAACCACTGGACGAATCGGGCTGAAATTTGGCATGCAGGTAGATGTTATGACGTAGGCATCCGCTAAGAAAGGATTTTGATCAATTCTACCCCCAAGGGGATAAAATAGGGAATGAAAGTTTGTATGAAACTTTGTTAATTTTAAACCAATCGGGCTGAGACTTTGCATGCAGGTATAAGAAGAATCATAGATGAATGTCATTGTGTTTAATACAAGCCTGAGAAAAAAAACTATAGTGTACACTTCAGCTCTAGACCGAAGCGAAGCGAGGGCGGGCCGCTAGTACCTAATATTTCTGAGCCACAAAATCCTTAATGATTTTGACACCTCCGTAATAGTTTCATCATCGTCAAATTTTGTATGAAGAAGCCAGTTTGTTTTGGGTCAGGTCGTCGTTATGCACCCATTATGCGACGCCTTCGGCTGGGACACACCCACGTACGTTACAGATAGGGGGGGCGAAGGAAACTCTCGACCTCACCTCACACACATCGCGGAAGGTTGAACTAATTTATGACTCATAACATGACGTCACATAACGTGACATGACGTCACATAACGTGACAGCTGGTGTTCATCGATTTATAAGACGTTATCATTATCACGTCTAAAGATTAGATTCCTGTTTTACTTGAATCAGTTTTACTTTATATGAAAAAATAAAAATTTGATGATGCTCTCATGAGTAGTTACTTTCGGAGATAGACTTACAAACAGAAAACCACTCAATAACAAATAATTCATAAACATAGTGTTTTGTTATTGTTAAAAACGACGTATTTGTGTAAACTCTTTAGTAAGCAATCTTTTCTGGTAAGTATTTAAAAAGAGTCAACACACGCAGTAATGACACTTGAGGTTGCTGAACCGAGGGAGCTAGAGCAAATACATTACATTATAATTAATAGTACCTATAGACTTACTTTATTCTGTTAATGTTTCCACAACACTGGCTTATAAACACTGAAGTAAGATAAGTACGAGTATGTGCTAAAAATAAAGATAAATTATAGCAAGTGAAAAAATATATAAATACAGATACCAATGATAAGCACGACTGTAAAATACTGACTGTCCAGTCCTAATTGTATCAATCAATAGCAGTACATTGTGATTCAACATAGCCTTGTTAATATAGTATGAGATACCTATTATCATTGCTTACTATCTATGAAATTATCGTTGAGCGATTCGCACATATGGATAAAACAAAATTTCACAATGAAAACATAAGAATAATTATTTTATTATTGAGTAATTTCTTTCTGTTATCAGTAGCCTATTAATAGAAATATAATATTTACCTATTATGTATAGGAAAGATAAGATTTACCTAAACTCCTAAGCTACGATGATGCCTCGCTTATTTATTAGGTATGAGCAAGGTATGAAGCAAATATCACTCTTAAATTATTTTTTATTCCTTTTCCGAACAGTTAAAGAGATGGGGAAGAGTCTGTCTTTAGGGAAAAGATTCCGTATGGTATTAATAAAGATAATACACCGTTTCAATTTTCAAATTATCAAAATAAATGAAAATGTAAAACAACAACGAAAATTACGCTGCTCGTTACGGCATCATAAATGTGGAATACAATAATTAATTAAATAATTTAAAAAAAACCTACCGATTTAATGACCACAAAACGGTTTTCCTAATCGGCAACTTATACTATTAATGTTCTATTCGTCATCCAAGTGTACAGTTGGAAAAATGAATTGAATAATCTATTAGCAACAATTAACGATTTATTAATGGTATAAATTTAATTTTAATAATCTATTTACATCAGTTCATAACTGACTTATCGAGATGGACATCAAATCTTTGGTAAGTATTTTTTTTTACTTTGAACTTACATAAAGTAAATGGTAGACAGTTTAAGAGTGATACTAAATTAAAAAGAATATTACTGATCTACGCCTAGAATCTTGTATCTGAGTAAGTTAACTTTATTTCCACAAAATATAATTACGTTACTAAAACTGCAGCAATGCTAGGGACTTCAGAATTAAGTGTTTTCGACTTCGGACTCTCCAGGAGAAGAACCTACAATATGTCTACGTCCACCTCTTCACTTACTGTCTCTGTCTTTATTTAGTTTTACCTTGGGTTTTGTATTTTGTTTTTAAGAAATACTTAGGTACTTTTCTTCCTCTTTACTACAACTTTCATCAATTTATACTGTTATCTACAGTTTGCCGTGTATGCAGTGGCCATCACAATCACTCTTGCTGCATCCACAAGCGAAGTACCAGCGAAAAAACCGAATCCAAATGAATCTTTCGTGTCTGGCGTATTCATACCAGCAGATACTTTAAACACCTTACAAGTGAATTCTAAGAAAAACAAAGAAAACGCTGCGCAAGATGAAAATGTAAAAAAGCATTCAGATATAATAACGCCGGACATCAACAACGAACCTAGTTTTCCACAGAACGCTCAGCAGATTGTTACAGGAAACACTCCAATTGCTGCGCAAAATCAGCAAGCAGAACAATTGGCACCAATAGTTGTACAACAATCTACAGTTAACCAACCTCTTTCAGACCAGCAACTGTCATATGGTACACAGCAAGCAATTCTACTTGTCCCACAACAGCCCTCTAATACCCAACCAAATGGATCACCTCCTCAACAACCAGGTTCTCAACAAATTCTTCTGAACTCGCAACAAAATAGTCTTCAGCCATATCGAGACAATCAACAATCAAACACAGCATATGTACAACCAAATGGATTTAATCAACAACTAAATAATTATAACCAGTTACCAAACGTCTACCAGCAGCAGTCAAATAGTAACAACTCTCCACCAAATAGTTACAACCAACCGCTAAACGATTACAACCAACCACCAAATGGTTTCAACCAACCACCAAATGTGTTCAACCAACCACCAAATGGTTATAACCAAGTACCAAATGGGTACAACCAAGCACAAAATGGTTACAACCAAGCACCAAATGGATACAACCAACCACCAAATGTTTACAATCAACCAATAAGCAGTTACAACCAACCACCAAATGGTTACAACAACCAAAACAACCAACCACCAAATAGTTACAACAATCAAAACAACCAAAACAACCAACCACCAAATAGTTACAACAATCAAAACAACCAACAACCAAATAGTTACATCAATCAAAACAACCAACCACCAAATGGTTACAACCAACAACTAAACGGATACAACTACCAACCAGGTGGCAATCAACAAATGGGCAACTCACTACCTTATGGCAATAATCAACAGCCAAATAACAACCAACAACTAAATGTCTACAGTTCACAGCCCAATAATTACAACCAACAACCTATTAGCCAAAATGGTTTAAACTACCAGCCTAATGATTACAATCAACAAATACCGTATAACCAGCAACCAAACAGATACAACCCACAACCAAATGGGTATAACCAGCAACCTAACAACAATATACAGCAAGTAAACGAATACAACACGCCGCAACAAAACGGCTACAATATTCCACAGAACAATTACAATCAGCAACCGAGTGTTTACATTCAGCCACAAAGAAATCTCATTCAGCCACAAGGCTTAAACCAACAACTATCAAGTGCTTCTGTTCAACCAACCGGCTACCAGTCTACCATGGTATCCCAACAACCAAATCAACCTTTAATGGTCACAAACGGACAACAGCCGAATCAAAATAATTTGTTTACTATTGTTCCTCTAAATGGAAGCCCTGTGGTTTCGAATCCCACTCCCAGTAATGGTAATAATAATGCGATACTTCTACCTGTTCAACAAGTACCATCCAATTCTGTTTTGCTAGTACCAAGTAAAGACACGAGCTAATGATTGTAAGTAGGCATTTTATATTATATTTCTTAGAAGCTCATCAGATTGTTACTCAAAGTTTTTAATTTAAAGTAACGTACTTGATGAATTTTAGCTAAAATGAATATTATCAACGCCCACACACGCACGGTCCGTCCTTTTTAACCTTTGTGTTTTTTTAATTATGTCCATGTTAATTTTTAGAGATTTAATGAATTTACAAAATATCTTAGATGAGAGGCAACTTACGTAATTAACTTTCATTTCTAGATTATTGTATTTATTATCTTAAATTAAAACAAAGAAAAACAAAATTTTATTTTTATTATCTTGTAATTACGGTAAATAATGAAGCATATGACTGGCCTGACGGTAACCTTAGGATGAATTTCAACTAAACTTAATAATTACTAGCGGCCCGCCCTCGCTTCGCTTCGGTCTAGAGCTGAAGTGTACACTATAGTTTTTTTTCTCAGGCTTGTATTAAACACAATGACATTCAGCTATGATTCTTCTTATACCTGCATGCAAAGTCTCAGCCCGATTGGTTTAAAATTAACAAAGTTTCATACAAACTTTCATTCCCTATTTTATCCCCTTGGGGGTAGAATTGATCAAAATCCTTTCTTAGCGGATGCCTACGTCATAACATCTACCTGCATGCCAAATTTCAGCCCGATTCGTCCAGTGGTTTGGGCTGTGCGTTGATAGATCACTATGTCTGTCAGTCCCCTTTGACTTTTATATATATATATAGATAAAAACGGTCATTTTTATTACCTGTATTTATAATCAAACTAAAATTCTCATATTTACGTTATATAATCGGAATGCTCCGAACTGCTAAGCTATCAGGAGTTACACGTGTTATTGTGAGTCAACCATAAAAGATAGACATATGCTGTTTCGGGATATTTTTTAGACAATTTTATGTAGAATATTTCCGTCATACATAATTTCTATGTAACTTTAACCATTAAGGCTGCACACGCGACGGAAGCTGAAAAAATGGAGTAACTTCTCCCGTTTTGCCAACATTTCCCTTCACTACTCTGCTCCTATTGATTGTAGCGTGATGAAAAGTATACTATAACCTGCCCAGGAGTACGAAGAATAATTGTACCAAGTTTCGTTAAAATCCGTCTAGTAGTTTTTGTTTCTATAAGGAACATACACACAGACAGACAGACAAAATATTTACTGATTGCATTTTTGGCATCAGTATCGATCACTAATCACCCCCTGATAGTTATTTTGAAAAAATATTTCATGTACAGAATTGACCTCTCTACAGATTTATTATAAGTATAGATAGATTATCAACGCTCACAAGCCCACCACGGTCCGATCTTTATTAACAACGTATTTTTTTATGAAGTCGTTGTTAATTTTAACGTTTTAATCAAATTATAAAATAATAACTTAGAGGCAGGTAACTTATGTGGGATATAATTAACTTTCATTTTAAAAACACTGTATTCAAGAGCGTAGCCAGGATTTAGTTTGGGGGGGGGGGGGGGGGGGGGGGGTCTGGCAAGTAAAACTAATAAGACTCACCTGAAATGGCATGTAAATTTTTGCACCATCTTTCGGTGTACATTTAACATACACAGGTCATAGAAAATTTTACTAGAAAAATTTGGCCTGTATATTTATATAAATATATTTGAGAATTTAACTGCTAGATGTTTAAATCTAAAGATAATTTACTAGAAAAAAAAACCCACGCGAACCAGGCAGCAGACGAGATTGGACTGCCTGGGCCATTTTAGTGGTTATCGAGCATCGTCAACCTCAACCAAGTTTTGACTCGCCGCAGTGTAGAAAAGGACTTCTTTACATTGCTTATAGTGCAAGGCAGTGCCAAATAAATTAGTATGGCTTTTATTTGGTTGCAAGACATGTTTCCGCCTTCAAACACAACATCGGCAACCGCACCAGTAGCAATCACCGAATGGTAAGAGGCACATTGAATATCAATGTTAAGCTTGAAAGGTCTCTATTGGTGAAGTCAACGCTCCTACCCTCTCGCGCACATATCCAAAACCCTAAAGGTTTCCAACTCTAACTACAAAATCGCTTTGCTTGTCTGGAGATTGCGTATCTGAGGGCGATATTAAAAACAGGTTGGTGAAACTGTCCACAAAGTGGGGTCGAAGTTCTATAAGAATCGTAGAACTAAAGGGCACAAAAGTTTCCCTGACCATACTCTCGGACTGAAAAGAGAAGGGCAGAATATGAGACTCCAATTTTCAACGGATGCGGCAGCTTACCGGCTAATTAATAGGCAGATCTCCAAATCACAGTTACCCGACCTTAGGTTATTTAATACTGATAGCATTAAAGATACCATTAAGAACAACAGAGGTAAAAGAGTGTTAGAGAAAGATCTGTCTATCGGACAAAGTCAACTGACGTGGCTGAAGACGGAAAACGGTAGTCTCATCACCCTGAAGTCTGAGATTTTGAGGGAAGTCGAGGACTTCTATGGACAGTTGTACACCTCAACAAGGAAACCTGTTGCTGATTAAGCTTTAAATCCCAGAGCCAAATTAGCCCGACATTAACCTCAATATAGCGGATCGATTCATATCGGTCATGAATGCCCAAACAATGAATTTTAAAAATATTTTTTGTATATTTTCTATACGCCTAATATAAATATTACATATACCACGGACTCCAAATCTGTGACGCATACTCAAGACGGCATCGTACAAACGCACAATATAAGATCTTTATTATTTTAGCCTGAGTGAAATATATCTAGGACAAGTAGTCAGCTGAAATACCTCAGTTTTTTTTATGTTATAGGGGGCATGCGAGCAGACGCCTCACCTGATGGTAAGTGATCACCGTCGCCCATGGACACTCGCAACACCAGGAGTATCACAAATGCGATGCCGGCCTTTAAGGAAGGAGTAGGCTCTTTTTTTCTCTCTCAGTGCCTGAAGACCAAGGTCTTCAAACAGTGCGTGTTGCCAGTGATGACATACGGAGCTGAGACGAGGTCGTAGACAATGGGCCTCAAGTAAACTCGAAGCCGCACAGCGAATGATGGAGAGTGCTATACTCGGTGTTTTTCTACCTGATCGAATCAGAATTGAGGAAATCCGTTAAAAAACTCGAGTAACCGACATAGCTAAACGGATCGCCATGCTGAAGTGGCAATGAGCGGGGCACATTGTTCGGCAAACCGATGGACGTTGGGGTCCTAAGGTGCTTCAATGACGACCTCGCACCGGGAAACGCAGTGTTGGTAGACCCCTTACAATGTGACCAGACAACATCAAGCGAGTCGGGGGGACCCACTGGATGCGAAAAGCTCAGGATCGTTGTGTTTGGAGATCCGGGAGAGGAGGTCTATGTCCAGCAGTGGGCGTTCATCGGCTGATTACGATGATGATACTCTAAACCCTATCCCCCAATTTTGTAAATTATAAGGCGTGGAAACCTTACCCACTGCAGAAGCAAAGGACTGAATAAAGTGTTATTTGACTGCAGACTTCTCCAACATGAATGTTGCTTCACCAGCGGGTGCTCCAACTCAAGTGGAATAGTTTTCTCCCTATGCAAAAGTTCTGTCCTCGGAGCATCAGCAACACAATATACATATATTATATCACATTTTTATCATGTTTTACTGTCAAACTCCATAGTAACACTTAAGCGTGATAAAAATGAGCTATATTACGAGTATTATATATCGTGGTGTTCATGCTGGGCAGGTTGCTATTTAAATATTTTTTTCTTAAAATGGTGACACAATATGATATGGCCAAGCTGGTTTTGGCGCGCACCTCTACTCCTGAAGTATAACATCTCTCGAACCTATTAATCTATGTTTGTTGTTGCCAATTCCTAGAAGACGGTGGTAGCCGTACCCATCGTGGGCTTCAAGTTCAAACGTTTCAAGTGTGTTGCATTTGCCATCTTATTTTATTGGTTTTCAATATGGCAATGCCAATCAAAACAACCGGCAGTACCTATTGTAGAATGTTTAAAATTAAAGTTGTTTCAATTAATTGAGAAGTTATTTTTGTGCGTTCTAATAGAACTCTATCAAAATAGTTGAAAATGACATTTTCAACTATTTCAGTTATAAAGATTAATATAATCTTTAATAATGTAATGAAAAATTTCATTAAATATTTTTTTATAAACATTATATTTATTACAAGACTTTATAGATTTCGTGTCCGTTGTCTTCTGTATTAAAAATAACAGGCTGCATGGACCTTGTCCGTTCGCTTTCATTGACAAAGGAGAACTACAAAAAAAAACACATTAGATAAAAACAATATGGCGGAGGCGGTGCTACATGTCAAATTTTAGTCAAATAAAAAAATCTTTGATTTGAAAACAATAATATTCAATCATCATCATGTCGTCTTTAGAACCATCACAAAATAAAACATGGGAGCTTTCATTGTACGAATTACATCGAACGCCTCAAGAAGTAATCACAGACGCAACAGAAATTGCGGTGTCTCCTCGAAGTCTTCATAGTGAATTGATGTGTCCCATCTGTTTGGACATGCTAAAGAAGACTATGACCACAAAGGAATGCCTCCACAGGTTCTGTTCCGACTGCATAGTCACCGCTTTACGTTCTGGGAACAAAGAGTGTCCAACATGCAGAAAGAAACTGGTGTCCAAGCGCTCATTGCGCCCGGACCCAAACTTTGACTTGTTGATATCGAAAATATACCCAAGCAGAGATGAATACGAAGCTCATCAAGAAAGGGTATTGGCAAAACTTAGCATGTCTCATTCTCAAGCGTCGCTGGTGAATAGTATTACGGAAGGAATCAAAATGCAATCACAAAACAGACCACAAAGATCGCGGAAAAATCACGATGACAACAGTAATCCCTCAAATTCCAATGGGAACTCCGAAAGTACTCCAAACAACAATGGCAGCAGCACGTCTGCCCCTAAAGATGGGACTTCGACAACGGGAAACCCTACACCACCTGGCCAATCTACTTCAAATCCAGCATCTGTGCGAAGTACACCTTCACCAGTGCTTTCAAGTGTCAGTTCTGTGTCAAAAAACACAAGTACCACTAAAAGAGCAAAGTCTATTCTGACATCAGAAAGAAGTGAAGAGAGTGAATCTAGTGATGGAAGGTCTGTAAAACAACTTTTCAGTAAAAATGCACCTTTAAAAATTCAATAAAATAGTATTATTTGTCTTGATTATACAGTTTGCTATTAGTTTTGGCTAGATTAGAGGTCTGAGACAGCTCTGTTTGACAATCATAATAACTATTGTTGGTTGTTCGCAGACAACCTTTCACTAATTCAAGTCCTACAATGTGTGATGGTGTCAATTCTGACATGATTCTCTAAACTTAAAACTAAATTTAACATCAGTCTCACCCTTTCATTCTGTATAGAGAATGACAAGGATACATTGTTGTCAAATTTAGGTTTAGGTTGAGAAAATCATTCCAGAATCGATACCATTGTTTAACTAAAACTAGGACTTAGCCCTTGGAATGGAGTTAATAGAATTATTTTTATCCTAAACTGCCAAATTGTCAGTCTGCTAACACTGAATATTCATTCTATATATTTACTGTTCCAGAACTGAAGGTGAAAATTCAATGGACACAGAAAGTGAAAGCGAGCCACTGAACCCTAATGAGATAGAGCTGGTCTTCAAGCCACATCCCACAGAGATGACTGGTGATAACCAGCTCATGAGAGCACTAGGCGACAGCTCTATCAGATATTTGAAAACTGTTGCCAATGCTTCAGGTTAGTTTTACTGTTATTAGTTATTACTTAGTGATATACTCATATAGTGTATTTTGGATAGATAATACAGTGGATTTAATTTATTACGACCTGGGTTGTAGCGACCATTTACCTGTATCGACATTAAATCTAAGTCCCTTGAATTTAAAGCATACTTTAGTACTAAATTCATGTGGCTATAGTGACTTTGGATGTAAGGTGGAGTTCTGGTGTAGGGACTGTTTTTAATTAATGATTTGTAACTAAATTCCTAGAAATCCCATGCAGATATTGTGACTGGACAAGACAAAGATTTCTTTCTTTCACAAACTTTTCTTATCTTTTGTTTACGTCACACAGATGGCTAGCAAGTGTGGAGACCTTTACCTTTTGTTTATAGATATCAGCTTAGTAGGTAGGGAAGTGTATGTTTCAGAGTTTTTATGGTTCAGTTAAAGTGATATTCTGAGTAGCAACTGGGTTTAGTAAACTTTTGAATAAGTATGGCTGCTGTTTACCCACATTCATAGTTAAAGAAAAGGCAGAAATCATTTATAAATGAATATAAACTATACATGTATATTAGACCTGTCCTTAATCAGGGCAAAATCGAATTTTAATGGTCTTACCCCCCAAATTGGGTCGAAATAATTAAAGAAAAAGGTCAGAATTTTTTAAAAATTTTCCCTCCATATTTACCCACCGCTAGGGAACCTTACTTTTTGCCATAAGAAAAGCATTGATATTTCGTGACTTTTAATCTTTTTTTTAGCGTTACCCTAATATTCAACTAAAAAATCGTACATTCTCAGAAAATGTTCACAATAATGTAACCTTTTTGTCGGATTTTTTGGAATTCGATCCAAGCATTTTTGGGTCAGATCAATCGCATCTCTAATCTCTGTAGGTTGCGAAAAACGCGGGAAAAAGTCGAAAAACTATATCGACGCGGATTAACACCAACGCCCGCAAACAAAGGGTCTTGCTACCGCTGGACTCCGAGCTCCGAGAGTATCGACTTGAGGCCCTACAATCGCAGTCTCCCATATTTCGTCGATTTGGGTTAGGTGCACAATGCGTTTACGAGAAAACATTCGTTTGATTGGTTGTGTGGATTCCCAAATTTTCGGGAACAAACTACCATCAACTCGTCAAGTTTTAAAAGTTTTGTTTTTCAACACGCGAGTGTCAGGTTTTGATATAAAAACAAGTGCATCACTAGCCGTGCGTGAAACTATGATTTTTTGGACAAAAGCAAGATTAAAAACGAAGCAAGATTATAACTGCGTAACGAAACTGATGGATTTACATCGACAATGGCATCTATTGGGAAAAAATATCAATGCCCCAAGCAATAAAAAGAGGGAAGAAGAATTCTGCGGTAAACTGGATGACCTTTTTGACATCGCCCATCAAGATGCGCTTGTAGGTCTCGACGATGTAAGAACGGAATTTCTGCAAAATCAAAGGAAGCCTGGTCGTATCGGTTTCATCTGGGATATCCAAAGCACATATGATTTGATGGAGGCAGCAGAATTGCGAAAAACAACCGATGCGTTACAGAGGTTGGAAAGAATGGAACAAGAAAGAGCATTATTTGGTAAGTTTTCTCCAAATATCTTGACGAAACCATTGTTTTATGACCCTGAAGATATTTGCACCTGCAAATTTCAACCTTTTGCAACCTCTATTTTCTGACTTTAGCATTTTCGGAAAAATATCAGAATATAATTTCGTTCTTGGACCAATTACCGAGTTGTGCGTTTTTTTTTTTAATTTTTTGAACTCCAATTTCGTGTACACTAGTGGCTCTTTTTGCCATTTAGAGATTTGATTGCTATACATTTGCAGTAAGGGGCACTATTGAAAAATTTTGTAATACTTTTTGATTTCTCTTTCACATTCTCTATGGTGCTTATTTTTGGATTCTTGATGAATTTTTTTTTCAAATCAATTCTTCATCGGTATCTGCAAATTTCGTCCTTTTGTGTGAGCCATATTCTGTAAACCGTGGCGTCATTTTTTTTCATTCAGGGTACTTTTTCTTTTATCCTCAATCAGCAAAGATATGTAAGAACGATAAAAAATTCTTCCAGATGAGATCGTGGAATTGGCATCGAGTGATGGTGGCGACTTTTCACAAACGTTGTCACAAAAATCCATGGGCACGATTTCAAATTATTCCACAACAGACCATGCTGCAGATGATGCTGGACCATCAAATCCGAAAAAATCTCGAGGCACCGTAGATGTGGTAAATGACAAACTCGTCGCCGTTCTTGATAGATTTAAAGTCTCCGATACATCGGCCGTTCATTTAATTGCTTCTGTAGCTCAGTCTCTTGGATTCGATTTAAATGCGTTAATTGTTAATCGGAGCTCGATAAAGAGAAAGCGTGAAAAATTGCGTGAAATGAGGTCCATAAAAATAAAAAGTATGTTCCAAAATACTGATTTGCGAGCCGCTGTTGTACATTGGGACGGAAAACTTTTGCCTGATTACTTTAGTGGTAAGAAGCTTGAGAGACTTCCCGTTTTGATAACAAACAGTGATTCTGAGAAGCTGTTAGGTGTCCCAAAACTCGAAAACGGGAGAGGCGTTACGCAAGCAAACGCCATTCATGACGTTCTCGATGAGTGGGGTGCTTTGAGCTCGATAAAAGCTCTTTGTTGTGATACAACGGCTTCGAACATGGGTGTCATGAATGGCGCGGCGGTTTTATTAGAACAAATGTTAGAGAAATCTATTTTATACCTGCCATGTCGACACCATATTTTTGAGATAGTTTTGAAAAGCGCTTTCAATGCGAAATTAAAGTCCCCCTCGACTGGACCAGATGAACCTATTTTCAAACGTTTCAAAGATTCCTGGTCAAAAATCGATTCAACAGCGCTTCGCATTGGCATTGATGATAAAAAAGTAAAGAGCATTGTAACTGTTGAGAATATCACGAGAATCAATTCGTTTGTTGAACGGGCATTAGAAACGGACCAACCTCGAGCGGATTACAAGGAGCTTTTGATTTTGACACAATTATTTATTGGAACCGTTCCATCACAAGGAGTTGCAATACGTTCACCGGGTGCAATGCATCATGCACGTTTCATGTCCAAAGCTATTTATTCTTTGAAAATATTTTTGTTCCGAGACAGTTTCGAAATGACAAAAACTGAATATCGGGCGATCCGCGATGTATCGGTTTTTATCGTTACGATTTATCTGGAAGCATGGTTCACTGCTCCAGTCGCAGGAGCAGCTCCAAATCATGATCTTCAATTTTTGAAAAAACTCTATAATTATAAGAGTGTTGACAGAGAGATAGCTAATGCAGCTATGCAAAAATTTGTAAATCACCTCTGGTTTTTGAGCCCTGAAACGGTCGCCTTATCATTTTTTGATGAGAATTTACCATTGGACGTGAAACGTTGCATGGTGTCCGAGTTGGGCCCGGGCGACGTGATCGAAGAAATTGATCAAAATTGCCCGAAGAAAATTGTAATCAAAGTAAAAGACATTGGCAATTACTGCGACAAAGAGATCGATCAGTTTGTAACATCACAAACCCGGAATTTTTTTCTCCGATTTGAAATTGATCAATCGTTTCTAAAAATTGACCCATCTCTTTGGTCTGGAACTGCGAGTTTTCGAGAAGGTTCGGAAATTGTCAAAAAATTAAAAGTTGTGAATGATGCGGCCGAAAGGGCTGTTGGTCTATTGACGGATTTTAATAATATTCTCACGCATAATGAAAACCAGAAACAATACATTTTCCAAGTCATTGAGGAACATAGGAGAAAGTTCCCTGATTCGAAGAAGGTAACGGTCATGCAAAATTTATGAACAAAGCAATCGGTTTAAGGATGTATCATGATATTCTCTGCTATATAATTTAGAAATACGTGACAGGGACAATATCCTTAATACAATATGTGACGACTTGACCGATTTTAATTTGTATATTTGGACCTCTGAAAGATACTTTTCGACGATTTTCAGCGATTTTCGATAATACATAATTTTCAGCAAAAAGTTTCTTCTCTTTTTTTAACCTCTGCCATTTTATTCCTCTAATTTTTAACGCTCAAAATGACGTTCTTCGACTTTTTTTTTCTTTTTCCGCGTTCTTAGCAACATACAGAGAATAAAGACGTGATTGATCTGACCCAAAAATGCTTGGATCGAATTCCAAAAAAATCGACAAAAAGGTTACATTACTGTAAACATTTTCTGAGAATTTACGATTTTTTAGCTGATAATTAGAGTAACACTAAAAAAAAGATTAAAAGTCACGAAAAATCAATGCTTTTCTTATGGGAAAAAGTAAGGCTTCCTAGCGGTGGGTAAATATGGAGGGAAAATTTTTAAAAAATTCTGACCTTTTTCTTTAATTATTTCCACCCAATTTGGGGGGTAAGACCATTAAAATTCGATTTTGCCCTGCTTAAGGACAGGTCTAATGTATATGTGTCTATATATCTTTACATGTGCCTGTAGAGTGGTCCCTACATCATTGTTATACCTGAAATCCACTGTATATTATATTATGTATCCAAAATACACTATTGCACAGTGGCTGTGGTTCTTGTTTAAACCATTTCAAGTGTAAATGTATGGTATTATAACAAATTTCCATACCTGCTAACAAAAAAATATGTATTTCGTATGATGATACTTAACTACATAAAACACTTTTCTAGCTAGAGTGGATATTAAATTATTATAAAAAACAACTGATTTGAAGTGATTATTTTTAATTTAGCAACTGTGAAATCCCACAAATATACCAAAAATACACATCATTTTAATTTCTGTGCATATGAAGATAGAACCCTATATAACATTTCTGCTTTGAATAACGAAATCTGCTAAAAGATTTATAAAACTTGAGTGAATATCCATATCTGATTGGTAAATGTTTATATCTTATTAAGTGGCAGATCTGTTAATTTGAATGAGATAAAAGAAATAACCTACATGTACTATGTTGATGTTGGTTGTCAGCCATTTTGAGGAACAATTGCTTAAACACAAGGAAGAAAACTAATATAAATGAGACAAAACAAAAGTATAACTGAAAGTACTGACAACCACTCTTGTATTTTAATTCCAAATATTGTGGTATGATAAGATAAAGTAAACTGTAAACAAAATTTACAATGTATAACTTGAGACTAATTTATAACTTTGTATTTTTATTTCTGTTTTATTGTTTCAGTGGATCACTTGAGTAAATACTTGGCAATGCGTCTCACACTAGACCTAGACGCTGAATTACCAGAAGCATATCGGCTGCTGAATTTTTGCATCTATGTTGCACCTTCACCTGGACAGTTTGTGCCATTAGCTGGCTCACAAACACTCAGACAAATTAATGATAAGTTTTGGAAGGTAAATAACTTAAAGCCCTTTACTTGTAAAAACCGTCTTAGAAAAGATTCAAAAATAAGAACAAAACAAACTATGTTTCAGTAAAAGTGTGGGGATTTACTGGAACCTCCCCTTGAACTTCTTGGGGGAATGTCGAAAGACACTTTCCGCTATTTTTTTTCACTTGCCAACACTTGTGCATGTTCCCGAACACTTAATGGTTAATAATCCACCATTATTAGACGCTAAAATCCGCAACAACACAATTTTTTTAACAAGAAAAACAAAACTGCTAAAGTGACGCTTCCCAATCCCACCAAAAAGTCTATACTGCTGCTATAAAGACAATTGTACTAACTAATATTTTATATTTTCAAGAAATGCTTTTTTTTATCTTAAGCACAAGTAATACTTTTACAGTGCCTGTGTTCATACTTCTGCTCTGTTGTAATTTAAATATATAGATTTTATGAGTGTTAATATTTACATGCTTCCTTCTTTGCAGGTGAATAAGCCATTGGAAATGTACTACTCTTGGAAGAAAACCTAGAAGTAAATACATTTTAGTTATGATGAATCATAGCTAAAAGGGACAAAAGTGATAAGTTATAAGGAATTATTATATGATTTAAGTTTTAACATTGAATGAGATAAGGACTCTTTCATTTTATTTAAATGTGATATAATAATGGAATTTAATGGAATTTTCGATGAATTAGAGAATAGAATTACAGCTGCTTTGTATAAATGAAAATTGCATTTGATGTAAAATGTCTTCAACAGTACTTTAGCATCCCCAAAATGGCTACACTAAGGACTGAAGGTTTTAATATAAAAAAGAAATATTAGGAGTATGGTTTACAAATGGATTTAACTCTCTCTGACAAAAAGTTTAGCTGTACTGTAAAAAGTTCTGTTATCAAATCTCCATGAGATTAATCTGTATTATTATTAATGAAAATTTTATTTTATTGTAATTTATTTTAATGTACTTATAACAAGAACACTGAAGACCTTTATATTACCTAAACAATTATTATAATTTTTATCAACAATAAAGGATGTAATGAATTATATTAGGCAGTTATTTTAATATTTAATAAAAGAAATTTTAATTCTTATTGTTTGTATTTCAAAACATTTCAATAACAAAAATAAAAATGTATTTATTCTCACACTTTTTGGTTGGTGGTCTGTTTTGCACCTCTAATCGTGTATTTTCAATCCCTGTTTCAAAACAGTCTCTCTTTTTTTTAATTTATTTAGATTAAAGAGGTACAAAACCCTATGTACCGTGGAATGTTGTTGCTGTTTTCCAAAAAAAGCATACTAAGCCTAAATCAAATAAATAATGAAAGCTTTTTAAAGTGCAACACCATTCAAATTGGCGCCAAGTTTAAATGCCATAAAATTTAAGGCACTTTCATAGCAACTCTTGATAAATCTTCGAAAAATAGGTGCACATTCATTTCGGTATAAACTGCCTTCTAAATGCGTTATATTCTCTTCTAAGCGCTTTAGTAGCTTCTGATTTTAAAACATTGAGTAATTCTACAATCTCATCTTGATTCTCCGAATCCCTGACGACAGTCAATTTTTCCATTGTCGCAAAATCTAATTCTTCTATCCTTTCTGCTTCATCTATCAAGCGATCGATATCTCTAAGGTAACTGCGATAAGATATATTCTCAGTGCTGCCTCTATAGTTCAACAGCCTCTCAACATGCTCCCAAAAGTCCAGCACTCTTCTTCCGTCCTTCATTTTAGATGTAAACATAAAGTTTCTAAAGAACTTTCTTCCTTTCTCGTCGTTGAGTACATTTTCAATTTTATCCGTAAAACGGTCTAAATCTGCTTTGGTCACTCCTTCAAAATCATCACATCCGCAAGCGATGAAGCAATTTTCCATTTTATGTTCCCGACTTCACTACTCCCATTTTATCGACGGACTGAGCTTTTAATTTTATGAGAGGCACAAATAAGTTTCATTATCAAATAAGTGTCACTGATTAAATGAAAAGGTTAATTCTTGAACGACAACTATAGCGCACGATGATTCACCTTTGTCTAAAGGTAAAGATGTGAGGTTAACTTCAAAAATAGGTTTAGTTCACAACATGACGAACAAGACAGGCGTAAATAAACGGAGCCGATGCGTGTACTGAAATTGAGACGCGAAGCGAGTCACGATTTCCGAGATAACTTTAGTGCGCATGCTCAGTTTTCTTCACGATCCAATAAACAGCGCGGGAAATATTAAAATTATTAAATAAATTAATATTTGGTTACATTAACATCATTGCAAATTCATTTCTTAGACAAAATTCATAACGCCTAATATAGTATAGGCGCACTTGTGGTGAGTTACACAGGTAATAAGACTGCCGAATAAAACGCGAAGGCATTACATCATACAAGGTTAAAAAAATCGTGACCTCGGTAAGCGGTGAACGCTATTCATTCATGGGAATATTGAGGTGGAGCGAAGACAATGGGCCGCAACTTTACCTTAATGTGCTCAGAACCGGTAGCTTGAAACGGATTGAACGTTGTGTGTTGACTTGACAAAACAACGAAGTGTACTGTATATGGTGAACCGCGTTATAATGCATAAAAATACAGGTTATTCTCATAAAAAACACAATTTACCTAACTACTTGATAAACATAGACAACAGAAAATGATTTAGTATGAATCACGCACGGTGTGCTGGTATATTAAAACTTGTTTCATATATCTTTCAAGTTAGCTGACAGAAAAAAATAACCATTCATTCGTTATTCTTAGACGGAACTACCCAAAACTGGCAAATTAGAAGTCTTATTATCCGCACAAGTTCTCAGATTTACAGAACTTTGTAAGAAGAAGAATAATGAGTTGCGTCAAGAACATATAGAGCGAGCGACGAAACTATGGCTGCAGCGGGTACAAGAAGATTCCTTTCCACAAGTGGTAGAAGGTACAAAGATGGGACTGACCGTGCCAAAGTCAAGCCCACAGCACCAACTCAACATAGTCATGGAAGACGGGCTGCTGAAGATCAATGACCGCGGGAGCCACGCGGACGTGCCGAGCGCTGTCAAACGACCTGTCTTCCTGAGCGGGCGACACGAACTGGCGCAACTGATTGTCGTTCGTGCTCACAAGCGAGCTGGACACGCCAACACGAATAGCGGTGGGCGTTTAAACGAAAAGCGCTTCAATAAGTGCGCTTAAAATATTAAGCTTGTAAGCACGCTTTTAAGTATAAGCGTTATAAGCTTTTCACTTAAAAAGTGTGAGTAAGCTTTTCACTTAAAAAAGTGCAAGTATATTTTTTACTTAAAAAGTGCAAATCCCGCCATCTATGTCTTTGCCACGAAACTACATACTTCGATCCTTCTAGTCCAATACAGTATCGAAAAATGGGTACGCGGAATTCCTTGGAACTATAATTTCACAATATCACAGACATAGAACGCGCGACTACAGCGCTGCGTCGGCGTGCCATCTTTCGTGAGCCGGTTAATACAGCATGCGAATTATTATAAAATGCGACGTAAAAAATGCACTTTTTTAAAATTTGGTCGGATAACCAACGCTTTTTTCGTTAAAAGCGTTTAATTAAACGAAGTCGAAAAGCAGTACGCTTGTCACTGTGACGGGGTAAGAGCGCGTGGGTGTTGTACGGTGTGTTTGCATGCTTGCTTGTGTTAATGCGTTTCGTGTATTGGTTTAATGTGCATATAAAATAGTTAAAAGTATGTATATAAAATCAATGAACTTTTAAGTACGCCTGGATCACGAGTATATTAACTCCAGACAATCCTAAGCTTGTAAAGTACGAAGGAAAGTTCATTGACTATTAAAAAATCTAAATTCAATTGAAAATCTTTCGTTTTTAATGCCAATCAATTCATTAGGTTTAAAAAAACTTTTTAATAAAAATTTCATTAATAAGAAGAAAAAACGCAATAAAACACTTAACCACATTAAAAACGACAATAAACTTTTCACGCTTTTTTAAACGATATACCTAAACGAAAACACAACACAACGTCGCGCTTTTTACGCATGCTTTTAAACGTTTAAGCCAATAAGCGTTTAAACAAAAAAGCTTTTTTTCAAGCGCGCTTCTTTTAAAAAGTACAACGTTTAAACGCTTTTAAGAAATAAGCCGTTTTTTCCATCTCTAAACACGAAACGAGTCGTGAACGATATACGACAACAATACTACGTGACGAGACTACGACTGACAGCGAAGGCGACGGCGACGGCCTGTCAAATGTGTCGCCTGCGAAGAGCCAAGCCACTGAGCCCCCCGACCGGAGACCAGCCTAAGGAGAGATTGCAAGCTTTCCAGCGGCCCTTTAGTTACTGCGGGATTGATTATTTCGGTCCGATGAGTGTTACTATCGGGCGACGCCACGAGAAGAGGTGAGGCGCACTGTTTACGTGCCTCACGACTAGGGCCATACATCTGGAAATAGTGGCGTCGGTCGCTGTCAACAGACTCAGGAATCATGGCACTTAGAAGGATGGCAGCTCGCAGAGGATGGCCCGCTACAATCTACTCAGACAACGGCACCAACTTCAGAGGTGCGGACGCGGAACTGAAGAAAGCCTACGAAGAATGGCTACCGGAGCTCACGCGAACCAGGCTTCCATATGGACGACATGGAAATATATAGCTCCGGGCGCTCCCAATCAAGGCGGAGCATGGGAAGGGAAGTGCGCTCAATCAAAACCACGCTGTCCGCCACATTCAAGGAGAGAGCGCCCAAAGAAGAGGTGCTAGTGACGCTGTTGGCAGAGTCGGAACATGCGGTCAATTCACGACTATTGACGCATGTGTCTGTCGACCCAGAGGATTCGGAAGCGCCAACCCCAAACCATTTCCTGTTCGGGGTCATCAACCAGCCTCCCTTGCACAGGGCCGTGTGAAGAAGGCAGCTGAAGAACCTGAAGGACCGTACAAGCGCTGGCCGACAACTTCTGGAGACGATGGCTCAGGGAGTACCTACCACGCCTTGACCGACACCTCCGGAACGAACACATGAAGATCGGCGACGTAGTCATCATCTTCGACCCGAACCTGCCCCGCTACACTTGGCCTCGAGGAATAGCCCCTTTCCTGGGCCCGACAACGTGATTCGCAACCTGGAAATAGCAACCAAGGGCGGGACTCTACGGCGACCATCATCAAAGATCATCCGGCTGGAAACCACATCCGCACCCTCCCTAGACCAGCGGGAGGGGACACGCTGCACTCACCCGCACCTTCCCCGGACCAGAGGGAAGGGACGCGCTGCACTACAAGCAACGGCAGTCTACCTGGAGTGGCTACGAACGTACTTCTGCGCCGGAGGGAGGATGTTGATGACTGCCGCCCGGCCTACTTTAAAAGGGCGGGGCATCATGAACGGAGAAATGGTCGCATGATGGACCGCCAATCAGAAGCCACATTTTAAAAAAGACACGTGGGGTGTGCGTATTAAAGTGGGCGCTGTAATTGGTCGACGGCTCCGGACGGCCGGGGTCAAATTATTATATAAGACGAAACATTAATTGTAGGGTATCCATGCGAATTTCTCACCCGCTCCCTCGGCTGGGTGGAAACAAAAATAATAGTAAAATAAGGCAAATTGTAGTCAGCCAGGAACAATCATATTGAGAATCACTAGCTAGAAGAATAAAGGAAGTAGTATAGCAACAACCAGCGTTTTAAATCTCGAAACCTACATACAGTCCACACCAGGGATCCGAGGACCAAAGATCTTCATCACTTCACTCACATATATTTATTTATTTTTTAGATTCTGTTCATTTTTGCACTTAGCACTATTTATCTAATTATAAATCTATTCGTATTCTTTATTAAATTTATTACACAGTCAGGTCATAAGTATTGTCACACAGTAAAAACTTTTCTTTGAGAATGCTGGCCACAAAAAAGTTTATTGAATTCGAATTTTGAATTGTTCATGAAAATAAAAATGAATACTTTTTAGAATTTTACTCATTTTTAAATATGGAGTGGATGCTTAAAGAAGACCGTGTTGCAGTTACTGCGTTGCATGGTTGCGGTTACGCACCAATTCAAATTTTTGACATATTAAAAAATTTTAATATTACCAAAAGATTCCTTTATCGTACCATAAAACGATACAATGAAGACTCTAGTGTAGATGACAGATCAAGAAGTGGTCGCCCTCGGTCTGTTAGGACTCCAGCAGTGATAAAAGCTGTGAAGGTGCGAATTCAAAAAATCCCAAACGTAAGCAGAAACTGTTGGCCCTTCAGATGGGGTTAAGCAGAACCACGGTGAAAAGGGTGTTAAATGAAGACTTAGGGCTTCGGGCATATCGAAGAAAAACAGGACATCGTTTTAATGCTTGTCTAATGGACCTGAGACTGCAGAGATGCCGCGCTTTGTTGAAGCGGTACGCGGGAAAAAATATCGGGAAATTCTTTTTTCGGGTGAAAAAAATTTTACCGTCGAAGAGAGCTACAACAAACAAAATGATAAGGTGTACGCACAGTAGTGAAGAAGCGAGCAATCGTATTCCGCGTTTCCAGCGAGGTCATTTTCCGTCTTCGCTCATGGTATGGTTGGGAGTTTCTTACAGAGGTACATTTTTGTGAGAAAGGTGTAAAAACGAATGCAGTTCTGTATCAAAATACAGTCCTGACGAACCTTGTGGAACCTGTTTCTCATACCATGTTCAATAACAGGCACTGGGTATTCCAACAAGATTCGGCGCCAGCTCATAGAGCGAAGAGCACACAAGACTGGCTGGCGGCGCGTGAAATCGACTTCATCCGGCACGAAGACTGGCCCTCCTCCAGTCCAGATTTGAGTCCGTTAGATTACAAGATATGGCAACACTTGTAGGAAAAAGCGTGCTCAAAGCCTCATCCCAATTTAGAGTCACTCAAGACATCCTTGATTAAGGCAGTCGCCTATATTGACATGGACTCATACTAAGGGTACTGAAGGCAACCAACCAACGTGAAGAATTATTAGCCAGTAAGAAACTATGTCCGGTTGACCCAGGTGAGGTGTTGGACCTATTGAGCAATTTAAAAACTAACAGTGCTCCGGGGTAGGACCAAATACCAACTTAATTTTTTAAGGAATTTACACATAATTATTCAAGCTGAATCAATCTCGCACTTTTGCAACACTAGTTTTCCACAGGGACATTTCCCGAAATTCCTAAGAAAGCCCTAGTCACCCCAATTTATAAATCTGGTAATAAGACCATGGCAGCAAACTATAGACTAATTTCACTCTTATTCTGTTCTTGCTAAAGTTATTGAAAAAATAGTGACTAAAAGACTAGTACACTATTAAGAAAAAATAAACTTCCTATCCTCGAATCAATTTGACTTCAGACCAAAAAAATCGACAGAAGATGTAATACTTTAACTAACCAATAAAATATATAGACAGTGGTGCCAATTCTGGCGTGATTCTCTAAACTTAAAACTAAATTTAACATCAGTCTCTCCTTTTCATTCTGTATAGCGAATGAGAAGGATATACTGCTGTCAAATTTAAGTTTAGGTTTAGAGAATCATGCTAGAATCGACATCAGTGGCGACAAGTGCATCGGGGTCTTTATAGACCAGCAGAAAGCATTTGATACAGTATCCAATCCAATCTTAATGTAAAATAGTAATTTAATAGTAATGGGAGTATAGTCCAGTCAATGAAGGTTTTCACCTCCAATTTCGTTGCATCTCCATCGATAGATTCATGAAAATTGGTGAGTTGGTGGGGGATACCTTAAGAAACAAAAGTGACATATTGCCAACTTGCGCTTTTGCCCTGGGGGTAGATGCCAGCCCTTCTCGGTGGCGAAAATTATTTTAATAAAATAACTCGAGAAATCGATAGAAAATTAAATTCTAAGCAAAATTTGTTATATAAAGATTTTGGAATAAATCAATACTTTCTGAGTTATTAAAGATCAAAGGTTGGTAATTTTCGTGATAATAAGTATATGTCATAAAATGCATCGGTTTCCCGTTTCGTAGGTTTAAATACGTAGATTTAAGTACTCGCCGAAAAAATATACATACAATTTCCTATAGCTCACTTTGAATTAATATTAGAAGGTTTTTCAAAGTAGGGGTTTGTTTGCTTTTTCATTAGATTTAATTTTGGTAATTTTACATTTTTTGTTAAAACTCATAGTTTTTAAGTTATTTATAAAAACCACTTTAAAACATGTATTTTTATCACGAATAATCACAAACTTTGGTCTTTAATAACTCAGAAAGTATTGATTTATTCCAAAATCTTTATATAACAAATTTTCACTACATGCAAATGTGCTAAGACAATTATTATAGAGGACATCATGAAGTCTATTGCCATACATTTTTCGCGAAACACCTCCATAAACACATTATAAGGTGTGATACACTAAAAATCTAAAATATGGTTATAAACATAACAAAAATAATGAAGCTACTGAAGATATGGCTGCATAACTTAAATCTCTCAGCTTTCTTTGGTTAACGAGAGTTTAAAAATTCTCTCTAATCTGTGGCTCATTCACCATCATCACACAGTTTCCGTCACAGAGTACCTTATTTTAACCGGAAGTGCATAGATGTTACCTGATTTTAAAAGTTACTCTTGTGCATTAACTTTAAAAACAGGCTATTATCTGTTAATCTACATTGCTCTATATACCTGAATCTAATACATAATTTCGGTACTTGGCTTGATTTCCCTAGTTTACTATATAAAATATTTGTTTTTTATTATTTTATACCTATGTACCTATTTGCAAACATAACCTCAAAATCGTTCAGTGTATTTGGTTTATAGAAGTTCTCAGGGGTGTCCGTCAATAATATTCGTTTCTACAGTAATTTATATATAATTTCGAATCTAGGAAACAATTTTTCATGATTATTGGTCTTTAGGCCAAACATGTATGGAAGCTGAGTAATCTCCTTTGACCTAGAGGGAGTAGACTTGATTAAGAACGCTGGTGATACAGCTATCCTCTTCGATGACAAAACATTGGAATAAGACAAAACTACATGCAGAACAAGGACTAAAAAATGTATCGCGCTGCCTGGAGGACAGTCTACTTCATAAAAGCAGAAGATTGCTGTAGAAAATTAATTTAAGAAAATAATTTTTAGTCTATACTTTTTAAACACTAAAATCGCTGTTCGCCACGTCCGCCATGATTGTGACGTCTCTTTTAGTAAACAACTAAATGTCATTCATACATAACTTTAAAACTTGTATTTTTAAAACTGATAATAAATGAAGAGACTTAAAATATTATTCAATGAGTACTTACATCAAAGTGATCTTCGCAAAAATAAATTTCACTATGAGTTGATAAAGTTGCAGGATCACTTTTAGCAAGTTTTAACCAGGTTAATTTCTTTCGGCACTTTGATCCACAACTTTCCTGGAGTCTTCAAGTATGTGTTTTTACATTCTCGTTCAATACAATAATGATAATTACTATATTTTTCGTGGTATAATAAATACCACGAAAAATATAGTTCATAATAAAAAAAAACATGATTTCTAATAAAGAAATCATGTTTTTTTTTTATTATAAACTCAGATAGGTTATTTTCTACATGCTTACGAGTTTTTGTTTACTACCGTCGACGTCATAGCATAGACAATCTATAGACTAAAATGGCCGACAGCGTTTTTGTATGTCCATGAAAAGTCTATTTTAAAATGAAAGATTTGTAGCTATCTAGCTCTCAAAAAAATACAATACATTTTTTTTCGGTCTAATAGAACATTTATTAACCATTTAAAACATTTTTCCAAAAAGGGTCAACTAGCCTATTCAGTCAATAAAATAACTTTTGAGTATTAAGGGAAATAAATTAGGCAATAAATATTATTGTATTTTGATGTAAAAGAAAATACTGAAAGTTGGCTGTATAAATTTAGTGCCATTTATCTTTTATAATGTGAAAAATTAAACGCTAAAAACATAGCTGCCAACTTAGCCGAAGGAAATTGACGTTAACGTCGGCCATTTTGCAGGTTTTACTGAGACTGCTACACGTGTTCTGTAGGTGAAAATTTGAAATAAATATCGAAACTAACTAAATTAATCACCAGTGAAACATTACTAAGGTTTACAAATATTTCAGATTGCCGAAATGGCGGTTACTAAGAAACCGGCGCCTAAAAAAGGCCAATTGCACCAGAAGACTGGCAAGAAAGGCATCAAAGGTGGTAAAATCCGTGGCAAGGGCCAGAAAAGGAAAATCAGCCTCAAATTCGCGATTGACTGCACACATCCAGCTGAAGACAGCATTTTGGACGTTGGTAACTTCGAGAAATACTTGAAGGAACACGTTAAAGTTGAGGGCAAAACAAATAACCTAGGCAATCACGTTGTCATTGCTAGGGATAAGACAAAAGTGGCTATCAGTGCAGGTTAGTTGTATTTCATTTCTATTCCTTTCAAAACTTTATAACTATTTTATATCAGGTGTCCTTTCAGAAACATAATCATGGTTCTTGTATTGAGGTTAACTGACCAAAATTTTAAAAGTGGAGCCTGTATATAGTATACTGAAACTGTTCAACAGAATAAATCAATTTAGAAATGGCAGCATTACCGTATTTTGTTGTATGGAATTGATTCTCAAAATCATATTCAGAATCTGATTAAATACTAAAATTAAATGGTAAATAACTGCACTGCAGCATAATAACTCTATAGGTTTTCAAAATTGTAGATTTCTTTAGAAAATTCAGATTACAGTGATTTAGGAACTTTGCAGTCAAAATAATAGTTTTAAAAACCTGAGCTTTGTTAATGATTTAAAACCACAAGCTGTTACTCGCATTTGATAACGTGTTTATGCTTACTTTCCAGACATTCCCTTCTCTAAGAGGTACCTTAAATACTTGACAAAGCGTTACCTCAAGAAAAACAATCTTCGTGACTGGCTCCGAGTGGTGGCATCTGCACATGATTCCTATGAGCTTCGCTACTTCAACATCAACGCAGACAGTGACAATGAAGATAATGAAGATTAAGCTATTTAAAATACAATAGTTTTACACACAATATTTTTGGTTTTATTTGTTAATTCTATAAATACTAAAATTGAAGAAGTTAGCAAGTTAAAAAAATAGTAATTTCTCATAGTCAATCTAATACTAACTTGATTTTTATCCTGCAACTAGTGATAGAAATGAGTGCTTCATTGTGTCCTAAATAAAACACACAAAGAATAGTATTTTTGTTTATCTTCCAAGAGTATTAATGGAAAGTGAATCTAACTCAATATTTCTTGAAAATTCACTGTAGTTATTATAGTACAGGATTTGGTCTACTTTTTTGTATAATATTTAAGTTGAAAACTATTTTATTGGTGCAATGGCATTGTTCCTCCTGCCATCTGCTCCCGAGGTTCTGCACAGATATTTTTATTCTGGAATCTGACTTTTGTGGGAGTTTCTGTTATTATATGCAAATTATTACTTACAAAGGTTACTCATATCCTATTCTTGGTTATTTAGTTTCCAAAGGACTATACTATTTTTATTACTGAGTGTGACTTTTATATAAGTTTGTATATTTATGTGGAAAATTATTATACACAGGTTACTTAAATCCTATTCTTAGTTATTTAGTTTCCAACATGCTTGCTTGTGTTAAATGATTGAGGTTGTATTATTTTATCTACTTAGGTTTACATAATCTATACAGTTTATAAGCATATCCTTAGGATTTTGTTAAGGCCTTAGTTATATATTGGTGTCGATTCTAGCATGATTCTCTAAACCTAAACTTAAATTTGACGGCAGTATATCCTTGTCATTCTCTATACAGAATTTAGTTTTAAGTTTAGAGAATCGCACCAGAATCGGCACCAATTACCCTGTAAGTTTTTCAAACTCAGTTTAGAAGTCCTCCATAAAGAGATTTTTGGTAGCATCAGTTCCAGAAGCTTGAAAGTACAAAATATACGACCGCACTACCGTATGGCGTAATGGTATAATTCATATAAGCGAAGAGTCGAAGCGATTTTCAGAAACTTAACAAAGCAAATGCACCATTATATCCTCAACGTAATGGACATATTCCTTCTAAGATAAAGAGACGACGCGCGCATTTTACCGTATTCCGCCGTATTTATTATACTACTTCGATACATGTACCGAATAAACGGGGGATACAGTAAAATGTTTCTCAGCTGAGACAGTGGTGGAAGTTAAAAACTCATGTAAACTCGGCGCTTTGTTTATTCGTACCGAGTACTCGGCCGAGAGCACTGTCTCGCACGTTTGCTCGGTACGTGTGATCAAGCCATGAGCTGAGAAGGAGCAATGTTGCGGTCGTAAGGGTGAATTTGTTTCTAAAATTCGCGTCGTCTCAGCGCTAGTACGGCTTACATGACGTAGTTTTATGCGGGGCAAGTGGTGTAGCGTGGAAAGTTAAGCTGTTCTCCCCCAGCCATAAATATAGTGCATGGACTGAGCGTGAAGGAGCTCGATGGCGCAAGTTGTTACCGTGTTCGGCTTCGATCGTGGTAGATAAGCTTTCACAGTGGTCGGTCATTGGATGGGTGACCAAAAATTTACTATCTCGAGCTTCTCCCTGCTACGGAAGTCACGTTAAGCCGTTGGTCCCGTCTGCATCCGTAGTCGTTAACACCTACTAATCTACACTGGGCCCGCGTGGTGGGTCATTGCCCAATCTCCCTATTCCAACCATAAGGTAGGCCTTTGCCCCAGCAGTGGGACATTAATAGGCTGATGATGACAGACTGACAGCAAGGAAGTTTTAGACCTAAAGGTAACCGTTAAGTGTATAACTTCCTTGCTTCACAGTCAGTATTTAGAACAGGCATGTTACGGAGCTTCGACTCCAATTCATTATTAAATTTTCGATTCCGAAACTTTTAAATTGGAGGTTGAAGCATAGCAAAAAGTGACAGCGGCCTGCGTTGACCGTTACGAACTGGTACATAGCCGTCGCGTTTGGAGTCTGTGTCAGCGTCCCGATTTTTAACAGACAGGCTCTATCCCGCTTTTCGGGAATAATTTGACCGAGCGTGCAGCGTACTGAGAAAGCGCGGGCGGGTGGCACAGAAAAGTGTGGACTGGCCACTTGCCCGGCGCGTAATGAAGAACTCTTAAACAAAGAACTATTTAACGATGAGGTAAATCTGATTTAAAATATTATATTTTTATAAACATACATTTTCTATTAATATTTTTACTAGGTACCTATCTAGTGTCACATAAACGTAATTTGAGTTGAAATAAAAAGATAAATATTCAAAAACTTTTGATTATATACGTTTATTTTTACTACATCCCGCTTTGTACGAAAGAAAAACGTTTTTCACTCAAAAAGCTCCTAAATCCCGACTTGGCAAAAAAAATCTGGCAACGCTGGCATGTGTAAAAAATAGGTCAATTTAAGTGAACAAAAGGTTATTTTATATTTAAAATAAAAAAAGGTTGACTGAATGTTGTTTTTAATTGTTCTTTAATGAAAAATATCTCTTTTGTGATCTCTTCTGACTCTGCCTCTGACCCCGACTCCGATAAATTAAATTTAAAAACTTCGACTCCGACTTCGGTTCCGATAAATTTACCTCCGTAACATCCCTGATTTTGAATAGATTTTGGATCCCACAAAGGCACGCTTTTTATCTTTTTAGACCTTGAACAATTTATTATTTTTACTAGCAACCAATTATTCCAAAGTCATTCGAATAATAAAACAATCTGATGTATGTATATTAGATTTAATTTCATTTTGGTAAATATTATTTACATAAATAAGCAATAAAAACAATTCGACAACGGAAGTTGTCGATTTAGATTAGGAGAAAAGAAAAATTACTCCTTAATACTCTAACTTTGTCTACAACTACATTAAAGATACGAAGATTCACTGCCGCGACGGTATTGTCAGTATTTATTGAGAAAAATCTAGGAATTCATGAGTGAAATTTGAACTATCATTGTACAATCTTGCACTGGTTTTAAGGCATTTAAAAATGGTATAATTACCTACAACATATTTTTTACTATGTTTTATAGTAAACCTTAGTATTATTGCCTTAAAATTTATGGCAGTTACTTATGTTCTATAATGGCTCAGTTCAAGTATTATTTTACTAGATATCAGTGCAAGTTTCGCTTGGATTTTCGAAGTGTGTTCGCTCATTTGCCGGCGGCGATTTCCTTCATTCTGTTGAGGGCAGAACCAGCCTTGAACCAAGAGATTTGCTGTGAGTTCAAGGAGTGGTTCAACTTGATTCGCTCTGTGCTGCCATCTTTGTGCTTGATCTCGCAGTCGACAGGCTGTAAATACAAATGCGAGGATGAGTGTTACAGTTTGTATTGAGATTTTGAAAAGCAAAAATTATGTTTTATTTTATTTTTAAGCATTTAACTGCTAGATGTTTAAATCTAAAGAAAAGTTTACTAGAAAAAAATCCACGCGGACCAGGCAGCAGACGGAACTCGAACCAGCAGCCTGAGGCTAGAGAAAATTCGACACGGCCGTCAGGGCCGCGGTACCATAATGGTCAGTGAATTCGCCCGGATAGCGAAGGGTGCGGGTTCGAGTCCCGTCTGCTGCCTGGTCATTTAAGCATTTAACTGCTAGATGTTTAAATCTAAAGAAAAGTTTACTAAATAAAACTAGTTTTTACGGGATAATGCACGAAAACTTTATTTATTTATTGACGTTTCGTCAGAATCTTTTCAGAAATTCTGATGACGTAGCCTGTAAAGGCTACGAAACGTCAATAAATAAATAAAGTTTTCGTGCATTAACCCGTAAAAACTAGTTTTATTTAATGAGTGATGTGCGTGAAAACCTAAGAAACAAAAAAAAAAGTTTACTAGAAAAAAAGCCACGCGGACCAGGCAGCAGACGGGACTCGAACTCGAACCCGCAGCTTGCCCGTGCCAATTCGCCCGGATAGCGAATGGTGCGGGTTCGAGTCCCGTCTGCTGCCTGGTCCGCGTGGTTTTTTTTCTAGTAAACTTTTCTTTAGATTTCTCCCTTTCTATTAAAGGGACACTTCTACTTTAGTAGTCTATATCTCCCCTACTCTATTCTTATACCTCTATGGGATGAACCCAACCAACTTGGGTGGTGTATAGAGATTTTATTAGACAGATATGCGCGACTGACCAAAGCAAATTCATTTAAATGTTGATGTGTAATGTGAACTTTAGGGTTCATTTTACCTTGCCGGGGGCGAGGTCCTTGAGGCCGAGTAGCGAGATTTTGTCGTCGGGCCTGATCTTGTCGTAGTCGGAGGCGTTAGCGAATGTGAGCGGCAACATGCCTTGCTTCTTCAGATTGGTCTCGTGAATTCTGGATACAAGACAGATTGAATTAATAAAGTAAAAAAATGAAAGTTATTAGTTTTCATAGATTTTGGGCGGCACAATCGCTGTCTCTCTTTCTAGACTGTCGTAAATTCCCTCAGTTTATCATATGCTTTTCAATATGAATGTTAACCAAAAAGTTCTACCGCATCTTGGACAACTTTGAAAAAAATCTCAATAAAATATGATTTACTGTCGCACTTAAACTGTACAGTAGATCTGTGCAGTTTTTATTTAAGCAAACTCTCTATGTAAATGATTATTCTACTAGTAGGTGCGAGCGACTTTATCGCGTGGAAAAATTGGTTTACTATATAAACTTCACACTCCCTTAAAGGATGATTTCTGGGATAAAAACTATGTCCTTCCCTGAGCCTCAAAGTATCTCTATACCAAATTTGGTCTAAATCCATTCAGCGGTTTAGGCGTGAACAGAGAAACACACTTTCACATTTTTAATGTTACTAGCGGCCGCCCGTGACATTACCCGCGTTTACTTTGATTTTTTGAAATTCCACAGGAACCTAAAATTTTTCTGGGATAAAAAATCCCATTTCTCAATCCAGGTCATAAATTCAATTCAATATATTTATTGTTTCATGTGGTAATTACAAGTTCTTAGATTTAGAGTCGGATCCAAACATGAACCCTGTAAGGGCACTACAATATCAATATACATAAAATAAACAAAATACACATAATTATAATCAATCACATTAAAATTTTAGATTACAAGTACCTGCTACTTTTCAACAAAAAACTCTTGCATACTATAGAAGGTTTTATTCAATAAATATTTTTTCAATATTTGTGCAAACTTTTTAGCGTTTTGTTCTATGGTTATATATTTAGGTAATTTGTTATAGATTTTAATTGCGTTTATTTGTGGACCTGAACTATGGATTTTAAGACTTGATGAGGGTAAGGCTAAATTATCTTTGTATCTCAAATTTATAGATGTACAAGAACAGTCCTGTTTTTGGGGAAATAATAGAGGATTTTTTAAACTATATACATACATACCAAATTACATCCAAATATGTTCAGCCGCTTTTCGTGATTGAGTAACAAACATACAAATACACAAACAAAGCTTTTACGTTTATAATATTACTAGCGGCAGACCCCGACTTAAATAAGTTTTTTTAAAATTCTTCAGTAACTTAACATTTTCCGGGATAAAACTACCCCAGCCCCCCTAGGATGAGTTCCGCGATATTATATTTAATCCGTTTTTATCACAGTTAGACACGATGAAAATCGTTTTATAATGTATATTGTGGTGCTCATGCTACAGGGACAGAACTCTATCTCTATATCAAAATCCGTCTAAATCGGTTCAGCATGAAGAGTTAGCATAATGACAAGACACACTTCATATTTATACTATTTGTAGAAAAGTAGGGCTCTAGAGGCGCGGTGAAGTCCCTCAACGGGGATCTCGCGGATCCGCACTTAACAGCGTAGAAGATATTCGCAGGGTTTTTCAGCGGATAAAATGCCGTAAGTCCCGCGGACTGCTTAACGACATCTCCTTTTCGCACCCGTGAGACTTGCGAGAGGCTAGGTGTGAGGTCCGTTCGTTGGTGTGCCCCTTAAGGGTGCAAACGTTTGTAAATAGAGGTATTGCCTGCGTAATAAAAAAAAGGGCTCACCGGGCGAAAGACTTGACGATAATAGCTCGGCCGCCCAAGTGACGGGGCTCCAGGGCTGCGTGCTCCCTCGAAGAGCCTTCGCCGTAGTTCTCGTCGCCGATGACGCACCAGCGAGTGCCGGCCGCCTTGTAAGCGCGAGCGGTGGCGGGCACGGGACCGAACTCACCGGTCAATTGGTTGCGGACTTTGTTCAATTCGTTGTTTTCGGCGTTCGTCGCTCTGTTTTAGAATAAAGGAAAAAAAATGATCAGCTAAACTAAAATAACATCAGAGCAAGCGCAATTTGAGCCACTAAACGCTGCCACTAGTGGCGCAGTCAGCCACTAGAAGCAGCCACCGATAGTGGCTTAGTGGCGGCCACTCGAACGCTTAGTTTGCGCCGAAACTATACAAAATGTATGAAAAAACTTGACCGAAGCTTCTGGACGCGTTTAGTGGCTGCCACTAGCGTCTCCAGGTACAATAAAACAAATTTTGCTAAAACAGACTCATCTCAGCCTGTGCTCCATCCTGGGATATAACAATGATTTTCAGATGGAGATTCGAATTTAAATATGGCATCCTGCTCACTGCTGGAAGAAACAAGATGTGGAGGGGATTTTAGCACGATTAAAGCGTGATTTCGATCATGAGAGCCATAGTACACGTCTCCTAAGAAAGAAATAAGCGGACCGGTGTCTGATTGGCACATGTTGGAGATAAAGGGAATTGTATATGGAATTAAGAGTGATTTTGGTTATGAGCGCCATAGTTCTCGTCGCCGATGACGCACCAGCGAGTGCCGACCGCATTGTAAACGCGAGCGGTGGCGGGCAAGGGGCCGAATTCACTGTTCAATTGGTTGCGGAGAGAATCAAGTAGAAATGAGATAGTCTGATAACTGGTGGATGTAGAAATGAGCAAAAAGGATTGCAGAGGGATCAAAGTTATAGCTCTAATACTAAATAGCGATAGAAAGAAGACAAGACTCTTCAAGAAAGAAAGACATTTGATTAACAAAACCAACATAAAGGAACAATAAAACGCATTTTGTTGAAAAGCCCTCATCTCAGTCTGTTGCTCCGTCCTTAGATGTAACGCTGATTTTCAGATGGAGAGATTCGAATTTAAATGTGGTATATTGCATGATCTTCGAATAGTTTGTAAATCTACATAATATCGTGCTCGCTTTTCCCATAACAATTCGTATTACGAAGCATGATAAGTATATAAGCATGTCCTTATCACCGAAGTGCTATCAAAATTACAAATAGCATATACGAATAGCCATTTGAAAGGCCAGCCTGTGACGATAGAATTGGCAAGCAGTCAAATAAATTTGACCCAAAGAACACCGAATGTGACGAAATAATGTTCTCGTATACGTTCATCGAGTTACATTTAGTAATAAACGCATTTGTGTAAGATACTACTGATTTGTTCTACAAATAAAATCAACAAGAGTTAGTAATGGTTTTTCTGATGTACTGCTAATTTAATTTATCTGTGAGATTAAATGAAGCCGAATTTTACTAATGCTCATGGTGTTTATCAATCTGCTATTAATTCGTTGTATCAACAGAAATCAAATTACACACATTACATATTAGAGTAATCAATACAAAAAAATAATATTTTTATGAAATAATCATGTTTTTGGAAATATTGACCAAGTGTTCACTGTAATTAAGACACGGTCCGGCGACGGAAATATGTCCGTACATATAGAATCATCATTATAGCATTTGAATTATGCAATAAAACTCACGTAATAAACATGTTGTTGGAGATATTGTCCAAGTGTCCACGGTACTTCAGCCACGGTCCGGCGGCGGAAATGTGGTCGGTGGTGCATTTGCCCTTGACTTTGATCAGGATCGTCATTTCGGTGAGGTCCTTGCCGTCCCATTTGTCGAAGGGCGAAAGGAGTTGAAGGCGGTCAGACGAGGGTGATACGTCCACTTGGACTTCTGGATGTTTGGAAAAAGAAATTGATGAATAAAACTTTGAAGGAATGAAAAAGTATCTCAGTACAAGATCTCCCGCCGTACATTTGCGAACCTATGGCGTAGCCTTTTGACATTCACAAGTGATTGTAACAGCCTGGACTGAACAAATAATATTAAGCTTTTTTTTTATTTTGATTGTTAGACATTATGGTTTCCGTTTATATTTTTAACAGTGGATATTGCTTAATAATCGCTTGGATTTTTGACTTTTAAGTGTTAATAGGCTGATGTTGATGATGATGTTATACTTATTATGAATTTCACTTACTGGAACCATCAGCGGGAGGATGCTCGTAAGTATCCTGGCCGGGGTCGAATCCTTTAGCGGGTAATTCATCTCCAAATGGATCCGACAGCTTGAACTTCTTGCCATCGGTGCCGGTCAATTCGTCGGTCAGCGGGTTGAAGTCCAGACGACCTGGGGGCAAAATGTAAATATAGATCAGAGATTCATTTTTTTCCCCAATATTTATGCCTTGGATAAGTTAGATTAGAGATTCAGTTCTGAGTTTTTTTTTATACATCTGTCATAGTAAAAGCGAAGGATGCTAAACCCATAGAGCCTAAAATATATAACGTTTTATTATTATTTTTTTACAAAACTCTTTTGTGCTTTATTACAAAACGCAGACTAAATTTAAACCTGGACGAAAACTGATGATGTCACTTTTGTTTGCTAAAAAGCAGACAGGGAAAACATAAGGTTTAAACCAAGACAAACTTTTATCCGCGTTTTGGAATAAGACGGTTTTTATTTTTATATATTTACCTAAAATGTGAAAATTTGAGAAATGGTAAAATAATATTTGATGTAAAAAGTATGTGGCTCTTATTTGAGAAGACGCGATGTTGGTGACAGTGCTGTGCTTTTCAAGTAAGTTGAAACTTCCTTCAAAAGCACAGCACTATTATAGAATGGATTACTTTTCAGCACTGTGCCCGCGAGTACTAGAGTATACCGTCTTCCATATTCCATCCATAGAGAAAAGTAATGTTACAGCTTTAATTCGGCCCTTCTTAGAAATATCTCCAGGGTTTTCGGGAGTCAGAAATATTAATTAAGGCTTATGACGACTATAAAAGATTCCTCACCAGCTAAGGACAGTGCAGTGACTGAAGACTTTTGCTTTAGCTACACAGTGGGACATTTATAGGCTTATGATGATGACGAACTGTATTTTCGTATTTACACTGTTAGTGTGGATTACTTACCGTCTTAGTCAAAGTGTGGGATTATGGTCTAGATTCCCTATTCCATTCAGGGAAAACACTACAGCTTCAGTTGGGACAATCTATTAAATTCTCCAGTAATTTCGAGTCAGAAATATAAGAGGTAGGGCATAGCGAATTTTCCGCTCGTATTGAAGCACCCGTCTGGGGAAATAACCTCCACCTTACAGAAGACCACAATAAAATAACACTATAATGCGATTCAACTAAGAATAGGACCGACTGGGCGCCATATTGTGACGTCTTAGATGTCAATTCAAACCAAATCGGTAGAGTGAGCAAAAAAAAAGTTTTTATTTAATAAAACTTATTTACTAAGACGAAGTGAGAAAAAACATCAGATTAATTTAATAAAATTGATTTACTAATATTGAGAAAAAGAACAACCGATTTTTATAATATTTATTTATTAAGACTGTGTGAGAAAAAACATTAATCAGAATCTAGCACTCCAATTCCGCTTATCTCTGCATTACCGCCGGAGTAGTTATGAATAATCATGCACTATTACTAGGTTACATATGAAAATGCATCCTATAAGTAAACGAAAGTTTTAAATCGAATTTATGAACGCAACTTAAAGTACCATTTGGTTGACGATATAGGTTATCAACCAGTCATAGCCAAAGCTCAATAAATGAAAAAAAATATCAAACAATATTAATTATCAATATTGGTTATTGTTTGTTTACAAATGTTTGGTTTTTATTCTAGAATTAGCAGAGTGCTAAAAACGGTTTCCAAGTTTTTTTTTTGCAAACCGTGCTTTTCACGCAACATTTGACAGATGGAGATCATTGGCTTTCCTATTCTTATTTGAATCGCATTATAGGTACCATTTTTGGTGGTGTTCCAGGGCTTTACGAGGTAAGGGATTAGGTCAAGGTAGGTATCGCAACGTCTATAGGCTATGGTGGCCGCTTACCATCAAGCGGGCCATATACTTGTTTGCCTGCCTTTAAGGCATAAAAAAGGCTTATAATGACTATAAAGGACCTCGGAGGTTTGAAGAAGGTGCGGCGTTTTTTCACGCCAGAACAACTGTGCTTGTAGTATAAGACGCAGGTACGGTCTTGCATGGAATATTGCTCGCACCTCTGGGATGGCTTCGCCAAGTTCTTGCTCTCGCATCATAGGCGATGAGGAGGTGACTAAACACCTCGAGCCTCTTCAATTACGCCGTGACGTGGCGACACTAAGCGCTTTCTATCGTCTGTACCATGGCGAGTATTTCCTTATTCCACCTTTCCCTTTCCTTCAGAGGACTACGCGCGCTGGCCTACGTTGTCACCGTCTAACTGTGGCCACAATTCCAACGCGTATAAGCCGCGAAAATAAAGAAAAGAATCTAAGATGGCGGCGGCGATCATGCGCTCTCACTCTAAACTATTGCTGTCTTTAGTCGCACACGGCGCGTACTGCATGCAAAAAAAATATCAGTTCTGACTTTGTTCTCGCACTGTCTCGACATTACCTAATAAACAACTTTTTCTCTGTTGACCCTACCATCTGTCAGTGCAGGTACATAGACGCCATTTTCGATTCGTTTCTTTATTGGCGTGGCTTATACAAAGAAATTTGGTCACTTCTTTGTCGCACTATCCGTAAATGGAATGCTCTGCCAGCTCACGTGTTGCTTCCTTCTTACAACCTGGGATCCTTTAAAAGAGGCGTAAAGAAGGAACATGCAGGCCGGCAAGGTGAGGATGGCTGGTGTGGCAGGTAGAACTACTGTACCAGCTCTACAAGCTAAAGGAGCTCGATGGCGCAGGTGACTAGTACTTTCGGCTGCGATCGTTGAAGTTAAGCAAATTTTGCAGTGGTCGGTCATTGGATGGGTGACCAAAAATGTACTATCTCTGCAGTCGTCAGCACCCACCAATCCGCACTGGGACCGCGTGGTGGGTCATGGCCCAAATCTCCCTATTCCATCCATAGGGAAGGCCTGTGCGCCAGCAGTGGGGACACTAATAGGCTGATGATGAGCTATCTTCACGTCTGGACTTCACCGTCACTCTACGTCAGGTGGGGAGGAGTCATTTGTCGGACCTATGTTTAAAAAAAAAGGATTCCTCACCAGCTAAGGACAGTGCAGTGACCAGTTCCGGACTGGTGACGAAGCAATGAGTGGCGGGGTTGGCGTCGTTGCGACCGGTGAAGTTGCGATTGTATGACGTCACTATCGTGTTCTTTTCTCCCTTCTTCACGTCCTTGCGGTCCCATTGGCCGATGCAGGGGCCGCATGCGTTGGCCAATACCTGTGTGAGGAGTTAGAGATGCGATTTTTTTCATCTAGTCAATAGTGACTTTTGGCTGACTAACTTTTTAAATATATGAACATTATGAAGATCGAGGTGTTAGGCAACCACTAGATTAGCTTTAGAAGCGAAGTTCTATAGCTAATCTAATGGTCGCCTATTTGTTGTAATGAGATCTTTTTAAGTTGTACATTGTATGATTGTAATAATAATAATTCATTTATTGTATAGCATAAGTACAATAATGGGGTGATACTTAAGTGCATACAGTTCAGCTATGTCCTGCCATAAGTCATCGATAAAACTAATTTTATTATGTCATTACATAATAAAATTAGTTTTATCGATTATCGATCTTCATCTGTGAGTATATTCATTTTCATACGACAATTGTAATATAATTTTATGAATCCATATCGAATAGTAAAGGCCATTTAGAGATTATCGCATTACAGAGCTTGTAATAAATCTGCTTACGTAATACTTGAACGGCCCTAAGCTGATGATGATGAAGTTGATCAAGTTAATTAATTACTCACGGTTCCGCCGAATTCCCTGAGGGTCTGAGCGATTCCGTCACGCTCGATAGTGGCGCGCACTTGTTCCGATCCAGGGGTCACGTTGAAGGGAATTTTGGACTTCACGCCATGTTTCAGCGCCTACGAATAAACAATTCACTTATTGATGTGTAACATCTTTCCTCTCGCTTTCCTGCAATTTATGGGATTGATTTCGTGAAGTGGGACAGAAGTGTGTAACAGGAAGTTTGGGAAGCGCGCGCTTTTTGATTTGATTTTAGAACATAGTGTTTAAATGGCTTATTCGCATGTAGTAGGTTTTATTTCTTTTTTTACTAATTTAAGGTGAGCTTTCCAATGTAGACATACGCGACTACTGTAAGGCTCGCTCGTTTTATATTGATTTCTTCTTAGAAGATAGTCTACACGATTATTAAGGTCCAGGTATCATAGCGATTACCGCCCTGAAACTTTCAGAGTTGAATGTTTTTCTAGTAAAAATGTTGTCTAGAATATTACTTAGGGTAGATTGGGCAGCTTGAAATTTTTCCTGGGGTTGTAAAATGGCGACATTTGTATGAATTCATTATAGACGAATGTATTGGAAACATAGTCATTAATATTGATATTTTTAGATAAACATTTTTTATTAAATAAAAGCGAATATAAAATATAATAGTAAACATCGACCAAAGTATAAATTCAAACTCATTTATTCAATCTAGGCTGTTACAAGCTCTTGTGAAAGTCAAACGCTACGCCATCAGCTCGTAAATCTACGGCGGGAGACCTTGTACTGAGAAGAACCGGCAAGGAACTTAGCAAGGGCTATTTTTTTTTCTCCCTGTTTTGTTTCATAGTGTCGTCAATTGAAAGATGGAATCACAAAATGGAAAACATAACATATTGTTTGATGTATCTATATTTCGCGTAAATAGAGAAAAGAATCGAAAATAGCGACGCATCATATTCTATCTCTTTCGCACTATTCGGTCAGGAACAATGTGCAAATGGGAGAAGAGGGGAATTGTCAATTATTATAGTATTCTTTAGATTTATAATTTTCATTGGCGAGAGTTAATTTAAAATCATGCAATTTAATCATTACATTTCTTTTGACTTGATTGATGTAAAATTCAATATTAGTGCAAACCAAAAATCTAGATCTTATAGAACTCTTGAGTAATTTGCAAAATGTCAATTTAAATATCTTATATTGCGAACCATGAGAAGCGAATCATATTGTTTACAAAACATCAACTGTGAATGTCTAGACCTACATCTTGTACATGTCCTTACTAAGATAACCCAGTCAGTAGCTACAAGATTAGAAAATTATTAAAATAATAGTACATTCCATAATAGACTGTTTTCCGTAATAAATAAAAGCTTGTAAAGGAGTTTAATTTTACACAAATATTGTTTAATTATATGTAACGCTAATAGTCTTATAGTAAACAATTCGTTTTATACATCGTCAACTTACTTTTTATTCTCTTAGTCTTTCTACGGTCATTTATTATGCAAACTTTCTGAATATATTTCTCAAAATCCTATATTAATGACACCATTTTGCCATTATTTGAGTTTTAATTCTTCTACAGAAATATATTACAACCAATGAATTAGAAATGATATAAAAGCATTACTTTCTCAGAAAGGCCGCTAAAACAGGGTCCCAAACATACAAATAAACTTCAATACTAACACGACACGCACAAAAACAAAACCAAATAATTTGCCCAATCAAATATCTACCAAAGAATTCGGTTATCCAGTCATTGGGTAAGATAATATTAAACAGAAATCCCAATCCATCGCATGATCGCCATTTTGATCGTGCTTTTGACGCCCCGCCCACTAGATCGCAGTTTGAGTGAAGCCACTTTTTAGTGCAATAATTTATATTGCATTATTTGTTGTATCATAAATTTTTTTGAACGACGCAAGCTTGGCTTTACTTATATAAAACGAAGCGGTCTTTCACACTTAACGGCTTGGACAGTATTGCGAGGCGTTCTTCTTGGCCGCCTCACCAAGTTTCGTATTGTAATTTCTATGGTCAATAATATAACATGCCCCCTCAAATACCATCCCATGATTGGCATTTCGATGGTACTTTTTAAGCCCCGCCCACTAGATCGCAGTTTGTGTGGAGCCACTTTCTAGCGCAATTTCTATTTCATATTATTTATAAGTAGTTGTTGTTCCTATAAATGTTCTTGAACTAGCGCAAGCTGTGTCTTTTCTTATATAAAACGAAGCACTCTTTCACACATAACGGCTTGGACATTATTGCAAGGCGTTCTTCTTGGCCGCCTCACCTAGTTTCCTATTGTTATTTCAATGGTCAGTAATAAAATAAATACTAACGATTTAATGGACCATTTTGTATTTTGTAATAAACAATTTGTCCCCTCAAATACTTACCTCTTTGACGATGCTAGCACAGCGACCCATGTCCTCGTAAGAAGAATTGGTGCAAGATCCGATGAGACCAACTTTGATGTCAATGGGCCAGTCGTTCTTCTTGGCCACTGCCCCAAGTTTAGAAATGGGGTTCGCTAGATCCGGAGTGAATGGTCCGTTGACGTGGGGCTCCAGTGTCGACAGGTCGATTTCGACCAGCTGTGGATATTTTTGAAATGTCAGTATATGGCCCGAGATATAATATAATTTAAAAATTCATATTGATATATATCATAGAGTTTATGAATAAAAACCGGTTGAGGAAAAATACATAAGAAGCGGCCAATCTATAAGTTACTCAATATTCAATACTTAGATGAGAATGAATCAAGGCAGCAATGAACTTATAAAATTGCTAAATAAACTATATAGAAATAAATTTGTAACGCACTTTCTTTGTCATACAACTGCTTTCAGAATATATGTTTGAAAAACTGCATGGCAAGAGAAAGAGGGCAGCCATAGGCCAGAGTAACTAGCTCGTTTCTACCAAGAGTATAAAATTACAAGTTCCTGTCAATAATGTTTAACAGTTCCTACTTGAAATATTGTTTTGTGATAGTTACCTGGTCGTAAGGAGCCTTCGGGTCAGGTGTGAGCAGGTGCTTGTAGGAGTTGGCATTTGCAGCGATATCGTGGCGGCCGGTCGACTTCAGGTAAGCTTCCATGCGTGCGTTGTAGGGAAACACCTGTTTATGTATAAAGGAAGCAATAAAATGAAGCAAAAGTTACGACATACAAGTATTTAATAGACAAATGACACTGACGGTACGGCTGGTCCACAGGGTCAAAGTCGCTCAGCGCGCTATGGAAAGGGCTATTATACTCGGCGTTTCTCTGAAGGGTCGTATCAGAAATGAGGTAATCCGACAGAGAACCAGAGTTATCGACATATATTTTAGCAAGCTGAAGTGGCAGTGGGCTGGCCATATTTGCCGAAGAACCGATAACCGTTGGGGTAGAGAAGTTATGGAGTGAATACCGCGTCTAGGCAAACGTAGTGTCGGAAGTCCTCAGGCACGATAGACTGACGATTTGCGCAAGGTGGCTAGCAGGAGCTGGATACGAGTAGCCCAAGATCGATCTGAGTGGCGTGCAATTGGCGAGGCCTATGTCCAACAGTGGACTAAGATGGGCTGTTGAAGATTGATGAATAGGCAAATAGTAATATGATGTGAATGAAAGGCCAATCGAGATGGGCTCCATTGTAACTGGAGTCAGTATAGAGCAGCTAATGAAAGAATGCGATCCTGACAGGTCATGTCAGTTCCTTATGGGAACAGAATTTAAGTTTATTTTCGTTTTTTTTTACAAGATGGAAAGGTCACGTAATCGTAGCAGAAAGTTTAATGTACCTTGTAATTGCGACCTTAACATTCTTAAAACAATACGTTACAATTGGTTTGAACTTAGACATCATTTGATTCTGACTTCTCTTTAGCAAACATTGGTGACATACATTATGACTGAAACCGGTGGCCGGGGCTCATGCCTTTCATCCAATTAATATGTTCTCGTGAGTACTCAAAATATGACATGCTCGGATCTCATACAATTTGAAGCACATGTGTCGTCTACTTAAATCTAGGTCTGTGGTAACGGCTAATACCTTTTTTTTTCTTGTATATAAAGGACAATGTTAAAATTGGCCTAAGAACCAACACCAATTTGGCATTTATGATAATTCTTAGTATATTTTTTTGCGATAATTATCAGTACTTAGATTGTAACAGACACTTCCAGTTAATTATAGATATTAACGGGATTGTTACCATGTACCTTGTTTTTTATGAGTCTCCGATATTTCGGCACTGTTGCAAGCGCCATGATCACGGAGAGATAATATCGGAGACTCATAAAAAACAAGGTACATGGTAACAATCCCGTTAATATCTATAATGTTAGTGACCATGAAAGTTTAAAACTTCCAGTTAAGTAAGCTAAATTAAAAAGTTAAAAAATAATCTGAGACAGTAAATACCATTTTATGTGTATAATCTATGGCAGCACTGCAAACAAAACACTCTTTCTTCCTAATGCCGGCACTTCACTTGGATATCCGTATTTGCTATTTTAAAACATGACATCAGTCTGTCCTTTTTATTCCTTATTAAGCATGACAAGGACAAACTGTTGTCAAGTGAAGGGCCGGCATTAAACTCGTTACTCTGTGGTTGTGGTGCATGCAGTTTGCATTCGTAGTAATCTGTGGCATTCGTGCATTCCAAAGAGTAGTTTAATATACCGGAAAGTGCATTCTCGTTTCGAATTACCTGTTGTGTGTGTTTATTTGCGATTGTTTTTCCTTTAATTTAACTATTTCGGCTATCTAATATGTCATGGATGTTACCAAAGAACCCTTATTACCAAGTGCTAGAGAACCTGTGCCACAACATCCTGAGAGGACCATACTGCCAAATTATTCAAGAACACCTGATACACATACACGCTGCATATTTACACAATATACCTACATGTGATATACAAATAAATACAATAAACAATATGATATAATTATGTGAAAAATAGTCAATAAATAAGAAGCAAAACTACAGTTTTTATTTTATTCATGATTCCTACCTAACAAAGTTTTTCCTAATAGTTATTCTTTAAAATCGCACCGAATAAAATGAATTAGTTGTAATATTAATTCACTTCATACAGAGTTTATACTAAATTCATAGGTTGACTTATGTTTCATTGAATATTAAACATAACCTCAAAAAAAAATTATTTTTCCTTATAATTTAAGTTCTCAGAAGTGTCCGACAATAATCTTTGTTTTTACAGTCATTTACTTACGATTTTGAACCTAGATAATAATATTTCATGATTGTTGGTTCTTAGGCTAACTATGTATGGACGCTGAACAATGTCCTTTTACGGCCTTGGAGTTTCCCATATTTGCCAGTCATTAGTGATAAAATGGCTAAAAAACTTACACTGGTGGTGGCTCCGATTTCAGCACCCATGTTGCAGATTGTGGCCATGCCGGTGCAAGAGATGGAGTCGACACCGGGTCCGTGGTACTCCACGATGGCGCCGGTACCACCCTTCACGGTGAGGATGCCGGCCACCTTGAGGATCACATCCTTGGGGCTGGTCCAGCCCTTTAGTTTACCTAGGTAACGAAAAGGTATAGACTTATTTCTTTTCTTTTTATGCTCACCAGTTATTTAATAAAAACCTTTTTAAGGGCAAAAGCGCGATTTATTAACCTTTACAGTCTCCGTGTGTGAAAAGTCTTGAGACCACAGAGATTGTTTAAATCCTAAATGTTCTTATAATAATGTAACATGAAATCAACCGCATTTAAGGTCCGTATATTAATAAATCACTCTCAACTCTGAGACTACGGTCTTAAGATACTGTTTTCGTAAAAACAGCATCTCAAGATCGTACTAAAGGTCGTTCTCAGAGTTCAGAGCGATCTATTAACACGGGCCTTCAAAAAGTTTGTATTCAAAATTAAGTATAAATTATATTGTCTAAGAATGCCTTAAACAGACTATGATCATGGTGTTAGGGTTCCTAGAGCCAAGAAGCAATTTTTGTTTTACGGACATACCCTGAGCAATACTTCACGAGCAACTCTGATATTGGCTGTCAACAGTTGACCGGTATTTTTTTAAGTTAAGATAAAAAAAGATTTTGATATTCCACCACGGAGATGGCGGCGCTTGTCAATCTGACTAAGATTAGGGGAGACAGAGACTGCTTAAAACCAAACACCAGAGAGGCCCTTTCTCAACAGTGGGCTCTCGTAATAATCTATCATGTGTTTCAAGATTTTGTGATGGAAATAAACAGTAAATTTCTGCGTATCCAATAGAAAACAGGAAATAATTTAAATGACCAATTAATTAGTTTACATTAATTATAATAATTGGGTACGATATGCATAGGTACCTTTTGAATGTTTCTAAGTTGATTAGCAACATAAAAGAATATACTATATATTTGTAGCTTCTCGGGACGCCGACTACTGTAGGATATAAATAAAACGAGGCAGAATAAAAATAATTAGATACTGTGCATTGGGAGCGTTATCAGGCTTCAATAATGGAAATTGTTTTGTGGGAGCAAGCAAAAGCCTACTGCACTGCACGATTCATATGGGACAATCCAATAAAATCAATCTCCTCTCTCTCCTTTTATTTTGTACTATTATAATAACCTCAGGTCTACTGTCCCTTGGGGCTGTAAAAATATCAAACTTCTAAGTCAAAGCAATCAAAAGATACAGCCATTTATGCCGCAAATTTTCGAAACTCGCACGGGAATCAAAACCTACAGGGTACTTCCCGTGAACTTAGAATCTTGAAATTTGGTACAACGTCTTATAGTACAGATAATGGAAAAATTGCGGAAACCGTAAATTTTTAGTAACATAATATAATAAAAAATATTTTTGAAAGTTAAGGTTTGTACGGAACGCTCGGTGTGCGAGTCTGACTCGCACTAGGTCGGTTTTTTTTTATATAAAGTCTTTTTTCTTTTTAGTTGTCCCTCCATCAATATTTGTTAATAAAATTTCTTGCTGTCCCGGGTATCAAAAATAGTCCGAGATTGAAAGCCCTAGTACATACTATATACCGCCACAAAATTACAGCACTCTAGTGCTAACAGTCTCCAAGCAAAACCTGGGACGGACAGACAAACAGACAGACGGACATGACGACATTATAAGGGTTTCTTGTCAGGATTACGGAACCATAAAAATCAAACATATTCCCTATTGTGTTCTTGGATCCAAAAAACAAACACTATTTTTCTAGTATTTTTTTTTAGATTTAAACATCTAGCAGTTAAATGCTTAAAAAATAAAAATATAAACACTATTTTTCTTTAACTTCGAATATAGAATCTGTATTCAAACAAAACAGCATAACATTCAAAATAAAAAATTGCTATGTAATAAATCATTTAATCTAGTACATATCTCAAATCTCATCATAAAAATACGCAGTAATAATAAATATACGCATGCAGATAGCCATGTATATACGTATATATAAATGACGAGTGAGGTATATACGGAAATATTTCAATGTCAGGTACTGTTTATGCAGAAGTTAACACTCTGATAACAAATTTCTTCTTTACTGATAAGTATCACCCACGCGTCAACAAATAATGGTGGATTCACACTTGTGAACTCGCAAAAGAATTGATATAGCGAGATAGCGCTATCGATTTTGAGAAGTTCGACGAACTTTTTTATAATACACCTGTGATGTGTGAAGTGGTGTTGTTCAATATATTTATCAACCATTAAATTAAACTATTAAAAAAAATTAACACATATAATCGATAAATATTTTTAATCATATCAAATAAAAAAATATTTATTTATTTCATGCTGATTTTAACGCAAGAGTAATATTAATTGGTATGGATAAATGTAACCGACTGATGACTGAAAGTTATCGTAATGAATAATTTCGATCACAGACCGAATAGTTACAATAAATCAACTTGCGAAAAATATTCAGAATATTTATTTGAATAATAATAGTAACTGATATTTTTAACCATTTAAATTCTCTGATATTTCTAATCAACTATTTTTTTTTCATCTAACGCCTGTATGTAATGTGAATCACCATCATATTCGTACTGTTATGGCATTTTTTTGAGAACTTTTTCTACCACCAAGCTCACTGGGAAATAAGATTGAGAGTGCAAATAATTTCACTAGCTAAACTAGCTTTTAAAACCACAAAAACCCAAGAAAATTAACAATACAATACATTTTTGGCCACGCATCCTATGTTCAAATTTTGTGAAAGTAGCTTTAACTGGCACATTTTCACAATAAAAGGTCAGACGCGCCTACCGCTTACCATTTTTTTCTAATCAAATAATATCGAATATTCAGATATTTATCAAATAATAAAGTAAATCATATCAAATAATATCGATAAGGTAAGCCATCTTACTCATTAAATTGCAAACGCCACTAATGAAATTCACATTTAGTGCAAACATTGTTAAATCACGTACTAAACATACGGCTATAACTATTAGCTGAATGATTTGGAAAGAACGGTAAACCTTTGCCCTCTTCTTAATAAACGAAGACTAAGCTTTGATTAGATACTCTATGTTTTGTCTCTGTTCATTTAATGACAAATGGCACTTGAGCGATAGAACAAAACACTGCGTAACTTACTCTTAGCTTATTCCTCGGATATTAAAAACTGGGGGTTGGAGTCTTATCTAAGATTAAAACATAAAGCGAATTGTGGTCATGCACCACATTTTAAGCGGCTTACAAGTGATCCGCTTAAATTGTGGTGCCTGACAATTCGCTTTAGTCACAATTGGACGTCCAAACACGATGCATGTGCACTCAATATAACAATATTGCGTATATTCTGTGTCATAAAGATAAAACAATGCCTTCGAAGCTTTTATAAAGAATACAAATAGTTCATTCGTGAAACTATAAAAACCTTTTTAAAAATAATTCGCCATTTTTATCAAGAGAAGGACAACAATACAGCTCAGCCATCTGTAGAGAAAAGATAACGCAGTCGGCTGCAAAGCGACGCGGACTCGAGCCGTTTCGCTCGCGCTGCGTTCAAGCGTAGAATTCTGTCTCGCTCGCTCGATTGAATGTTTATTTACAGACGTGTATGCGTATGCGTGTGTGAGAGTTGCTTATGTAGTTGAGTCGGATCATATTTTATTTGATGCTAGTTTGAGCGTACCGTATCTTCCCTTTTTGTTTTTATCTAATGGATCTTATAGCTGTATCTGCGGTCACATAACAAGTAATTGTTTATAATTATGCTTGGAAAGTTACCGTATGTGCATTAAAATAACCTACATGTACCTATATGTACAAAACTACAGTACTAAACTTATACGACAACGTGATTGATAAATAAAAACTTAAGAACAATCAAATCTGAAAATAAATTTAAGAACTTTACAACAATTCGTGTCGTTTTTGTATTCACATAGGAAAAGTTAAACAATATTTTATCTTATTCTTTGGCAATAACGTACTTTACAGCATAAACGTATAGTTTGCGTATGCGTAAAAACATTGTATTTGTGCAAGTGGTTAGCATTAACTTTCAAAACAACACTAATTTATGTATAGTATTTTTCATTAAAATTAAGTCGTCTTTACGAATTTCAAGATTATTTCCCTAAGCTCTTATTTGAACAAAGTATCGCTTATTATAAAACGCAAATAAATATTCAGTGTTAAAAAGTCACATGCAATGACGTTTATATTTAGGTCGTCTTCATTGTACGGAAATCTAATACCTACAATTTATTACGCAGCGCGCTTACAATGAACGCAAATTGGACACCATTTTACATTATGCATGCATAAAATGTAAATAACGACCTGCGTGGCCGAGTGGTTTGTACGCCGGGGTTTAAAGGTGTCGCCTACTCGAGGGATCCTCCCGGGTTCGAATCCCGGTGGGGGCGTTGTTTTATGAATACAAGCATTTGTACTCCAGACATGGATGTTTAATATGTATTTCTATATATATTAGGTTGTGAGAAAAGTCTACGCATTATAGTATGTATGAACTTGTAATAAAATGCAACTTGTAATAAAAAGAAACTTTCCCCAAGCTAATAATACATATATACTTATTTATGTATCAGTATATGTATTGTATCCGTTACGCTAGTATCCCATAACACAAGCCTACAGTGCTTACTTTGGGGCTAGGCTAATTGGTGTTAGTGATGGAAATATTTATTTACTTATTTATATAGGTGTTAAAGGCCTTCAAAGTCTTCCTTTTTAAACACAAGATCGAAACAAAGTCAAGTTGAAAGAACGTGACACGAGTAGTGAAAGGAGTTAGAGTAATTTAGTTTATTTTTAAAGAGTAAGTAACACAATCAGTACATGTGAACGTGACACAAATTCCGATTCTTTCGATTCATTGGCAGTGTTACAAGATGCCAAATTTACTTTTGCCAAAATAGTACAACAGAACTCAAAAAAAAACTTGATGTTGATATACCAGAATAATACCAAAATAAATAACTTAATAGTATAAGCACATTTTTTTTTCGTATGTTAGATAGTGTTTTAAAACTGTTATTTTTTATATGTGGGGTTTACTATCAATTATATAGATATTATATTGAATTCCAACTATAGCACCAAAAATAGTTTGTAAACACAATTCGATTTAAAAAAACAAGGCGCACCCATATATTACTTGGCAGATAGCCAGTGTTCTAATTTGTGTCTCAAATGCGCGTAGCGTAACAGTTATCTCTACTATGAGAAAGATAAAAAAGTACTTTAACACTTAATATTTGTTTAAAAATATATTATTTATAAACTCACGATAAGGACAATAGTTTTAAACATAACAATGTAACAAAAACGTCACTATTGTCGTAGGACGATTTAATAAATCGAATTTTCGCGAAAATCCTAGAAATTTTGCGATAACGCGGATAATTAGACAATGGCTCCATCTTACTGTTAACGAATTATTTTTAATGCGCTTCGCCGGTCGATGCTTCGGCACGCTCGCTACGCTCGCTCGTCATGGTTACAACACTAACCTAACCTAGTGTGTACCCAAGAAGATTTATGATAAGTCAACGATTCTCGTCGCAATCTTACTGTGGCGGAGTCGCCACGTTTCGAAAACGCGAGTACGTTTTCACAAAAATCCTATCTTTTTCAGTAAGATTGAGTAATGTCATCGCTATTGTCTAATTATACACATTTTCGCGAAATCCTCAGAATTTTTGTGAAAAATCGATTTATAAAATCATCGTACGACATAATATTGTTTGAATTTTATGGATGTTTTCCATTTCATTAAAGCTTTTTTCTTACTACTGAATCTTATAAATAAAGAAGCATGTTATCAAGCGATAACTATACAATAATAATTCTTTGATTATTAAAATAAAATATTCTCTCTATCAAGGATTTCGATGCAGTGGTTAACGCATTTGGTATGCGTTTATAGAACTTAAGAAACTTTCGCAATGTCAGCCAATCAAAAGATAGCTGAACAAAAAGTTAAAACCCCAATTTTTCCGTGCTTTGGAGGCCATATTAAGTTATTGGTCCCGGCCGCATCTGCAGTCATTAGCACCCACCAATCCGCACTGAGCCCGTGTAGTAATAGAGATGAGGCCAATCACCAGATTCCGTTTATAGAGAAGGCCTCTGCCATAACCAGGGGTATTGCGTGGTGATAGTTTCTCAGTAAAGTAATATTTAAAAAAAAGGGAAATAAAACTCATAACTCACCAGTCAGCTTAACGCCAATAACTTTGGGACACTTCAGCTCCCATGGAATGCTTGCCATGACATCGACAGCATCAGCACCACCGACACCTTAAGACAGATTATATCTTTAAAAAATTTTGGAAAACGAACAGCTCACGAATATAATAAAAAATTATACATAGAAATAGCCCACAAACAATTGTTAAATATATTATATAATTTTTATTTTAAGTCTGAACTCGCTAGCTAATTGTTATGAATAGTTAACTACACATATTACATATACATATTACATGTACTACATAATTTTGGCATTTGGAAAAAGCTACAGGCTATAATTATATGATTTTCAGTTTTTAGAAAAAGTTACAGGCTATAATCATATGATTTTATATCTGACTTGTTATTTATACAATTGTATGTTTGTTGTATGGGGGATAAATGTTATTATAATTATTACGGAATTCAGACACACTAACATGAAAAATTCTTATATTTTTGTTAGGGTAAAAAACTAATATCAGAAACGTATTTCATGCAGTTTTTTCAAATAGAACAATGTTACACGAATAGGCTTTTTTACTCTGGTTAGTTTTATTTGACGTTACGTTAATTTAATACTCACACTGATAAGTACAGAAATCTCACAACATAAAAAATAACATTTGCAAAATATATTCAATCTAGAACAATATTCTATTATAATGAGTAAAGTTCAATCTGCAACATAAATATTTTTGTTGTTTTGTTGCACATCGCACTGTACCATTGCAATAATAGGTAAAATATTTGGCATTGAGATAAAACATTTATGTAGTAGAGTAATCAATGATCTTACCAATACACAGGCCACCGAGACCACCACCATTGGGTGTGTGGGAATCAGTACCAATCATGAGCAGACCAGGGAAAGCATAGTTTTCCAGGATGATCTGATGGATGATACCAGACCCAGGCTTCCAGAAACCGACACCATATTTAGCACCAGCGGTCTCAAGAAACTTGTATACTTCTTTGTTTATATCCTGTGTGAAAGATTTTTGTATAATCAAACAAACTATTGAGGGATTCATTCATTCTAATAATATATATAATAAGGGAATAAAATAATCAAGCAGTGCAGGAATGTATGTTGTGATCTTATTAGAATAAATATACTAAAAATTTAAGATTCATTTCTAATATATTTATCAAGCATCAATTTAAAATTATGATATCATTTCTTGACATAAATTATTGCAGAAACAGCTCAAATGATTTGGGTGGAAATTCTGTATTTAGATTATGTTATTGTATATAGCTGTATTATTTATAAAAGCTTCTTTGCTTGGTTACTATTTATTATTATTTTTATAGAAAATATAAATTAGGTCTACCGGCATGGTGTTCATTTGCCCTCAGATGAAACCATAGCATAACCATATTTTTCTCTCATTCTATTCATAGAATAGGATTGTGTGAAGCCACAGTTAAGGATTACTTTAATGCAATAGATACTGTAATTTATTTGGCAAAGGAACCATCCTCAGCCAAAGTTAGACTAACCTTTGCCCTGGCCAAGTCCTTATCTCCACCAATTTGAGCTTCAATCAAGTGGTCGCAATGGATGGTGGAGGGCACAGCCACACGAGGTAACCCGGAGGAGATGAACTGGAGCATAGCCATTTGTGCGGTGGCATCTTGCATAGCCACCCTATCAGGGCGCAGGCGGAGGTAACTGGTTCCACGCTCAATTTCCTATGATAGAAAAAAGATAAGATGTATTTCCACAAGAATTACCACATAATAATATTGGTTGGGTTACAATATTATTTAATTTTAGAATTCATATTAAAGGCCCTTAATTAAAAGAGCATGTATCACATGGCACTTAATATGTTTTCAAAAATGTTATATGTTTCAAGATTAAAACAATAAAACCAGACACTTTAGTATTAAAATGTGGAAAAGAATACAAACAATAGTAAAATACAATAATACAAAAAGGTAATTATACATTTGTATGTTCAACATTGTTTACATTTTGCAAGGATTGAAGGTGAAATATTTTATATTTTCAATTAATTTATGTTATTTTTTTAATTAAATAGTTAAATGACTATGGCGCAAATACTAAAAACTTGTTTTTTGATAACAACAAACAAATTAACATAACACATTGAACAAAAGAAATGAAATCAACATAATAAATGAAAAAAATATACTATAAAAATTATGACTGAAAATATTGATGACATAATTAGTTATAGTACTTACTTGTTCTTTAGGGTCATCCAGATGTGAGTAAAGCACCTTTTCAGATAAGGTCATGTCACGACCTAACCTCTTTTTGACAACCTCCAAATTCTTTGTTAATTTTTCGTAAGGTAGTGGAGCCTTGTCGAATTTGGACATAGCAACCTAAAACACATAAAGAAAGGGCATACAATCTTTATTGGAACTAAACCTTCTTACATACTTCATAACAGTGGTGATTACATAACAGTGTTTTATGTCTTCAAAGAAAATTGGAGTGAGTTTTTAGGTTCACAGCGCGTACCTGGGCCGCTGCTGCGGTCAGGGGTGATACGCTGAAGCATCTTTGCTGAATTTCCAACAGAACTGTTCTTGTCCTGCTACCCTAAAACAAAAGAGAAGACAATGAGTACATATAACACTTGAAGCTAAAGATGAATTATAAGACAATAGTAAATAAGATCCTGGTAGATAGTATGGGAAACCCCTGACCTTACGTAAAGATCAATTTGGGTGACCCTGTTCATTCATTTTATCGCAAAAGTGCAAATAGTTCATACATCCGTGATAACAGCGTAAACAAACAATAATTACGCTTTATTGAAGATTGTCTTTCAGTAATTGAGGATACGGTACAATAACTCACCTGGCCATGCAAAACTCTCATACAGTGAGCCATGGTGGCTGGACTTAACGTATGACGATATAAAAATCGAAGAAATAGAAAGTAAATCGGTTTAATTAGCGCAACATGGATTAAACCCAAGTATTAGGCAGCTTTTTTACTGCCCGAAGCAGTGTGGAAAATAAGGAATAGAAATTCACAAACCACACATCCACCGCTTCAGCGAAGTCGGCAAATTTGGCTGGCACTTTTGACGTTTCATTGGGCTGATCATATTTTCCCGATAATAATTACCAGTACGGAAAAGATCACCTTTATTAGGGTAGTTTGGAAAAAAAATCGGAAATGGTCAGCTGTGATAGCAAAAGGGTTCTAGATCGTATACGGAATACGGAATGAGATATATAAATAAATTTTGGTATTTTATGTAGAATATTTAATTAAAAATTCGTAGACGTCGTTTCCGCACTAGAGCATTTCACAAGTCAGTGACATTAAGAAGCTTCATTAATAGGATTCTTTTATCGTGCGATAGCCTAATATCATTGACATATGAAATCTTAGATTAAAACAAAAAGGGAAAAACGGCGCTAGCGGCTCAAAAGTAATCCGCTGAAATTATGGTGCATGACCACAATTCCTTTTAGTCACAATTGGACATTCAAATACGCTGCATATGCACTCAATGGTGTCGATTCTGGCATGATTCTCTAAACCTAAACTTAAATTTGACAACAGTGGTGTCGATTCTAGCATGATTCTCTAAACCTAAACTTAAAGAACAATGCCCACTGCCCATACATTCGAAAACCTGTCACTTCGGTTTTTACTTTATGGATGTATATTGACTGTTGAGGTTGTTAACTAATTATTACAATCTTCTGAAATAATGTTGCTAATTTGGTTTGATTTGGCAATGAGGAATAGAAGTTATAACGAAAACTAATTCTGAGGTTATTCAACTGCTGAAGATGTCATTTACTTACTCTGTGGTTACGAGATTGATTATAGATTATCTAATGCCGGAACTTCACTTGGCTATTTGTAAACTTGACAACAGTCTGTCCTTATCATGTTTTAAGGAAAGAAAAGGACAGACTGAAATCAAGTTTACATGAATAGCCAAGTGAAGTGCCAGCATAAGATTATTCATTTGTGTGCTGTCACAGCTGTGGTGTCTTAGCCCAGCTAGGTATTTATTTCAATTCGCTTGTTTTGTTTGATTGAAGCTTGATCTGAGGATTGAAAAAAAAAGGATTAATATCATAACATGTATCATGCTGAGGTGTCATCCTTATAATATTGTCTTTGGAATTAAACAAGTTTTTTATTATATTTAATCAATAATTCAGTTTCAATTATTTTATTGAAATAGTAGGTACTTAATGTCTTAGTTTCTACAAGCGAATGAATAAATGATAATCTTGACCTTTACCTAATTATATCTCGGTCATGTTTCACTAAGAAAATGGCCAGTCTTTGTTAAGAACGGAAAGAAACTTTAAATTAAAGCCTTGCCTTCTAAGTATTACATTACCATTTAAATACGGTATTTACCGCATGACTGGCAACATTGGAAAGGAGAGTGCGAATCTACATTTAAGCTGCGTTCATAATTATGTCATTATACTTTGATACAATCATGGATACAATACTCTTCCCTAATGGATGCGTTCGTGTGATAGCAAAAAATGTACCTACATAATGGTTATATTCAAAAATTATTTTTGAAAAAAACTGGATTGTAGTTTTTGTTGATATTTTGATTTCGTAATAAGCGAATAATTACCTTTTTTTTGAGGTATGTCACATAATTATACATGCAAATTTTTTTTACAGATTTGACAGGTCACAAATGGGCATCCTTCTTTGACAGCAGTATATCCTTGTCATTCTCTATACAGAATGAAAAGGAGAGACTGATGTTAAATTTAGTTTTAAGTTTAGAGAATCACGCCAGAATTGGGCCCAATGTATCCTTGTCATTCTCTATACAGAATGAAAAGGAGAGACTGTTGTTAAATTTAGTTTTAAGTTTAGAGAATCACGCCAGAATCGGCACCAATATAACGATATTACGTACATTCTGTGTTATATAGATAAATCAATGCCTTTGATGCTGTTATAAAGAACACAAATAGTTCAAAATCAAATAACAAATGCCTTGGCAACACTTTTCATTCGTAAAATATAAACACTTTTTTTTCTGAAAAATCACGGTTTCAGTTGTTTTTTTTTTCGATTTTTTTTTACGTTTCGCCATTTTGTTATAAATAAAAGTACAACAATACAGTTCAGCCGTGCGGACTCGCCATTTCGCTCGCGCTGCGTTGAAGCGTACAGTTCAATTTCGCTCGCTCGATTGAATGTTTATTATTTACAGACGTGTGAGTTGCTTATGTAGTTGAGTCAGAGCATATTTTATTTTATGCTAGTATGGGCGTACGTATCTTCCCTTTTTACCCGGCTGCGCAATGCAAGAGCGCGAAGCGCGACGCGCACACAGGGTTATGTGTTTAACAGTCTATATATGTATGTTTGTTCCTTTGTGGCACACTAGAGGAGACCAAACGCCTGGACCGATTTTTTGTTATTCTAAGTATGAAATAGTTTGTTTCTGAGCTAAAGCTAGAGCTTGGCCTTTTCTTTATTTATCTACATCAATGACTTTGTGCAGTTGGGAGAATTTAATATTAGTTATGGATACATTGCTACAGACGTTCAGAAACTGTGTTGTATTTCATTCTAGTTACCGATTTTTTTTATAAAATTAATCATACAAAATTAATGAGGATATAAACTGAGTGTTGCCCATTTTCGCAAAATTTATTCGTATTTGCTGTGGTAGGTGTTTGCTATTTGAGCATTTGACAGCAGTATGAATACCCTTAACAAGCTCTATGGAAAATGAGAAGGAGAGACTGCTGTCAAATCAAACTTACTATTTATTTATTACAGCCACGGAGCACCCCCACTAGAGTCCGCATACAAGGGCAAGCGCTTACGCCAAGCTTAAGTATTACCTATGCGTGAGGCACGCCTACAGACGTCGCGATACATCGTTTCATTCGGTAACCGAGCGTTGGGCTTCTCTCGTTTTCGTGTTAAAAAACTGTAAAAAATGCCGTACTGTGCAATTAAATTGTGTGGAAAGTCGAGTACAACTTCCAGTCTTCAAAAAAATGGTATTTCTTTTCACTGGTTAGTTTAAATGCATTACAAAAAGACAAAAATACTGTTATATTAAATTGCTGTTAATGTATTTATTTTTTGGTGAACGCGTTGATGTCTTTTTACACTATCCCTTTCTCGCATGGGCTACATCATATATGCTATTTCGCTCTCACACCGGCACGTGTATTGCTAGTGACTCAGACGCAGCTCATGTCTCAACGCGTAAGTTTGTCGATAAATTTGTCAGCTATGGAAATGGAAAAAATAAATAAAAACTATTTATTTCATCGTATACAATAATAGATGTCATAAGTATACAACCAACAGTTTTTATTTGATTGAAGTCAAACATATCCTAATAAAATTTTAAAAATGCGAAAATTTGTATGCATATTTGTTACTCTTTCACGCTAAAACGGTTAAACGGATTTGTATGAAATTAAGTGCGCATAGTTTATGACCTAGATAAAGACATAGAATTAACGATATTAAATACCCTAGATACACACAGACCGCTCAAAATGTGTCCCAATATCTACACACCACCACCACAGACTATTTAGTAGTCTGTGGTCCCAATCAAGAAGTGCTTGAACTCCACTCAAGCACTTCTTAGTACACAGTCACACGCGGACCGTTGAAAAGTCCAGATGCCAAAGAGTTCCGTGAAAAAATGCAGAAAAATACTAATAGTACGTAAAGTGTCGTTTTTTCGACGGGTATCTAATTAATGTTTTTTAATTAACGCCTTTAAAGCAAATTTTATTGTTGTAATACTTACTATAAACTGATTTAATTTAAAATATTTGTGATATTCAAATGCATGGTCGGTTATACGTCGCCCTTAGCCATCTCTTTTCTTCGCGGTCTGTACCTGCTATATTGTTAACAGCGCATTCAGAATTGCGCGTGAAAAGTAAAAAAAATAAGGTCTATATTCTTTCACATATAACACTAAATCGTAAAATTTTACGAACTTGACGCATGCATTTTAATTAAGACCTTATGCCGTATGCATTAAAGGTGACTTTCAATGTTTATATAAGGCATTATATTGTTTTTGACCATGCGATCATCTTACGGACCTCCGTGGATCGTCCAATGTACCTTTTGGACACGTTTCGGCCACGATTTTGTTCGTGTTGTTGTTTCTAGGGTAGTTAATATCGTTGCATTAATACTTCTTGTCCTGGACGTTTTTTTTTTGTGTTGCTTACATATTAAATTATATGTAGTTACTAGTCGCGTCATGTAATTAGAACGCTGTAAGAAAGTGGAGAGGGTATGATTACGCATTTGCGCACCAAAGTACTAGGCCTCTATTCTAAATTGCTTATCGATAGAAAATATCGATATTTTCTAAAATCGATCTTACCCTCATCACTTCGCTGCACTGAGTATATGATCTGACCTTGACGCGTCCAATCACAGCGGGGCTGACCTCCCTGCACCCCACCGACTTTGGCGATTTTGATTCCAAACAAAATTTGTGTGATGCGGACTCTAGTGGGGGTGCTCCATGATTACAGCAAATGGCGTATTTGCTATTTGGCTTTTTATAAACTTGACAACAGTTTCTCCTTTTCATTCCTTATATTATATATAATTAGCTGTCAAGTGAACACAGTACCCCTAGCACGAACCATTACCGAATGCGAATAGTTTGTATGTCAAATTTTGTATGGAAACTTGAACAGCAGCGCCACAAAGGACGTAACGCGAACTAAAAATAAGACAATGACATTTCGGAGTCGCAAACTTATTAAACTACTCTTTGTTGCAAACGTTACGTACAGTAGCAAATTCCCGATATAAGACAATGGCTGCGTTCCAAACCCACGTTTTTGAAAGCATTTTTTTACTCTGACGTTTTAATTTGGACAAAAATTTAAGAGATTATATCGAATTTGACCTGGCCTGATGCGTATTGTAGTTTTGGAACGCAGTTAATATAAATAAATGTCATTTTTGTTTTGTACGTTCATTAATTTTTCATTTTTAACTATATTTTATTGTTTTTATACTTTAAAACCCAACTGTCCTCATTAGTATTCTGTCATTCATAATAGAAAAGCGTGTGCGTAATGACCAACGCTACCATTCAGGTAAAAAACGCCCACTAGAAATGCAATAAATAAGATTTATTTTTTATATTTCTGTTTTTAAAAACGACTAAATCTGATAAATACCCAAACCTAACATTCGCAGGTCTGTTCTTACTTTTTTTAGACAGCAGCCAGCTTATACTAAAATAGATAGAGGAAATAGTACTTACATTGAGTATGTTTACCTGAGTTTGTCTGTTTTGTGTGGAATATATTGCATATTTATGGTTTTCCAGGAGATCGAAGGAATCGATGATTACTGGGGACCAGCTTTCCGATCAGTTTACGAAGGTGAAGGTCATGAGGCTTTTGTGCAGCAACTTGATGAGAGAATCAAGCAGCATGATAAAGAGATAGAAAAACTATGCAACTTTCACTACCAGGTAATAAAAATTTACTTAACACTTTCATTTGTTCCTTTGAGTTAGTTTTCGTAGGCTTATAATCTTATAAGCTTCTTATCATAAATAAGTAATACTTAATCTGTCTCAAAGTTTAACATCTTGTCCTGCTAACACTTGTGGATCTGTCATCATCATCATCATCAGCCTATTATTGTCCCCACTGCTGGGGCACAGGCCTTCCCCATGGATGGTATAGGGAGATTGGGCCATGACCCACCACGTGGGCCCAGTGTGGATTGGTGGGTGCTAACGACTGTAGATGCAGTCGGGACCAACGGCTTTACGTGCCTTCCGAAGCACGGAGGAGCTCGAGATAGTAAATTTTTGGTCACCCATCCAATGACTGACTACTGCGAAAGTTGCTTAACTTCAACAATCGCAGCCGAACGTGCTTACCACTTGCGCCATTGAGCTCCTCTGGATCTGTAGTGTAAAGCTATTATAAAATACAGATAAATAAAAGAAACCTTCACTAAAAGAAGAGTTAAATTAATTGAATGGACTGCTTAAACATTAGTCTAGCTGAATCTGTAGTGTACTTACTAATAACCAACAATTATACAGGGCCTGTTATGCTAAGTAAGACCCAGCCCTTCGATACTATGTTCTGTGCTGCAACAATATGTGCACTGAAGCTAAAAAGTGTATGATTTGATAAATAAAAGTTTCATGAAAATCGGAAAAAGGGATTTTTGAAAATGCATTTAATTAGAAAACAGTGATGACATTTCTCAACCTAACTGTCAGTTAGTATTAAAGGTTTTTTGCAAAAACTGGTATATAAAGCGATCAAAATTTATGTAATATAATTACATTAAATAATACAATTAAATTTACTGCAGGGATTCATTGACTCCATCCGTGAGCTGCTACAGGTACGCTCACATGCAGAGGAGTTGCATGCAGAAATATCAAATGTTGATGCCAATGTGAAGGAGGCAACAGAAAGTAAGTATTACAGATAATAGCAAGGTATCCTAAGGCTATGAAGAGTGTTCTTATTTGTAGTGGTTTCCTATTAGAGTGCAATAAAAAGAGCTGTCATCCAAATGGATAAAATATTCACAATTATGGTAATAAACAGAGTTACTTCCTTGTAAGATTGAAAATTTCTTGCAGTAATTTATTGAAATATCTTCTAATATCTGAAGGTAAACAAATGGTAGTCGGTTTGCTTTTCAAAAGCTGGTTTTATATTTTAACATGAATAGGTACTTAAATTTTTTTGTTTATTTTAATTTTAAACCCTGTTTAAAAATTTAACAATTTTGTAAGGATGCTGACTATTGCTGACCATCCTGTCATAAGTAATGTCATATTATTAGTGTGTGCCAGTTTACAACATTAACTCATGCGTTATGGCAAATGTCAATCAGTCATGTCATGCATAAAATTCCTGAAAAAGGGTATTTGACAAGATTTTGAAAACAATCTCACATTATTCATCATTCTGTTGCGTATTTCAGTAAACAACATCTAGCAGTTAAATGCTTAAAAAATAAAAAATATAACTATAATTGCTATTTATTCTTTCAAATATTTAATACTTGTAAAGGTATAAAGAAAAGGGTGCTGCCTCGCAGCTTAACAAAGGCTAGAGAAAATTCGATACGGCCATCAGGGCCGCGGTAGCATAATCATTAAATTCGTGTGACGAAATTTAGGGACCCCTTATCACTTTTTAGTTACCTATTGAATAGAATTTATTTCATGCTTTGGCAACAGAAATAAATCAATGAACTTGCAATTTGCCAATTAATAATTTTATATTATAATGTAATGACTGGTTGACTGGTAGAGAATGCCTATGGCATTAAGTCCGCTATTAACTGTTTTTATGGTAATAAAGAATAAATAAATAAATAATAATTATAAAAAAACGGGATAATATACATTTTATGATTAAGTCCACTAAATCTCATAAAAATATGGAGTCTGCTGGAGTTTCGCTACCACCCTCCATACAAATTTTAACTGTCTCCTTCGATTAATTATTTATATCAAAAATCCTACTAAGAAGTAATGTTTTCACTGTTCACCATAAGATAAACTGTACCATATGTTTTATTAAATAAAACTATTTATACTAGGTCTGTGTACGGGTGCTGATGAATTGATAAGGGCGCGCCGTGTAGAACTCAACATTGCTGCTACAATTGAGAAAATGGAGCTTTGTTTACCATTGTTAACAACATACTCCAAGCTCAAAACTCAAGTGGAGGCCAAGAGGTTTGTTATATTAGTAAAACAGCTGTAAAGCTGTCGGGAAGTATTCCTGACAAACTTTTTGGCAACAACCATATACAAGAAATCCTGCGCAGTAGCAATTTGACAAACAAATACGAATACTGCTCATGTTTATTTGTCTGTGGTTTTTTGCTTAAGAAGTTTGCCGCTACCTATACCTATGATGCTCTGTCATCTCTGTGGTCTGTTAGTATAATAAAAGACCAACAAAACAAACGGAAAATAATATTATTACAAACATAATTTGGATGTTAATAACCACAAATGAAGTAGGCATAAAAACACTTAAAGTCAGGCCCATATAAAATATATATATATATATATATATATATATATATATTAATAAAGCATGATTTATAAGAATTTTCATTATTCATGCCGTTTCGGTCCCTTTACAGGCTCCGCTGTTGCAAGTCTTTAGATTTTAATATTGTTTCTAATGATCTAATAAATTACACTTTACACCCATTCCAAATGTTTATGTTAAATTTATGTTTTATTGATGAATAGTGTGTGTTTGATAGATATCATAAGAAATAGATGTATTTATAAATTTTTTATTATATAAAATTAGACTTGCAACGAATAGTATATTCGGCGAGGCCCCTGACCGAATAGCCGAATATTAGGCAAAAGTATTCGGCTGGATTTTAGTGCCAAAAACTTGTACAGACGTGATTGTTTCGCGCTCCTTTGTTTTGTTATAATGTACTCATCGCCCGCGCGCTCGCTGTTGTTCTGATCTTTTCTTAAATATTAGTAATATATCACGTCATGACAACCCGTATACATGGTGGCAAGCAACGAAATTTGAATTTCCGTGTTTGATTAAGATTGCAGCAAAAAATTGTCGGCGCCAGGAAGTAGTGTTTATTCAGAGCGCTTTTTCTCTGAAGCTACGATGGATGGGATGGTCTACGAGAAAAATAGAAGTAAACTACTTCATAAAAATGCAGAAAAGTTAGTCTTTCTGCATCATAACCTTCCCCTTCTAAATTGTGATTATGAAAATAATTCAAATGCATAGAAAAATTCTTAACTTGTTTATGTAGAAAATGATTAAATTATGTACCTGTTTTATGAACCAATGACTACTTAATAAATGATTATAAGAGAAATGAGAACCTTTCCCTTCTAAATTTTGATTACCACAATAATTTAAATACATAGAATCCTCCATTTTTCCAATTCAGAATATGATATTATGTACCTGTGTTATGTACCAATGACTACTTAAATGATTATATATAACAGAAATGAAATGAGATTGATTGTAATTTTTTATTTTACCAATTATTTCTCTGTGACAAAATATATTATTTAAGTATTCGATATTCGGCCGAATAATATGTAGATATTCGGTATTCGGCCGAATATAATAAAAGCAGCCGAATAAGCCGAATACCGAATAGTAACCGAATATGCGTTGCAAGTCTATATAAAATATAATGTTTTTATAAAAAATATTGTTATATTGCTTAAAAATTAAAATTATAACTATAATGTATTTCTTTGTATTAGATACTATCCTGCTCTAAAGACTTTAGAGCAGTTAGAGCATGTGTTACTGCCACGCGTGGGTCCATACAAATGGTGCTCGCAGATATCGTCGGACATACCGCGTCTGAGGCAGTCCATACAAGACGCTTCAATGGCCGACTTAAGGGATTTCCTCGAGAACATACGCAAGCTTAGTCCCCAGGTTTGACTCTAATGTTTCAGCTACTTACTGGGTAGTCAGTAAGTAGCGGCTTTAAATACTTTAGAGTAGTCCAAGCTGGGACCGTACAAATGGGGCACCCAAATATTGTCCGACATACCGTTTCTGAGGCAGTCCTTACAGGATGCTTCCATGGCCGACTTGAGGGATATCCTCGAGAACATACGCAAGCTTAGCCCCCAGGTTTGACTCGAATGTTTCAACTACTACCTGACTACCTCGCTTTAAATACTTTAGAGCAGTCAAAACTGGATCCGTACAAATGGTACACCCAAATATCGTTGGACATCGGTATGTCCATTTATGATTAATACGCCATGGAAGCGTCTTGTATAGACTGCCTTAGACGCGGCCGTTTGAGGTAGTCCATACAAGACGCTCCATGGCCGACTTGAGGAATTTCTTCGAAAACATACGCAAGCTTAGCCCCCAGGTTTCACTCGAATGTTACAGCTACTTATTGACTACCCCGCTTTATATAATTTAGATTACAACGTACGATCCTAACCACTAGACGATCACGGCCAGTCAAAGCTGGATCCGTACAAATGGTGCACCCAAACATTGTCGGACATACCGCGTCTGAGGCAGTCCATACAGGACGCTTCAATGGCCGACTTGCGGGATTTCCTTGAAAACATACGCAAGCTTAGCCCCCAGGTTTGACTCTAATGTATCAGGTACTATTCTGCTTTGAAGATGTTGTAAGACAGACAAACGGCGTATGAGAAAGAGATTATCGTTAAATATTATAGGAGTTGTTTGCTGAAATAAGCATGTCTTGAAATATGCTGAAATATGTATGTGGGGACCAAAAGTTTCAGTGGCATTATTTAATTAATTCGATAATATGTGCAATAAGCCCTAGGTTCAGTTCAAATGTATGAAGTATTACCTTAGTAACACTCTTCGAAACAGTTGTAAGACCTTTATCATAAAATATTATATTAAAAGTCAGCTAAAGCAATAATGCATTTGGAAAATGCTCTAACAGGTATGTGGAGCTCATCAGTTTCAGTGATACCACTGAATTGATTCTCTGCCTAAATAAAAAAAAACCCGTTATGAAAAGAACCATTTTCTATTGATTTGCATATAAATGGCATTTTTGTATTGTCTTTATGCTACTTACAGGTTGGAGCAATGGCTTTGAAACAAACTCAAGAGATGTTGGGCAGAAGTTTAGCTTCGATAGTAAAGAATAAAAAAGGTAAGCAACTTCTTACTTAAGATGCAAAGAGTTAATACACAAAAAAAACGAGCGAGCCTTACAGTAGTCGCGTATGATGTGTAACATTTGAAACCTCCCCTTATATTAGTAAAAAAAGAAATAGAACCAACTACAAAAGGAAAAAGCCATTTGAACATTATGGTCTAAAATCAAATCAAAAAGCGCGCGCTTTCGCGACTTCCTGTTACACACTTCCGTCCCATTTCCCGGAATCACTCCCACAAATTGCAGGAAAGCGAGAGGCAAAATGTTATACATCAATAGGTAGACAGTCACAGAAGCAGCATCTGCACACATTATGGTAGGGGAGCCCAAGCGGGAATAGGGTATTTGACAAGTTTTAGAAAACGATCTCACGTTATTGACTAATGTTTATGGAGTCCGCAAAAAGTGGATATTCATCATTATGTTGTGTATTTCAGTAAAAATAACCAAATCAAAAACTCCATTTTCAAGTTGCCGCGAAAACGTTTCTCTGGACAATATGGCGTCTTACTAGTGTGTGACGTCACACGACTGTCATTAAAACGTCAAACGATACAAGGTAATGTCACTTTACCCGGAAGTCCGCCAATCCCAAGCGTTTTGGGTCACGTGACAATAGATGAGAAAACTATTTTTCGTGTTTTTTTAATAAAATTATATTATATATATTTTTTTTGTAAAAATAGTAAAAACTCCTGCCAATATTCATTCTAAACACAGATGCTAACAATTGGCGCTTTATTTTTAATACTGTCAAATACCCTATTTTTGTATTTACTTGAGTGTGGCAGATTAACATAAGGGGGGCAACCTAGTATCTTGTGAAGTACTACCACCTTCCCCGAGCCCTCTATGTAGCGCCGAACGAAACGAACGGAGCAGAATAAGAATTTAGACAAACGCCCATGATAGGAATATAATAAGGATAGGAAATGAGTAAGCAAATAAAGTACCTTTTTTGTGTCTGGAAAATGCCTTACGCATCCTTCAACCACTGGGGGAGCGAGAAGAAGGTATGTGGGACTCCTCCCTGTCCCCATCAGCCAGCCCTCGATGATGTGAACAGGGCCTTACCTACGCCCTGAACAGGGCCACTAAAAACAATACTCGTGCACCGTCACCCGACACGCACTATGAGGACCGCGGTCCCCCTAGTGCGTGCCGAGAGGGCGGGTGTGGTCGCGGAACCCGTCTCCGAATGGCTGCGCAAGCAAATAAAGTACCTAGTTAATCTTATTTACCAGATTGCTACCATGTAACTTGTTTTAGCGAGTTTCCGATATTTCGGCACTGTTGCAAGCGCCATGATGACAGAGTAACTGAGGTGACATGTGACATGGCACTTGCAACAGTGCCGAAATATCATAATCGGAAAAAGTAAGCCTCTCCATCTACTGGTTTTTCTTGAAATTCTTTCCATACATCTGATTTTTTCTATAACGCCTCCCGATTTTTATAAATCGGATCTGGTAACACTGTATCCCATCTGAATTTTGTGGGTTTTTGGCGGGATTTCATCGAGTGTGGTTGGCGTCTTATTTTAATTATTCTTAAATGCGTTCATAGTGGATATTGTGAAATAAAATTGGTGTGATTTTGTGTTACAACTGTCTGCGTAACTGAAGAATTAGTGGAATCATTAAAATATACGCTATTCCGGTCAAGTGGACGTGAGAATTTTATTGTAGTGTTGACTACCTCACAGAAACTTATCGAAAAAGCCAACTCGATACATTTTGTGCCAAACACTCCAAGAAACATTAGAATGCGTCACACCGACATTCTAATGTAAAAACAAAAAGAAGATTAATTTAATTAAAGACCAGGCTGTATGGGCATTGTTCCCTTTGCCTTCCCTAAAATGGGGGAACTTCAACAAAAAAAAAACTGAATTTTGTTTACACCCTGCCTATATCTTGCCTAATCTTGTGTCTAGACATGGCAGTTCTCGGTATAACGGGACGAGACAGCGCTGGCCCACAGTGTCCCCACGAATTGGTGGATTTCAGCCCACTTCATCGCTGTCTGCACATACATAGCGTGCTGGGTGCTAAGAATGACTTCATACAGTACTATAGGTAAGAAAAAAACTTGTGTATCAAATAACAATATAAGATTTAATTTATTAAATTCCCAACTGTTTAAAATGTTAGATCGAAAATAAAAATCACCCAAAAATTATTCGACTTTGTTCTTATGATCATGTCGATTTCAAAACGATGAGACGCTTTCGATTGCCAATGCCGAAAGAGAGACCGAGTCAAATAGTGATTAGGGATTTCTTTTAAGCAAACATTATTTTGGCAGAAATCCCGTTTTTGCGTGATTGACTAACAAACCAACAAAAAAAACTCACTTTTGCATTTTATAATATTAATTTAGGATTTATACTTATTTAACTAAGTTTATTATAGACAGTAAATTCGTCTTTTACTAGGGCGCAACGTAAACAGCAAGCTCGCCTAGTGCTCATCCCATCAGGCAACCTGCACGATTCAATACAAAGCGTCAAAAACTATCTGAACGCAGTACTAGGCTTCTTCATCCTCGAGGAATATCTATTGAGCGCTGGCGCAGGCCTGGTGTCCAAGGACTGGCTGCTGGACACGTGGAGTATGGCCATCACCAAGGTGGCTTCCACCCTGAGGACCAACACCTCACTTATCACCGACCCCACACTGATGCTCAGCGTCAAACACCAGATCGTGCTGTTTATTAACACGCTCAAGTAAGTCTACTAGTGAGGACGTTAGATGGCGCTGTTAATACTGGATGCGGTACTAGGTTTCCATACACTCTTCTGAGAGCTGGCGCTGGCCTGGTGTCCAAGGACTGCATCGCAAACGCTCAAGTGAGTCTGCAAGTGTGGACGTTAGATGGCGCTGTAATCTTAATGTTATTTTGAAGGTACGTTTGTGAAGTCTTGCCTTAGATTTGTGGCCGACCGTGTGATCACTCAATGGTTAGGTTTTGTTATGTGCGCTAGATGGCGGTATTACGATGATTGTGGCAATGAACATACACTTGGTTGTATTTTGTAATACATTATTATTGTAAGTTGAATCGTGTGCTTTTACAAGATCAGTTATTATATTACTTTGAAGTTAGTGTCAATTATTAAGCCATCGTGACGGACTTACATATATACGGACTAATATATGTATATATATACAATTATACATATATTTTTTATACATAAATTTTCATTCTACTTGTCATAATATTTGTGTAAATGTGAACTATTTGCAAAACATCGGAATACATTTGTTACACAGTTCATGTTACGTGCATAAGCAAGTTTTATAACACTCAAGTAAAGTTCACAGTAAAGTATAATCTGAAATTTTTTTTAGGTGCTACGGCTTGCCAACAGAACCGCTACCACTATTGTTACAAGAGATGGCCGAGCACTACACAGAAGTGTTGATGCAAAGATGGGTGGTCGTTTTCAGGGATATTCTTGATAACGCGCCATTCTTGCCCGTTGAGGTAAGTATTAAAAGACTAGCTGATCCCATAGACGTCGTCCTGTTCGATAAAAATTTAAAAAAATACGGGAGCGCACTGTTACCACAAGTTAAGTTTGCTTAAATTGACTTGTTTACGACTCAACTTTCTTAGTTGGTATTCCGTACAAAGAACTAGACAGTATTAGCAAAGGGTAAAAAAGACGGGAATATCAAACAAATTTTGAATATATTCACTACATTCATTATTATAATAATACTAGCTGACCCAGCGAACTTCGTACCGCCATAAAAAAAAAATAATTAAAAAAACATTGTCCAGCGGACAAAATTGTGAATCTAAACCATTCTCAGATCCCCTTGAACACACACAAAAAATTTCATCAAAATCGGCCCAGTCGTTTAAGAGAAGTTCAGTGACATACACACTCACAGAAGAATTATATATATAAAGATGACCGTAGTTCATTTTCAAATACTTTCTTATTTTTGTTGTTAAATAGGTAGAAAACCAAGAGCAGTATGATGGAGTCATGGACACGTTTCCTTACGACGGCGAAGAGTTAGAGATGCAACCGTTCCCTCGAAAGTAAGTCATTAACCGCCTTATTACAAAACGTCGACTTAAGTTAACTCGGTCTAAAATTGATGCTGTCGCTTTGGTTTGTTTAAATAAGACAGAGACAGCATTAGGTTTAAACCAAGCTGAAGTAGCTTCCCACTTTCATATTTACGAAACGGAATTTTGTGGAAAGTAATAAATAATTACTCATACTCTTATGTCTTCACTATTCACCCATTAACCATCAAATATCAGTAACTGTACTAACATATACATAATTTAATGTCATTATATAAACATCACTGTAAGAAAGTCTTTTAAACCAGTTACGGAGCATTTATATTTCGCTTAAACTGAGCAGTTTTCTCTAATGCAACTGCAACTTATGCGGTCAGAATATTGGTTCTTAAAATGTCTGTTTGCCGTCTGATTTTCAACCTTAGATCCCAAATAAAAGCACGTCACTCTACACACCACTCTACAAATAAGTCGTGTCTATATTATTAAATAAATCATTAGTATGCGTGAAAGCTTAAACAAATACACTAACAACCTTTCAACAATCAACCTTTAGTAAAATGTGCCCGTTGCCTTAGCAACAGTTGTCATTCAGCTTTGTTACCTAGATATTTTTATTATTAAGACTATAATCATAACTGTTGCTAAGAAACGGAACCACTTGCAACAAAGTTCTTGAATCAACTTTAAAGGGCCTTATTTTATATCTATTTGACTTTATACAATTGACAAAGATGGAATGATGTGCTAAACAGGATTAAGCCTTAATTTGATTTGAGTATGTTGATGCAAGTCCCCCTAAGAAGAAAAGTCAACCGTTATTATTTCTGCATAGGTTCCCGTTCTCATCTATAGTGCCGGCAGTATACGTGCAAGTGAAGGAATTCATATACGCGTGGCTCAAGTACTCGGCCGGGCTTGGACTGGGTGGCAGTAGACGTGCAGCCGCCGCCAGGCATTCCGCCTCTCTACTACTCAGCAGGTATTGCCATAATGATACTACTTATATAGGGGTTGCTCAAGGCTCTTATGTCGGTCCTCATCTATAGTGCAAGTGAATTAGTTTATATTATACGCGCGGCTCAAGTACTCGGCCGGGATCCGCTGGCATTCCGCCTCGCTACTACTGAGGAGGTATTGTTATAATGATACTCATTATATAGGGGTTGCTTAAGGTTCTTATGTCGGTCCTCATCTATAGTGCAAGTGAATTAGTTTATATTATACGCGTGGCTCAAGTACTCGGCCGGGCTCCGCTGGCATACCGCCTCGCTACTTTTCAGCAGGTATTGTCATAATGATACTCTTTATATAGGGGTTGCTCAAGGTTCTTATGTCGGTCTTTATCTATAGTGCAAGTAAAAAAGATCATATACGCGTGGCTTAAGTTCTCGGCCGGGCTCCGCTGGCATACCGCCTCGCTACTACTCAGCAGGTATTGTCATAATGATACTCTTTATATAGGGGTTGCTCAAGGTTCTTATGTCGGTCTTCATCTATAGTGCAAGTGAAAAAGATCATATACGCGTGGCTTAAGTACTAAGCCGGGCTCGGGCTGGCATTCTGCGTCGTAACTACTGAGCTGGTATTGTAATAATGATTTAGAGTTATTGGGGGTTATTCAGGGTTCTTATGTCGGTCATCATCTAAAGTGCAAGTGAACTAATCATATACGCGTGCCTGAAATACTCGGCCGGGCCTTGCTACTAATCATCAGGTATCATCGTAATAATTTTAAAGAGATCCATGGTGCGAGTGGTTAGCGGGTTGGGCCCACGATTATGGAAATTAAGAAAAATATTGAAAAACCAGTCGAACTTTTGTGTTCGTGGTTATCCAACGGTCATTCCAAATCTTCATGAGTTTCACCACTGATGACATTTTTGCATTCATTAAATTAATTAATTCTTACTTATTATTTATCAGGTCTTTCACCGGTTGTTTGTCTGCACTCTTTCGACGACCTATACCGCTCATGCAATTAACTCAGGTAATAATAAGTCTGCATTTTGATTTTGTTTGCTTATACAAAATTTCTGAGCTTATCTAAGACTATATAGGTATAAAATGTATGACAAAAGTATCTGAACAATTAATTCTTTGTTTTAGATAATTGTAGATACAAAATATCTGGAGGATGCCACGCTATATTTGTATGAGTTCATCAGTAATATCACGGGATCTGAATTAGTCACTACACAAGTATGTATTTTTTATCATTTTACTATTGTGATATTGTTATAAAACCCTAAATATATGTATGTATAGTGGTAAATAAGTAATACTCACATAAATTAAAATTAAGTATAATATAAGCTAAAGTTAGTATGGAAATGTTAATAAATTAAGTGCGATATATACCGCGACTTGCACTAACTTTACAGCCACCATTAAGTATGAATCACATTATAATAGCAGCATTTTACCTGAAATAAATATTATAATATATTAAAATACTTACCTCACTTGAAGCTTATTTTAGTTGAATTTATTTATTTTTACTCGGATAGGCAGCGGGCAGTATGTTTCAAGCCGCTAGGGACGACGCCGAGCAACAAATATGTGATAAACTCGAGAAAAAAGTGGACGAATTTCTCGACCTTGAGAATTATGATTGGCTATTAGGTAAGACAATGCATCGAGTGATATATAAATTCTAGTTTACCTAAATTATCGTCATTATGCCGTCGCCATGGGTGGAATAGGAGCTAATTTTCCTTACCATGCAGGCCCGGTGTGTGCTATCGATTGCAGATGCAGTCGGGACCACCGAAGCACGGAGAAGATTACTTGAATTTCATTTAAAGTCACATGGTATCTTATTCTAATTGCACTTTAAATAAAGATACCTCAAAAGAAAATTGTGTTAGAAAAAAATACACACGGACCAGACAGTAGACGGTACTCGAGCCCGCACCCTTCGCTGCACGGGCAGGGCAGTTGCACTGACCGTTATGCTACCGCGGCCCTGATTTCCGTGTCGAATTTCCTCTAGTATTTTTTAGGTTGCAAGGCAGCGCCATCTCTTCGCATTGTAGGTAACCCACAATGTCAAACGAATACCTTTACAAGTATTATACGTTTGGAAGAAGAAATAGTAATTTTAGATATATTTCTTATTTTTATAAACATTTATCTAGATGTTTAAATCATCTAGCAGATCAGTAATCTAAATAAATGTTTAAAGATAAAGCACTTAACTTTAATTACACTTAAAACTTAATTCAATTTTCTGGGAGCGACCGTAATCGAGCCGATTGAAAAATCCATTAAATATGTAGATAAATGTTCGGCAGTAATTACTACGAATCGGCTTTGTTGTTCGACAAATACTGCTTTGTTGTTCGACTATGCCGGCCCGATTATGTGTGTAGCTCACCAAAGCCTCATTCCGTCTCCTTCTGTTTAAATTGTTGACAAAGATGAAGTTATATGCACTCACAACAGGATTAGGCGGAAATTTTAATTAAGAATGGTGGTACAAATGGCCGTTTGGTTACCATTAAAATTATTCTGTACATTAGTTTAAATAATCAACGAAGAATTATATTTAAACATTCATTCAGAGAAGCTCGATGGCGCGGGTGGTTAGCGCGTTCGGCTTCGATCGTTGAAGTTAAGCAACTTTCGCACTGGTCGGACATTGGATGGGTGACCACAAATCCTTTATCTCGAGTTCCTCCGTGCTTCGGAAGGCACGTTGAGCCGTCGGTCCTGCATCTGCAGTCGTTAGCGCCCGTCAATCCGCACTGGGTCCGCGTGGTGGGTTATGGCCCAATCTGCCTATTCCATCCATAATGAAGGCCTGTGCCCCAGCAGTGGGGACATTAATGGGCTGATGATGATGATGATATTCATTCAACAGTGGAACCGACGGGACAAGCGTCTTCGTTCGTTGCTGATATGCTGAGCTACTTGTCTGGAGTACTGACGTCTTTGGAGCAACTACCAGAGAGAGCGCGGTGAGTCCACAAAACACTATTGACCAATATTTTTTTATCAAACATCTACGTAATATAACATTTGTTAAACTTCTTGAAATCTATTTACTTAGGTAGTCACTATAAATGACACACCATCTGCTTCCCACTCTATGTAATAGTCCAGTTTACCTACGGATGCTTGGAAGAAATAATTTATTAACGATAACCCTGCCTTTTTTACTTTTCATGTAATAGTCTTAAGTAATTGTAATTTAAAATTTCATGTTGTACAATAAAGTGATCATTCATTCATATTCTGCAGTAAAAAAGTTGCAACATGCTTACGATTGCAATAAAGACATTTTATTATTATTTTGAATTTTACATTGATTTATTGACTGATTATTTTGAATTTTACATAGAATTTTCCTCTGCGGTTTTTCGTCTTCGACTTAAAAGTAAAATTGTACAAATCACTCTCATACAGTCATATCTCTACGTTGCTATATTTGGCACTGGTTGGTTCTAAGAGTGATAGGTTGGCAGCCTATCACTTACAAATTTCCTAATTTTATTTAATTTTGACAGGTTTCGATTCTGTCATGATTCTCTAAACCTAAACTTAAGTTTTCAACAGTGTATCCTTGTCATGCTCTATACAGAATGAAAAGGAGAGACTGATGTTATTTTTTTTTAACTTTAGAGAATCAAGCCAGAGTCGACACCAATGTACTTGGTTTTATCTAGCATAGGACTTTTTTTTTAATTTTCACAATTTTTTTACTAAGGGAATAGATTCATATATATTTATACATATCGTTTTAGTTGCTCTTTACAAATAAATATGGCATTGGGATGATGCCAAAAATATACGTAGAGTTTCGAAAAATAATATTACCTAACCATTCCGTGAAACACGCTATCCATTATTCTAACCCCGTTACTTGATACTGTAGACATGGTTAGGTAAATTGTATGCTGCGAATAGCAATGTCTAGGCTTTTAGGTGTTATTTATATTGTGTTACTTAAGAAAGAAAATTCACAAATAGGGTTGCCCCCTTCCAAGGAAATAATGAAAACATAAATATCTTTTAAGTAAGATGTCATTTGAATGGAAAAAAAATCAAGTGTTATAAATATAAAATTATAGAGCTAACTACACCTTTTTAAATATGCTGACAATGACGCTTATAGGATGGAAAAATCCATTCGCTAACACAGCGAAAAATGTATCGATTCCAGACTGGTACCGTGAACATATAACTTGATATATATTTTTGTAGAAAATCTTTTTAGAAAGGTATAAAAATCTAATAATTAGTAAAAACTTAAATAAGAATACGTAATTAATCAATTGGAGTCATAACGATTTTACTGGCTACTAGTTACAAGGCTGGTAAAAATAAATGAAATGTTAGTAAAAGTTAGCAACATTGTTCCATAAATAATATCGATTGACGAAAAAATAACATAAAAACCCCTGACTTCAAAATAATCTAAAAAGTGAAAAAATAAAATGTGTTGGCTCTTTCACTTTATTTTAACTATTTCGTAATATTTGGACCCAGAAATCTTCCAAGTCGCGACCGCTAAAGAAATTAATATTTAAGACGCCGTGTGTAGCGGTACTTTAGGTATTTGAGGGGGTGAAGCAGGGGAAGTGAGTGACGGGTACTGTCATTCGTCCCGCGCAAACCCCGTTGACATTTCAGATTTAACGTTGTTTTATACTGAAGAGGGCTGAAAAAATATAGTCGTATTATAAACATACATTATTTACGGTACAAATAAATAAATAAAAAAAAATCTTAGATTGGTGTATTTGACATGTCATCACACAAAAAGAACTATTAACATGTAAATAATTTTGTTTCAAAGTTGTGCAAAACTACATGAAGCTGAAACTAGCAGACATTGTATCATTTGTAGCAGACACATCCAGCAGCGGGACCGTCACAAAACGTATTTCTGGCAACTGTTTTGGTTTTAAGGATTCCGTACCTTAAAAGGAAAAAAACGGAACCCTTATGGTCATTCTCACGACTAGGTGTCCTTTTAATTTTTAATTTCCAATAAATTATGTACCGACTATAAAACTTGGACCTTTTTAGTGTTTAAAGTTATATTAGTTTTTAAGATATTTCATTCTTAAGTAAAAAATCGTTTTTTTAAAGACCAAATCTATCAATTTTCGATAATCACATTTAAGGGATAGTAGAAATTTAGCTTAGGAACTGAAGTTAAACATAAACAAAAATCACATGTACATCATCTATATCGGTATTCTATTAAAAGCATCAAAAATGATGATTCGACTACCTACAGCGCCTTAAATCGGAAATCTTTTTTGTTTAATGCTCTCTCTTATCGCAGTCGGAGATTAAAAAATAGGATATGGCAACCCTAAGTACTAAAAAATATTGGCTGCTAAACGAAACGTATTATGACTCCATTACCAAAGTGCGTTGATACGGAAGAGAAAGATACACCAAATACCACATGAGTCACTCCTCATTAAGATTCTACGGCTGTAGCACAAAATCGAGAGTGTTAAAGAATGTACTTATTCCGTTAGCAGTGTAATAGTTGTGAAGGTTAAGTAACTTTTGCAAAGGTTGGACGTTGAATGGGTGACCGATAATGTTTTGTATAGGTAGCGGCAAATTTCTTGAGCAAAACCACTGACAAATAAACTTGCGCAGTAGACGTTATTGTATGTAAATTTGCTACTGCGCAGGCTTTATTGTCTATGGAAATCTTATTAGATTTTAATAGAATTCATATTCCAAGTTTTGTTGCTAAATCTATAGCGTTTATTCAAATTTAAACTGATTTACGTCTCTGACTTTTTAAGTTTAGTCATTCAGGTGGGCAATCTATCTTTCTTTTTCTTCCCCTGCGAAGCTGAAGAAAATTGGCAATCGGCTGAATTCAGAAACGTTAAATCAATTTAAAGCTACATTAAATCACGTATTGTCTTTTTCTCTTGTGGAAGTGATACTAACTACAGTGGAACTCGTTTAATACGATCACGCTTTATACGATTTCTGGCATAATACGCCATTTTGCGTCAGTCCCGCTCGCTCACATCACGCTTAATACGATTCGTCATCCCGTTTAATATGTCTAAATCGCCAACGTATCACACATATCTCTTGCGGCAGCGGCCAGCGATTGACGTGACGACTGTCGAACGACGCAAGCTAAGAAACCCTGGGGGTTTCCCTGGATATTCTTCCATTGATGGCAATGTGGCACAGTATAAAATTCAATGAGAATGTGAACACACAAGAAGAGGCCCTAAGTGATAATGATCAATAATAAGATGAGTCAACTCCGATTTTGTCACACGCCCAGGCATTATCAGCAGTTAATGATTTAAGATGCTATATAATTTCTTTGAATCAAAGCGAAGACGCACTGTAAAAGTAAAATAATGTTGCAAATCTTGTAATTTCGAATGCCCCAAATTAATACACTACATTTTTTATAACAAACATAATTCCTAAATATTGTACATTTGATACCTCAATACCTACATTCGAAATTACCCTATCCCGCAATCCCGCATAATACGCTTTCCCGCTTAAGACGCGTTTTTGGTTGAGTCCCTGTGAAATCTTGAAAGTGTGTTTATGAAATCAAAGTGGTGGCGAAAAACAAAAAATAATCATTTTTCCCAGTGTGGCCGCTGTGCGCGCCGCTACTAACCGCATAGCGACCCGCCTGCGCAATCTTCTACTGGATCCAGCTGTGAAGCAGATTTCTTCGGGTGCCTTGCATCAGTTAGACCTGGACGTGATCCAGTGCGAACAGTTCGCGGCCGGCGAGCCCGTGCCTGGACTTAAAGAGGGAGAATTATTAGAACACTTTGCTAGCTTAAGGTAAGTGTTATAGCGATCCAATTCCAGCAGTAAATTCTAGCCATTTCCAGCTGAGAAATAGAGATGAAGACCTCTTGAGGCGTTTTGCACCAGCTAGACCTGTATGTGAGAAGGGGATATATCTTAGAAAACTTTGCCAACTTGAGGTTAATGCTATATCGATCCAACCTACTGCTAGATCCAGCTGTGAAGCAGATATCCTCGGGTGCCTTACATTAGTGAGACCTGGACCTTACCTTGCTGGATCTAGATAAAATTAGACTTAGATGCAGGCCTGTCCGTGCCTGGCCTCAGGGAGTGTGATATTAGGCTGTAGTTAATGCTTATTGAGTTTGAGGATATCATATACTCTTAAACTGCTCTCTTTAGACCATAGGAAATTAATTGTATTAGATCAGTCTGTATTTTTTAAATTCAAACTAAATTATTTTAATTGATGGTACAATTTGATGACGACCTCCGTGACTGAGTGGTTTGTACGCCGGGTTTCATGGTGTCGCCGACTCGAGAGGTCCCGGGTTCGAATCCCGGTGGGGGCAGATGTTTGTGTGATGAATACGAGCATTTGTGCTTCAGTCATGGATGTTTAATATGTATTTCTATATAAATATACTTTTATATATGTAAAGTATATGTATTATATCCGTTACCCTAGCATCCCATAACACAAGCCTTACAGTGCTTACTTTGGGGCCAGGCTAATTGGTGTGAGTGTTGGAAATATTTATTTATATATTTATTTATAATTTAGTCATAATTAAGAAGATAAAACTCCAAAATAATTATTGGAATGATCAGATAACAACTTTCCAGAATTATGTGAACTCCGGACTCTGTTATACAAATTTTTGCTTTTAGCCCATTGAGTTCAGCTGATATTTTTTTCTGCCAAAATATTACCATGATAAACATCATCCCACAGGCAACTTCTAGACCTGGTGAACGGCTGGGAATGGTCATCTTACCTCCACGATATCGGCAAAGAAGGCGGTAAATACGCACTAGTCACTCCCCGAGACGCGGCCACACTCTTAGAGAAACTAAAGGAGGCCGAACAAAAGTCGTCCGTCTTCACCGTCTTGAAGAAGAACGAAAGAGACAGAAGGAAGTTGCTCGACACCGTCCTGAAGCAGTTGAAACAATTGCAGAATCAGGACGGCTCGTGATGTGATACTGATGGGGGAAGCCTTAAAGTGTTTTGTGACTGCATTTTTTAACAAATCGGATAGCTCATTTAAGAATGCATATTTATTTAGAATTAATAAGTGTAACCTTTAGTCAGGTTTGATTTCGTGTATCGATTGTTTTGTTTAAAGCTTTTTGGGCGATGTTAGGTCATGAATCGGTGTAAATTATGTATAAATATTTATAATCTTGTTGATTAATAACAATATAAGACCACCAATTTAGTATGTTAATAGTGATTAATTGCATTTACATTGTACATTTTAGAAATGAAATAAATTATTTATTTAAATACTGGAACTGTGTTTTTCTATATCTTGATATAACAGAGCCACTTTATTAACGTAAGCAGTCTAACGACTAAGATACAAAATTCGGAATGAGTTCATCCATAAAATCAACAATTTTCCATCTCCATAAATCTATAGCAACGTTGCTTGAGAGCTATCATAATTGTTACAGGATCCTATGATATACAATTATTATTTATTCCTATTGAAAACTCTTAAATTATTATATTTTTCCCTTCCATATATTGTTATTGCTTATCAACTGGTGGTGAAGTGAAGCTATAATCATCATCATCATCATTAGTCTATTAATGTCCCCACTGCTGGGGCACAGGCCTTCCCTATGGATGGAATAGGGAGATTGGGCCATGACCCACCACGCGGGCCCAGTGCGGATTGGTGGGTGCTAACGACTGCAGATGCAGCCGGGACCAACGGCTTAACGTGCCTTCCGAAGCACGGAGGAGCTCGAGATAGTAATTTTTGGTCACCCATCCAATGACCGACCACTGCGAAAGTTGCTAAAGTTCAACGATCGCAGCCGAACGCGCTAACCTCTTGCGCCATCGAGCTCCTCTACATTTGTAAATTATATATTTACAAGCTTTAGTAGCTGTGTAAATATATAATTTACAAATTTAATTAATAACAAATAGTCAAAAAGTATGTGCTGTTGCGCAAGTTTAATATAATACTGCCATGTCTTGTCGAAGATCTTTGCGTCAGATTTTATCTAGCCCGCTTATCGAGTACGTATCGCGAAACGCGTGCGCTGAGCAAGGTCGACGTAAGCTGCAGGTCAAACAGTGCCAATCAAGGTCTGGTCATGAACTCTTAATTAATATTTAGGCTAATACAGTTCATTAATGTGTATTTGACGACCTCCGTGGCCAAGTGGTTTATACGCCGGGTTTCATGGTGTCGCCGACTCGAGACTGCCGGGTTCGAATCCCGGTGGGGGCAGATATTTGTGTGATGAATACAAGCATTTGTACTCCAGTCATGGATGTTTAATATGTATTTCTATATAAATATATTTATATATGTACAATATATGTATTCTATCCGTTACCCTATTATCCCATAACACAAGCCTTACAGTGCTAACTTTAGGGCTAGCCTACTTGGTGTGTGTTGGATTTTTTTTTTTCAATAGTGTTTTATGTATTAATCGGGCTCGTTACGTCGTAATATTTTCATGGCTCACCAAACGCATTGCAATTAAAAAGAAATGATTCTTTTAGATTCGATTTAGAACGTCACAAGACGATTTTTACCCAGGTCTAGGCACGATTATAAACCGTGTCTACGTCCGGTCGTCAGTTTGGTATGGGACAGTATGGAGATTTGTTAACGATACCGGCGCGGTGCAAGCGACGATTTCGGGTCGGTACGAACGAATAAACGATGCTCCTGATAATGCGGGTAGAAACCGGGTTGACGTGACGCCCGTCAGAACTCATTTTATTATAATTTATGACGAAAACTAAAATTAAGTGTGTATGTGTTTACATATGAATAGCCAAAATGGTTTCTTTATACCAGAGGGTCGGCATGTTTTCGCAAACGTTACTCATACGCACTGCAATGCTGAACTTGGGAGTGTAAGTATAACAAAATTCGACCGTTGCCGCCAAAACCGTTGCTAAGCAGATATAAAAGCTTAGCAACGGTTAGGATTCTTCAAAAACTAAAATTATTATTTTCGGGTCACATAGATATGATATAACCAACCAAAGTAAAACGTGACGTCTTTGAGGTGTGGCTATAGGAGTAAAGTTTATATATTTTGACGACCTCCGTAGCTCGAGTGGTATGAACTTACGGCGGTTTCCAAGGTGTCGCCTACTCAAAGATACCCCCGGGTTGAAATCTCGGTGGGGGTAAATGTTAGTATGATGCCTAAGCCATGGATTATTATATACATTTCTAGATAAATATGCTTTATAAGGATTAGTATGCTTGCCACAGGAGAGAAAAAAAAGTATCTGTATTATTACTCAAGTATCCCTTAATACAAGCCTCACAGTGCTTTCTTTGGGGCTAGGCTAATTGGTGTGTTAGAAATATTTATATTTATTTACTTTTTTTTGCTACTCTCGAGCTGCATGCTCTGCCAACCTTTCTGTCCTTGATGCTCTGCCAACCTTTGTGAATGTGAAGGTATGTTTGTCAATCTGTACGGTCAAATAATAAAACGCTTTTCAAAGGCTATTTAGAGGCGTAGGTTTTCATTTTGATATGTCGAAGCTTTTCAGTCTGTGGTCACAAAGACCGAAAATGATTAACTTACCATAAATCCCAATATAGTTATGTACTATGTAAAACATAAATTATTAAAGGTATAAATCAACTTTTATCTAAAGTATCTACTTACTTACTTTAAATAGAATTATCTGATTAGAACAGATCATTTATAGAATTGATTGATGTATGGATTTATCAATCAAGTGAGTACTTATTTGATTGCAAATATTCTGTGTAATAATTGCTAATTTATCGACCTAGTCAAAACAGTCAAAAGGTTACTAAGCAAATCCTATGCAGTTCATGCATTAACAGTAACACTTATAAGATATAAAATTAGTTACGTATTTGCTTAGAACATTGAAAATTACGTTTTTGTTAGTAAATTTGTTTACTTCATGATATTTTAAGTGGACAATTAACGTCGGTGTTGACAGTTAATACTTGTACAAAATGATAATGTATAGATAATGAAATTGTATAGAAATATCTCAATTAATCTCAGCAGCACTTATGTTTTATGTCTGTTCATTATAACACCAGTTGCTCCATCGCGAACGAGTAAACAAACATCCACGAATTCGCAATTATAATATTAATTTAAGGACATTCATGATTCGATCTAGATTAGTACAACGAATAATATTACTGACACATATCTGTTTATCTCAAACCTCGAACGCATTAATCACTGAAAAGTACACACTTCATTTGTATAGGTATGTCGAATTCGAATTTGACAAATGTGGGCGTCGCGTTAGGCGAGTGGTTATCAAGTGTGACGCACGTCCTTGCGCGGGCGCAGGCGCCGGGCGTCGTGACCCGCCCACCGTGGCAGGGAATTAATGTCCGTGCGAATTGTGAGGGTTATGTTATCATAGACGTACGAATTTCTAATGGAGCTGAATACAGCAGTGGCATGCTTGTCGGGTCTACTCTTGTAGACATTTTATTTATTTATTTATTTATTCACCCATCACAAATTACAATTTACCCAAAAAATATATAAGAAACAATTGACAATAGCATACAGCCCAAATTGTGATGGACTGTACTACAGGCAGAGTGCAGAAGCGCAAGTTACAATGTCACAAATATGGTATAAATTGTGTAGAACAGCTGAATGGGTGAACATATTACCAAAAAAATTATGTTTATAACTATTTCAACTTTAAATATTTATTCATCAATATATTATTCATCGGATCGATGGCCAAATATTTGCTATGTCGAGCTCTTCTGTGCCTACCATTGGCGCCCTTATGTGGTTCTGTTCATAGAAAGGTTCAGGCCCCAGCAGTGGAGAGCATTAATATCTTGGGATATGTTCAAAGGTTAAACCTCAGGACTTGGAATCGATATCCCAATATCATGTCAAAAATTCAAAAAATACCTAAATATAGCAAGAAACTCCAGTCTCCCGAAACTTCAATAGGAGAGTGTTACATTCCGAGGATCACATTATAATTGTATGCTCTCATTTTCAATTAATTTTGATATCAGGCGGGCATACAAACGCTCTTTGAAAATGATCCTACTTTTATTCTAAATTCGTTTAGCAGCGTGACTTCAATATCTAACAAGGGTTAAAGGTTATCAAAGAACCCGGAACCGTGATGACTAACAAAATATTCAAAACTCGAATATGACCTAAAGTCCCGGGTATTTTTGTACAGTCGGTGTTAAAATTTCAAATCCTTCAATTAATTTCTCAATTAAAAAATAAAAAATGAATATGGGTGTGGAGTAAGGAGAATAAGCATTCAAAATGAGCCAAATAGAAGTCAACTTATAACTATACATTTTCTTATTTGTTTGGGTTTATGCCCGTTGGAAACGGAAAAGGCAAATTACGAATATGTCCGTGCGTCCGTCAATTATTATTTTTAGGTAGGTTAAGTCCAGACACGAAGCTGGTGAAGCAGTTTTCAACCAACCATCTTTACCTTATCGGCCTGTACAAATGTTTCTTCACGCCCCTTGAAAAGACCCTGGACAGAAGTACGTGGGTGCGCGCGCGGGCAAAGATTTCCACTTGCGTATAATACGACAAAAAAATGAGTCACCAAAATTCTTTGTTGTAAATTCTTAGGTATGGATCCAGAGTTTGTATTTTGGTTATCGATATAACAAATATAAAAAAAGAAGTTTAATAATAATATATAGCCTCTCTCGTTTACTTAAGAAAGGCTATGATGGAATGAGCTTTGTGCCTTTAATATTGTAAAAAAACTCACAAGTTTGAGAACTTTCTATCGTTAAAGAGCCTTCTAGGAACAGGATATAAAATTTAAAATTTTGAAAGACGTAATATTTAATATTAGTTAGGCATAGATATAAACATTGTTTTGCATTGGAAAATTTTGAGCAGTTATAAATAAGGCTAGTTTTTTGTCAATGTTTGTTGATTTATATCTTACAATTTTTCTAGTGGACATAAGGTTTTTTGTCGCTGATTATACCAACGCTTATTCATTTAGTTAGTAAGTAAGTATATTGCAGTACCTTTTAGCCGTTCTTATGATAT